AAAAAGAAAACTTGACTGCACTCTTGAAACTATAGCAAGTAATTTAGTGTTAACAACTGGGTTGAAAACGTACATTAGCCACCGTAAAGAGTAAAAGAGCTGACGTTTCGAGCGTTAGCGATCGCTCTGACGAAGGGCTAACGCTCGAAACTTCAGCTTTTTTACTCTTTACGGCGGCTAATTTACGTTTTCAACCCAGTTGTTAACACTAAATTACCTGCTATACTCTCCCACCGATGCAGCACCACAGTTTCTTTAGAAACTTACCCCTTTATTCTCTTGAAACTATATCCAACTGTATAAGTTACCAACAAGCTGGTTTTTCTACTCGTCCCCAGAGTCTCTCGGAGAATTTGTGGTCTGAAGGAGGAGGCTTGGGAACGAGTTACACAACTTCCGCTTTCGATATCTTTCCTTAGTATTCCACATCACCACAAATATTGGAAAGTCTCTCCTCGATAATAATAGCATTCGGTAAAAGATGGAAGACTTACAGCCAATGTCAGCTGATGGGCAAACTTCTTTCTGTGTGGAATTGATGAAACGCCTCAACATTCAGCGAAAACAAGATTACTTGTGCGACATTATTTTGGTGACGAACGACGACAGAGAGTTCAAGGCTCACAGAAATGTTCTTTCTGCCGTTCTTTTGCAAGCTTCTTGAGAGCGACATGAAGGAGAATCGAGAAGGGATTTTTCGGTTTGAGGAGATCTCAGCAACTGTTATGGAAGATGTTCAGGAATTCATCTGGAACTGTGGAGGTGACTCAAGAGAACGCTAAGGAACTGATCGCCGCAGGAAACTATCTGATCATACCGAGCTTGAAAACTGTTTCTAGTCGATTTCTACAAGGAGAAATGTCTAATACAAATTGCATCTCGACCTTTTATTTCGCTGAGAAATACGACTGTGTCGAGCTAATCCGAAGCTGGTCATGGATGCTATTGTAAAGATGGCTACTTTTGCGAGTGAAGATGATCTCCCGCAAACACCAAGGAAAGGTCTGGAAACACGTGTTATTTTAGCATGTGGTGGCAAGTTCACTTTTTGTTATCTTCCTGAAGAAAACCAATGGAAGCGGCTGCCAGATGGGTCTACCGAGAGAAACCAGAAAACACAAATGCTAACATTTCGTGATCAGCTGTTCACATTTAAGGAGTTCAGCAAGGCAGAGAAGTATGATCCCGTGTTTAATGGCTGGTCAAAGTCGGATCTGATGAACGTATCAGCAGATTACGCCATTGTGACTGTTGTCAAAGGGGATATGTACGCCATTGAAGTTAACAAACCCGTTTGAAAGTCTACCATCAAGAGACACAAAGTGGAGCTTTTTAAATGGCAAACAGTTGTGGAATCTCCCCAAGGTTGTAGGAACGGTTGCTGTGTTATTTCAGGTGGCAGTTATCTGTATCTTTTAGGTGGATCGACCCCTCCAAAGCTGAGAGATTCAACATTGCGGAAACCAAATGGGAGGAAATCGCTGACATGCAACAAGGAAGAGGTGGTGCCTTTGGAGTAGCAAATGAAGAAAAGATTTTTGTTGCTGGAGGCTTAAACGAAAAGAATAAGGTGTCAAGAAAATGCGAGATGTACAATGTTTCTACAAACGAATGGCACTTCATTGGAAGCTTAAACACTTGGCGTGTGTATGGCAGCATGGTGTGTCTGAGTGGAACATTGTATGTACTGGGTGGCACCAAGAATAATAGGGATAGATTACTATCAGTTGAATGTTACAACTCTACAGAAGACAAGTGGATTGAGAAGGCATCCATACAAGTGGAAGGATGCGCACTAGGAAGCGAGAACACATTCACCGGATGTGTGATGAAGCTCTCTAAAGGAGTACTTGAATCAGCCCCCAGTCACTTCAGACCTCTAAGATTACAAAGAGTCACCGGTGTCTGCGTCCTGAATTCTCTTCCTGTTCCTGTTCCTGTATTTGAGTTGTCTGATGATGATGACTTACTGAGTTAGCTTCTATACAATCGCCTTTAATTCACTTCAAGGAGACAGTTAAAATTTTTTCTCGCGAGTGTTCAAACTTCAGAAACCTTTACGCAGTTTCGTGGTCAGTGGACAAGGGACAAAACAGAGACATCTGACACGTCTTGGTCATGTGATATTCCGTGCGTGATTTCACTACAGTTATTCGACGGTGATACATAATCTTGCATGTTTGAATAGCATTTTTAATCTGTTACGGTTAAAAGATAGGGTCTTGTATAAGTAGCACACAGATTTTGCAATAACAAGATTCTTCAATAAAGAAAACGAGCATGCGCAGTGATAATTAATGAGCCTCAATAGTTTGTAGTGTGATAAGACAGTCATTAGTGAGTAAGCTGTTCCATAATGAAAATAAAATACGTGACTTTCTAAGGTAGGGCGTCATGCAGTTGTCAAACAGTCTCTCATTGTCACCCACATCCCCTTATGCGGACACACCCAACCTTAAAAAAAAAATACTAACAAAATTTATCCTCTCTGACTTGCCTCAATCAATTTAGTAATCATCTTAGTTTGATTTTAATTACTTAACGTGACATCCTGAGAACCAGTAACGAAGGAGAATGGGTCTGCTAGTTTTTCCAAACCAAAAATTGTATGCACGGGTTGCAGTATAAGAACTCATTCGATAAAAACCACCAACGGATTATGTCATTCCTTCATTAACTTGTGTGGTAATTTTTCTCGGGTAAGTTGAATAACAGAATAAACAAACTATCATTTCTCTGTGAATAAGAAGAAAGGAATCGTTTCGTTGTCAGGCTAAACAAACGACTGTCCAGAACGTAGCTGCGCGGGAAAACAATCTAGCCGCACCGCCAAGCGCGGGAAAACAATACACTCGCACCGCCAAGCGCGGGAGAACACAGGACGGAGAATCTCGTTGGTTGCTCCTGGTTGGTTAGAGTGACTCGAATCTGTACTCTGATTCACTAAAGGACACAGTAGATGGTTTTTGATACCATTAAGAAAGATCAGAAAAAAGCAAAACCAAAGTAAACACGTCATTGCTGTCGGGACAATCCACAATTTGAATTAAATATCAGAGTGAGAGGTTAGAGGTTGTTTTTCGAGAGAATGGATCAGCAGCAACAATTAAAGAGGAAACTGATGTCTTTAAAATGATATTGGACTGAGTCAACGACAGAAAGAGCGAATGAAAAGCAGGATTTGCCGAATTGTTTGGTCACGTTCGACTGGGACTGTTTAGAGGATGTCGTGACAAACGAAATTGTTCGTGACAGTGCTGTTTGTTAGAGGCTAATTGTAGATGCCATTCAGAAAGATGGCTACCTTGGTCAATGAAACTGATCTCCTGCAGTCACCTAGAAAGAGATATAATGCACGTGTTATTTTTGCTCTTGGTAGGAAGTACACCCTTTGCTATGTCTCTATGGAAGAGCAAATGGAGGAGTTTACCTGAAGGTTTGAAATAAGTGGCCGATAACACAGTTATGGTAAAATGCCGCGATCAGTTGTTCACTTTTACATATTATCAAGATAAAGGGATATAAGAGTTTTTTTATTTGGTCAAGAGTAAACTCTCGCTGAGACTCCGGCAAGGTAACTGTGGTAAATGGAGACATTTATGCTGTTGAATTTGGATACGATTTGATGGAAACTGTTGTGAAAAGATACGATGCGAAGTCGTACGCATAGGAGACACTTAACTTATTTGATGAGGCGTGTAGAGAAATACTTGTAATGTTGCTGCTGGCAGCCATCTGTATATCCATCGCTATGGCTGAGAGATTTGAAGCTGTGGAAAACAAACGGGAGAAAATCGCAGACATGCTGGAAGGAAGAAATGATGCTTTTAAAGAAGCTACTTAAGAGAAATCTTTGTAGCTGGAGGATTACGTTATGAAGAAAAATTGAAAACTTGTGAGATGTACAAAACGTCAACAAATGGCAACTTATTGAAAGCTTGAATGTTCTACGTTATTATATAATATGGTTTATTTGAATAGAAAGCCTTTCGCACTGGATGGAAGGGATGAGAGAGACCAAACTGAGTGTGGAACGCTTTGACAGTGCTTGACAGGTGGATTCCAGTGACAAATGATATAGGCCCGTCGTTTGGCTGTATTCTGAGGTTCATCACAAAACTGCTGGAGAAACGTAAGGTTGTTGGGTAGTAGTCCCTCAAACACCCTAAAGCACTGACATAAGGAAGCTTTTAAGCTTAAAAATATGAGGCTAACGACAAAGAACGAGCTTAGGATAGAATTTAAATCTGGAAGTTAATATTGTTAATATCGTTCACTGAAGAAATAAAGCGAGGATCACAGTTACCAATCGATCACAATTGCTGCTTTACATCACCTTAAGGCAAGGAGAAAGCTTTTAAATGAAATTAAGTAATTATCACGTCACGCAAAATTAAAGAGACGAAAATCACATGGAGTTGTAATTTATGTATATAATTGAATTTTTGTACAAAGTTCACATTTACTCATTTCTAATTTTTTGGTGGATTTGGTATTCTTAAGTACTGTTCTTTTGTTCGCAGCGCTATTTTTATATGGATTTGCGATGCAAATTTAAGCGAAATTTAAGCGAAATTCCTGAGAAGGAAGATTAACGTTCTTAACTCAATAGTTGTGCTAAATTTGAGCTGGGTCCTCCTTTCTTCCTCATCATTGCGTCCGGTACGCGTTTGAATAATTAAAATTCCTATATATTTTTATATATTTCTTTCCGCAAATACGCCTTAAGAATATTTTCTCAAAATAGTTCCTCCTCTCTCTCTCTCTCTCTCTCGATTCTGCCCAAAGCCTTTTCGGGTCCCTTTTAGGTTGTTTTGTCTACTTGTCCATAAAGTCTTCCAGGGGACTCGGGAAAAGAAAATCGAGTGAGCGTAGGAGAAACTGGGAACCAGCTTTACTTCCTCTTTCAAATTCGCTTTCGTTATTTTTCCTATGTAAACAACAATATCAGAAAAGTTTAAGCAGAAACTGCCCACAGAAACAAGGAAATTCTGTAAAAAATGGAAGTTATACAGCCTATCTCTGCCGCTGAACAGGGGCCTTTCTGTGTGGAACTGATGAAGCGCCTCAACATTCAGCGAAAACAAGATTATTTGTGCGACATCACTTTGGTTTCTATAGACAACATAGAATTTAAAGCTCACCGAAATGTGCTTTCCGCCGCAAGTCCGTACTTTGACAAACTTCTTCAGAGCAACATGAAGGAGAATCGAGAGGGGATTGTTCGGTTTGAGGAGATTTCAGGTTCTGTTCTGAAAGATGTTTTGGAATTCATCTACAGTGGAACTGTGGATGTGACTCAAGAGAATGCCGAGAAACTGATCGCCGCAGGGAATTATCTGATCATTCCGGGCTTGAAAACAGCTTCAGGGCGGTTTTTGGAGCGAGAAATGTCACACATAAACTGTATTTCAACCTTTTACCTCGCTGAGAAATATGAGTGTGACGAGCTTATCACCAACAGCAGGCTTTTTATTCACGAAAACATCGTTGCCGTGGCAAAACTGGATGAATTTTTGCTCTTGCAAGCTAAAGAGATCGAAAGGTGGATTTCGTCCGACGAGATTACAGTCAATGAGGAAGCCGATGTTTTTAAAATTATATTAGACTGGGTAAACCACAGGAAGAGCGAGCGTAAAACAGTATTTGAAGAACTGTTTGGTCATGTTCGACTCGGTTTTCTGTCGCGTGACTGTTTGGAGGATGTCGTGACAAACGAACTGGTGCGTGAGAATTCGGCTTGTGTGAAGCTGGTCATGGATGCTGCCATGAAGATGGCTACCTTTCTTGATGAAGATCATCTACTGCAATCACCAAGAAAAGGGCAGGAAACACGTGTTATTGTAGCACGTGGTGGCAAGTACACTTTTTGTTATATTCCTGAAGAAAACCTGTGGAAGTGTTTACCAGATGGTCTGAGGGACAAAAATGCCAGTTCAAATCAGATGATAAAATTCCGTAACCAGTTGTTCTTGTTCGCCAGCTCTCAAGATACAGAGAGATATGATCCTGTTTTTAACGTTTGGTCCGAGCTTAACTTGTACAGGAGTAACGCAAAGGTGGCTGTTCTTAAAGGAGAAATTCATGCTTTGGAAGTTGACACCCAAGACATGACAGCTACTATCAAGAAGTACAATGTGAAACTGTGTAGATGGGAGACAGTTATCACATCTCGTGAAGGCTTTAGAATGAATGCATGTCTTATTGCAGCCGGCAGTCATCTGTACGTGTTTGGTGGGGAGATTTCATACAGAGAGAAATATGTCGCGAAAGCCAAGAGATTTGACACCGTGGAAAACAAGTGGGAGGAAATCGCAGACATGCACGAAGGAAGAAACGACGCTTTTGGAGTGGCTGCTGAAAATAAAATCTTCGTTGCAGGGGGATTACGCAATGGAACAAAATTGAAAACTTGCGAGATGTATAATACGTCGACAAATGAATGGCAACTTGTTGCAAATTTGAATGTCCCACGCTGTTATGGTAGTATGGTTTGTCTGAACGGAAAGCTGTACGTACTGGGTGGAGAAAACGATAGAAACCAAAAGGAACTAAGTGTTGAATGTTTTGACCCTTTATACGACCAGTGGATCCATGAAACAACCATACCAAACATCTTTCCTGGAAACAGCATCTCATTCACTGGCTCTGTTCTGAAGTTTTTCAAAGAATTGCTGGACACTTTTAAGACTGTTAGGCAGTAGTTTCCGACTCTTTCCAGCTTTTGAATTAGTCATGTTGTTCACAGCAGACAACAGAGGCATTGGTTTTTTTTAAAATTTATTTTAGAAACTCACCTAAGGATAGGCTGGGTTAAATCAAAGGTCCATTCTTTCTATAGCTGTCGTTTATTGTAAACCTCACTGATACTTTAAACACTCTCACTAAAGATGTGTAGTCATGTTTACAGCACAGGACTTTTAAGTCGTTAATTATCCTTGACTGCTTCGTTTATCCTTGAATGTTTCTTAAGTCAAAATCTTAGCATTGCTGGAGTGAACATTGGTGCGAACCAGGGCCTCAGAAAGTAAAACCGGGCAAATTTTTCGTCAAAATTTACTGCGATTTTAATTAATTTTCTTCAAACCCAGAAACCGATGAATCTGATACAAATTGAGGTTAGATGATAAAGAATGGGAAGTAGATTAATTAATAAGAGAAAGTGTAGAATCATTATTTTATTCATAGAAACTCAAAAACAGTTTCAAAAAAAGAAGAGCCGTGAACGACTCGGAGTTCCAAACTCCAAAACGCAACGATTTTTGGTTGCCGGCATAATTTGAAAAGCATGTCTCAAATATTGCTAAGTCCAAGAAAACCTGTTCGTCTTAGGAACAAAACATTTATCCCCTTGTAGGGGAGGGGGTGGGGGTTAGTGGGTGAAGATTTTAGGGGGTGGGTCACATAGTATTCAGTGGGAACAGAAGGGGGATCAGTCGTCGTGGGGGGAGGGGGTCAGTGGGTTATAAGAATATTACACGGCCTTATGGCGGGATCGGATAAAATTACCGTGACAAAATTAAAATCCTCCTGCTCCCTCCACCCCTAGGTGACAAATAATGACTGATCCCTTATGATTCCCTTCACCCTTTCTTTTTTCACTAAGTCAGAATGCTGGTGTACACGTGACTAGAAGTGGCTCTTGTATCTTCCACAAGCCGAGTTTTGTTTGAAACAATATTGACTTGCCGGTATTGGAGTGTTTTCTCTCCACTTCATACAATAGAATTAGATGTTATAATTGGGGAGATATGTTATTGAGGAGCTAAGATTTGGCCGGGAAGGTATCAAACTCATGGGGTACAAATAGTCTTAATATGAATATAGTGACCACGCCCACTTCAACGCCCCACTCAAATCGAGTGTAATTTTCGAATGTTTTACCATCGTGCGGATTCGCTACGGAAAAAGCATTCAATGTACTTCTGAAATATTAAACTATAATATTGTGGCTTTCTATTTCGCTAATTTTCTAACTTGAAGGTAAAGTTTTTCCCTCGTCATTTTAACCTTTTCTCCGAGCGGTTGCGTGAAATTAACAAGAAGTTTTTGATCAAAACACGACCGAGCGAAGGGTCTCGGGCGATATCTCTTTTATACAGGCGCAAATTAAAAATGTACCGCCAGAATCAAAAAGAGGAACAAATTTCCTTTGTTTTGATATGTAAAATGTCGAACAAAAAGCAGATTTACCCTCGTCAAATGGCCTCTCAAAACAGCTGTATCTTCCTCCTTTTGATTTTTTCCTGTTTTGTAAGCGTGAAAGCAGTAGGAGAGGGATCGGGAAACTAAAAAAGCGCTTTGGGAATTAATCTGCCATCGTTTACTTACGAGATAAACAAGTAAGAGTTGTGAAGTTCGTCGAAGTATGAAGTCTGAATAAATGCCTTTTTTAAGCTTGTTTGCTGGATTTTTCGTAAACTTCCCCGATTAATTTTTCGTTTCAGCTTACTAATCTATACTATTTCAAAGCAATGTAAAGACGAAGGCGGAGAACCATGAGTCGGCCCTTTCAACAATCGTAAACAAAGTGTTTGAGCAATCAGGTATACGAGGTGTAATAATCAATAGCCGCATATCAGAACTCTTTAGAAAGAAAGTATTCTATCCTCAGAAAGCTGTCAAGAAAGCTAGTAATCGTGGCGGAAGGCAATTAAATGCACTTCTTAGCAAGTTGGAAACGGGCCCTCGGTATCGATTTAATATCATATCGATCTCAATATCATACAGTTTTGTATTTTTCTTCCGTGAATTCGACTTTCTAACGGGGGTGTATGTTGAGTTTTCATTGCAAAATCGCTTTGTTTTTTTTATTTCCCTCTTTGGCCTGTCCGCCATTTTAAAAATTCGCAACGGAGAGCATGCGCATTACGTGGGGTTAGTAGTCGCGTACACCTGGAACCGAGAAAAACAAATGTTCGTCGCGCTGGGGAAAGAGTTTGATGTGGAACAATGGTCTCATGACGTGGATCAATGTCAGTGTCTGAGCAACTGCGCACCCACCCCTCCTCTAACACAACAACAGTCAATTGCTAACAAGTTAGGGTTTAATGTTGGGTCAGGGGAGGGGTAGGTGCGCACAACAAAATACATTATTCGAGATTATATTATTGCATGATAATTACTTACTTCCACAACTAGAAAAAAAAAACAATAGGAGAACAAAGCGAGGTTGACAAATTAAATCCTATGTAAGTTGAACAATTAATAACATATATAGGATCGTGTTTTACATCAAATTGTAAATATATCCAAAAAGTTTTGGCTAAGATGAAATCGTTCTTTAAGATATCGAAGCATCAGGTTTGTCAGATTTTTCCGCTCACGATATATTGCCTCTCAATTAAGAAGTTTTCTATAATTTAATGCGGTAAGCTATAGTCATATTTTTTTTCAGTTTGAGATAATCGAAGAGACAAAAGAAAGAAAGGTTGACAGAAATGTTGTGAGGAGTATTTAGTAGTCCAGAGGAGGATATGATGAGAAATGTAACACCGAAAATTTAACTGCATATTTGAAACTACATCCAGCTCTAAGTTATTGGTTGCTCTAAGTTATTGGTTGCTCTAAGTTATTGGTTGCTCTAAGTTATTGGTTGCTCTAAGTTATTGGTTGCTCTAAGTTATTGGTTGCTCTAAGTTATTGGTTGCTCTAAGTTATTGGTTGCTCTAAGTTATTGGTTGCTCTAAGTTATTGGTTGCTCTAAGTTATTGGTTAATCTAAGTTACTGGTTGCTCTAAGTTGGTTCTCATACTCATTCCCAGATTCTCTCGGACAATTTGTTGTCTGAAGGAGAGGCTTGGGAACAAGTTAGGCAACTTTCACTTTAGATATCTTTCCTAGTATTCCACATCACCACAATTATTGGAAAAATCTCTCCTCGATAACAATAGCATTTGGTAAAAGATGAAAGACTTACAGCCAATGTCAGCTGCTGAGCAAACTTCTTTCTGTGTGGTATTGATGAGGCGCCTCAACATTCAGCGAAAACAAGATTATTTGTGCGACATTACTTTGCTGACGAACGACGACAGAGAGTTAAAGGTTCACAGACATGTTCTTTCCGCCTCAAGCCCGTTCTTTTGCAAGCTTCTTGAGAGCGACATGAAGCAGAATCGAGAGGGAATTATTCGATTTAAGGAGATCTCAGGATCTCTTATGAAAGATGTTCTTGAATTCATCTACACTGGTACTGATCGTAGCAGGGAATTATCTAATCATACCGAGCTTGAAAACAGCTTCATGGCGATTTCTAGAGACAGAAATGTCCAACTCCAACTGCATTTCAAAGTTTCACCTCGCTGAGAAATACGACTGTGTCGAGCTAATTCGCAACAGCAGGAAATTCATCCACGAAAATTTCGCATCCGTAGGAGGAATGGATGAGTTTTTGAGCTTGGAAGCTAAAAAGGTGGCAGTGTGGATTTCAAGTGACGAGATTACTGTGGAAGCGGAAGCCGATGTCTTCAAAATCATACTGAAGTGGGTTGTGAAGTGAGTTTTTTGTCGCGTGACTTTTTGGAGGATGTCGTGACAAACGAGCTGGTGCGTGAGAACTTGGCTTGTGTGAAGCTGGTCATGGATGCTACTGTAAAGATGGCTACTTTTACGATTGAAGATGACCTTCCGCAGTCACCAAGGAAAGGTCTGGAAACGCGTTATTTAGCTTGTGGTGGCAAGTTTACCTTCTGCTATCTCCCTGAAAAAAACCAGTGGAAGCGGCTTCCAGATGGGTCAACCGAGAGAAACCAGAAAACACGAATGCTAACATTTCGTAATCATTTGCATACCTTTGATGAGTTCAGCAAGGCAGAGAAGTATGATCCTGTGTTTAATCGCTGGTCAACGTCGGATCTCAGTGATAGACGTATCAGCAGATAGCGCCATTGTGACCGTTGTCAAAGGGGATATGTACTCCATTGAAGTTAACAAACCCGCTGGAAAGTCTACTATCAAGAGATACAATGTGGAACTTTGTACATGGCAAAGGCTGCAGGAAAATTTGCTGTGTTATCACAGGTGGCAGCTATCTGTACCTTTTAGGTGGATCGACCCCTGGCAATGCTAGTTATGTCTCTAAAGCTGAGAGATTCAACATTGCGGAAACCCAATGGGAGGAAATCGCTGACATGCAACAAGGAAGAGGTGGTGCCTTTGGAGTAGCAAGTGAAGGAAAGATTTTTGTTGCTGGAGGCTTAAACGAAAAGAATAAGGTGTCAAAAAAATTCGAGATGTACAATGTTTCGGCGAATGGCAGTTCATTGGAGGCTTAAACACTTGGCGTGTGTATGGCAGCATGGTGTGTCTGAGTGGAATATTGTATGTACTTGATGGCACCAAGAACAATAGTGATAGATTATTACCAGTTGAATGTTACGACTCTACAGAAAACAAGTGGATTGAGAAGGCATCCATACCGATGGAAGGATACACACCAGGAAGCAAGAACACATTCACCGGCTGTGTGATGAAGCTCTCTAAAGGGGTTCTTGAACCAGCCCTCACGTCATACCCCACCAATGACTTTGGCGCTAGTTTCTCCAGACTCCCCAGACCCCCCAGACTCGGTCGCGGCGAACGCCAATGTGTTCCTGTATTTGAGTTGTCTGATAATGATGACTGAATGACTGAGTTAGATTATATAAAATCCCCTGTAATTTACTTCAAGGAGACAGTTAAAAGTTTTTCTCACGACTGTTCAAACTAAAGAAATCTTCAAACTGTTTCGCAGTCAGTGGACAAGGGACAAAACAAGACATCTTACACGTCTTGGTCATACGATATCCCGTGCGTGATTTCACTACAGTTATTCGACAATAAAACATAATATTGCATGTTTAAATAGCACTTTTAAACTGTGACGGTTATAAAATAGTCTTGTATAAGTAACACACAGATTTAGCAATAGAAAGATTCGTCAGTGATTGTGAAGGAGCATGCGCAAAGTTAAGAAAGCCGCTGCAAATTCAATTTTACTGTAACAGTTGCTCATAGCTCAAATCTTCTTCCTTTCTGTTCTACATCATTGTGAAACTTCAGATTGCAATGAACTTTTATACTTTTTGTAGTTTGGAGACTTGGCGATGTCTTTTTTGATCTTTAAGTCCTCATCAACTCAAGAGATTTTCTTAAAAAAAACAGTCAGTTTTCTGTAAACCATTTGTGTTGTATAGACAAGACACATTCGTGTAAAGAAGGACGCGTAATTTCGCTTTATAACGAGTTAATGCAAGAGAAATGATAATTGTTTACGATTAATTAATAAGCCTTAGTTGATTGTTGTGACAAGTAATCAGTGAGGAAGCTGTTCCACAATTAGAATAAAGGGTGTGACTTTCAAGGGTAGTGCGTTGTGCAGTTGTCGAAGCTTTCTCTCATAGTCACCCACATCCCCTCAAGCGAACCCACTTGACCTTTGACAAAAAATACCAACAAAATTTATCCTCTCTGACTTGCCTCAATTAGTTTAGTAATCATCTGGTTTGATTTAAGCTGCTTTTCGTGACATCCTGGGAACCAGAGGCGAAGGAGAATGGATTTGCTAGTTTTTTCCCCACCAAAAATTGTATGCACAGGTTGCAGTATAAGAGAAAATACATGTACTTAATATTTCTCCCGGCCTGTTCAACTTTCTCCAGATACATTTGTGCTTGGGAGAAAAAAAATAAAAACGCAAGAAACAAACTATAATTAAACCAGACTATCACATTACAGGTCGTATCTAGGCCTATATATATATATATATATAAATAAAGGACGTTTCCCTCTGAGTATTTGACTTATTTCTACTGTGTGTAACCTGCTCTTCCTTTGACTGTGAAATTTGATTTTCAAGGGCGACAAAGGGATAAAAGACTACGATATTTCTGAGAAAAATGTATTTGTACATAAGTTACTCACCTTGAGAAAGTTGAAAATGACAAAGTGACGGCCATCAATCCTTGACGTCGAACGTGAACAAGTGAACAACATTCTCGAAGAAACACACAACAGACTGCCGACGCAAGCGATATCCAAGCTAATGGGGTTCAAATAACATGTTTCCTGGCCTCAGAGTCGCTGAGGAAGACTTGTAGTTCGTAAGCTCTTTCCACGTGCAAGAACTGAGCTAATGTATGAATATTAATTTTGAAAATGATTTGTAATTCAAATGAGATTTCCGACATGAAAACAATTTTTGGTCACTTCTGTTCAATTACTGCAAAACAGAATGGGACGACGAGCTGGTAGAAATACTTAATAGATCCGATAAGAACTCGAAATAGAAATATGTCACGAAGAGCATTTTCAATCATTTATTATCAGCTTTATTAAATAGTCTGTTATCTGAATTTCTGTTTTCAGTTTTTCTTGTCATTTCCAGGGTTGTGCTGTTCTTCAATCTGCACTTATATCGTTAAAAGTTAAGGAAGAAGGACTAGCTGTGTTCCTTTACATTGCGACTGGATGAAAATAATCCTTCAAATATTTTTGTTCGTCCTCGAGTTCGATCGGTCTAAACGCATCACATAATCGAATACGCCCCAGCTAAAACTGAGGAATATCTGAAGATAGGCCCCGAGTGGTATTCCCCATTACCAGGGGGCACTGAAAAGTAAACATCCCACGCAGCTAACAGCAAGCTGTTCGTAAGCATCTTTCTCGTCCATTCGCGGTGGAGATCCAACTCCAACTGCATTTCAACGTTTTACTTCGCCGAGAAATACGATTGTGACGAGCTTACGGACAACAGCTGGAGATTCGTCCTCGAAAACTTTCGTTTCGTGGTAGCATTGGATGAATTCCTTAATTTAGAGGCCAAAGAAGTGGAGAAATGGCTTTCAAGAGACGATATTTCCGTTGAAACGGAAGCCGATGTTTTTAAGATCGTACTTGAGTGGATAAAACACAGCAAGAGCGAGCGAAAAGCGTTGTTCGAACAGTTGTTTAGCCACGTCAGACTGGTTTTGATGTCGTGTGACTACTTGATAGATGTTGTGACAAATGTACTTGTGCAAGAGAGCTTCGCTTGTTTAATGTTGACCTCTGCGGGTTTAAAAATGTCTAGTTTCTCAAGTGAAGGAGGTGTACTCCAAACGCCGAGAAAAGGAGTCGAACTACAAGGCATTGTAGCGTGTGGGGGTGATAAAAGTTTCTGTTATTTTCCCGAAAAGGACCAGTGGAAACGACTACCAGGTGGGAGGTCGACAGGCCACCCCCCAAATGACAAGACACCGGGATAAGTTGTTTAGATTTCTCAGAGTTGGCAGCGTAGAGAGGTATGATCCAGTTTTTAATGTCTGGTCTGAGTTGGAATTGCGTGAAAACGTTTCCAGGGTGGCTATAGTTAGAGGAGAAATGTATGCACTTGAGCTTAACACTTCTGAGCAACAAACCATTGTCAAAATATACAATGTGGAGCGGTGCGCATGGAAGACACTTCTTTAACCAATGAAGTTTGTACAAAGCAAACAAAGCAAAACTGTGTTGTTTCTGCCGGCAGTTATCTTTATGTTTTTGGTGAGCCGCCAGAAACTAGAAAATTTGTTGTGAAAGCTGAGAGATATGACACTGTAGATAAGAAATGGGAGGAAATCGCAGACATGCTCGAAGAAAGAGACGACGCTTTTGGTGAAGCCACCGAAGACAAAATCTTCGTCGCTGGAGGAAAGCATAGGGAATCAACAATCACGCGATACGAAAACCAGTCGAACGTGACGAAGCAGCTCTTCAAAGGTTGCTTTACGCTCACTCTTGTTATGTTCAATCCACTTTTGAGCAATCTGGAAAACATCGGCTTCCGTTTTAACAACAATCTCATTACTTGAAATCCACCTCTCCACCTCTTTGGCTTCCAAACTTAGGAATTCATCCCTGTCTGCTACAGATGCGAAGTTCTCGTGAATAAAACTCTTGCTGTCGTTTAGAAGCTCTCCTCGAACCGAACGATCCCTTCTCGATTTTCTTTCATATCGCTCTGAGGAAGCTTGCGAAAGAACGGACTCGCTGCGGAAAGGATATTTCTGTGAGCCTTAAACTCCTGATCATCTTTTGTAATCAAAGTTACGTCGCAAAAGTGGCCTTGTTTTCGTTATATGTTGAGCCGTTTCATCACTTCCAATGAGGGTAAGGGGGAAGGGGGGGGGGTGGGTGGGTGTGTCATGAAAATATTTAAGAGCCTTATGGGAGCATTAGGTAAAATTATTGTGACACAACCAAAATCCACTTAACAACGCCCCAACCCTTCCCTGAACGATAAATAATGACCGGTCCTCTATGATTCACTCCACTCTTTCACCGAGTCTGAGTGCTGATGAACACGTGACTTGAAGTGGCTCTTGCATCTTTCATAAGCCGAGTTTTGCTTGAAACAATACTGACTTGCCAGTATTGGAGTAGTTTCTTTCCACTTCATACAATAGAATTAGATGTAATAATTGGGGAGAATGAATAGTGGGGAGCAAAGATTATGGGGAAGGTATCGTTTGGCTGACCACGGAGAAGAAGAACAATGGTTTTATGGCATTGATCAATGTCAGTGTCTGAACAACTGTGCACCTACCCCTCCCCTAACCCAACAACAGTCAACTGATAGCAACTTAGGGTTAATGCTAGGTTAGGGGAGGGGTAGGTGCACACAACCAACTACATTATTTGAGATTACATTATTGCATGATAATTTCCTTCTTTCACAACTAACTTAGTTGAAGGAAAACAATAGGAGAACAAAGCGAGGTTGACAAACCCTATGTAAGTTGAACTTTTAATAAGAACTTTAAGATCGTGTTTTACATCAAATTGTAAAATTATCCAAATAATTTTGGCTAAAATGAAATCCTTCATCAAGATATCGAAGTAACAGATTTTTCAGATTTTTCCGCTCAAGATACATTGCTTTTAGATTAGGAAGGATTTTCCTTTTTATTCAATAGATATTCGAAGTTACAAAATAAAAAAAGGTTGACGGCAATGTTGTGAGGAGTGTTTACAAGTTCAGAGAAATATGCGATTGAAAATGTGAAAAAGAAAACTTGACTGCACTCTTGAAACTATATCCAACTCTATAAGTTACCAACAAGCTGGTTTTTCTACTCATCCCCAGAGTCTCTCGGAGAATCTGTAGTCTGGAGGAGGAGGCTTGGCAACGAGTTACACAACTTCCGCTTTCGATATCTTTCCTTAGTATTCCGCATCACCACAAATATTGGAAAGTCTTTTCTCGATAATAATAGCATTCGGTAAAAGATGGAAGACTTACAGCCAATGTCAGCTGTTGGGCAAACTTCTTTCTGTGTGGAATTGATGAAGCGCCTCAACATTCAGCGAAAACAAGATTACTTGTGCGACATTACTTTGGTGACGAACGACGACAGAGAGTTAAAAGCTCACAGAAATGTTCTTTCCGCCGCAAGTCCGTTCTTTTGCAAGCTTCTTAAGAGCGAAATGAAGGAGAATCGAGAGGGAATTATTCGATTTGAGGAGATCTCAGGATGTGTTATGGAAGATGTTCTGGAATTCATCTACGCTGGAACCGTGGAAGTAACTCAGGAGAATGCCAAGGAACTGATCGCCGCAGGAAACTATCTGATTATACCGAGCTTGAAAACTGTTTCTGGTCGATTTCTACAAGGAGAAATGTCTAATACAAATTGCATCTCGACCTTTTATTTCGCTGAGAAATACGACTGTGTCGAGCTAATCCGCAACAGCAGGAAATTCGTCCACGAAAATTTCGCATCCGTAGGAGAAATGGATGAGTTTTTAAGCTTGGAAGCCAAGGAGGTGGCGGTGTGGATTTCAAGTGACGAGATTGCTGTGGAAGCGGAAGCCGACGTCTACAAGATTATACTTAAATGGGTTGAACACAGCGAGAGCGAGCGAAAAGCAGCATTTGAAGAGTTGTTTCGTCACGTTCGGCTGAATTTCCTTTCGCGTGACTGTTTGGAGGATGTCGTGACAAACGAACTAGTTCGTGAGAATTTGGCTTGTGTGAAGCTGGTCATGGATGCTACTGTAAAGATGGCTACTTTTGCGAGTGAAGATGATCTCCCGCAGTCACCAAGGAAAGGTCTGGAAACACGTGTTATTTTAGCATGTGGTGGCAAGTTCACTTTTTGTTATCTTCCTGAAGAAAACCAATGGAAGCGGCTGCCAGACGGGTCAACCGAGAGAAACCAGAAAACACAAATGCTAACATTTCGTGATCAGCTGTACACATTTAAGGAGTTCAGCAAGGCAGAGAAGTATGATACCGTGTTTAATAGCTGGTCAAAGTCCGATCTGATTGACGTATCGGCAGATAGCGCCATTGTGACTGTTGTCAAAGGGGATATGTACGCCATTGAAGTTAACAAACCCGTTGGAAAGTCTACTATTAAGATGTACAATGTGCAGCGTTGTACATGGCAAACAGTTGTGGAATCTCCCCAAGGCTGCAGGAACAGTTGCTGTGTTATCGCAGGTGGCAGCTATCTGTACCTTTTAGGTGGATCGACCCCTGGCAATACTAGTTATGTCTCTAAAGCAGAGAGATTCAGCATTGCGGAAAGCCAATGGGAAGAAATCGCTAACATGCAACAAGGAAGAGGTGGTGCCTTTGGAGTGGCGGGTAAAGAAATGATTTTTGTTGCTGGAGGCTTAAACGAAAAGAATAAGGTGTCAAAAAAATGCGAGATGTACAACGTTTCTACAAACGAATGGCACTTCATTGGAAGCTTAAACACTTGCCGTGTTTATGGCAGCATGGTGTGTCTGAGTGAAACATTCTACGTACTTGGTGGCACCAAGAATAATAGGGATAGATTACTGTCAGTTGAATGTTACAACTCTGCAGAAGACAAGTGGATTGAGAAGACATCCATACCAATTGAAAGGTGCGCAGCAGAAAGCAAGAACACGTTCACTGGATGTGTGGTGAAGCTCTCTGAAGGAGTCATTGAATCAGCCCCCAGTAACCTCATACTCTCAATACCCTGCTTCTTTGTCCGCTCCGCGGGTCGTTTTCATGTTTCTGATCCTGTATTTGAGTTGTCTGATGATGATGACTGACTGACCGAGTTAGCTTCTAAACATTTCCCTTTAATTTCCTTCAAGGAGACAGTGAAAAGTTTTTCTGCAAATGTTCAAACTTAAGAAATCTTTACACTGTTTCGTAGTAAGTGGACAAGAGACAAAACAAGACATTTTACATGTCTTGGTCATGTGATATCCTGTGCGTGATTTCACTACAGTTATTTGATGGTAAAACATAATCTTGCATATTTAAATAGCACTTTTAAACTGTTACGGTTAAAAAATAGAGTCTTGTACAAGTAGCACACAAATTTAGCAATAACAAGATTCTTCAATAAATGTGAAGGAGCATGCGCAAAGTTAAAAAGGCCACGGCAAATTCAATTGTACTGTTGCTCATAGCTATAATTTTCTTCCTTTTCCGTTCCACATCACCGTGAAACTTCAGATTGCAATAAACTTTTATACTTTTTATAGTTTGGAGACTCGGCGAAGGAGAATGAGTCTGGTGGTTTTTTCCAAGAATTGTATGCACAGGTTGCAGTATAAGACCTCATTCGATCAAAACCACCAACGGATTATATCATTCCTTCATTAACTTGTATGGTAATTTTTCGCGGGTACGTTGAATAACAGAATAAACAAACTAACATTTGTCTGTGAATAAAAAGAAGGAATTCTTAGTTCTTTGTCAGGCTAAACAAACCACTGTCCAGACCAAACGAGTTAAGTGCAAGCTCTTTCCACGTCCAAGAACTGAGCTAATATATGAATATTAGTTTTGAAAATGATTTGTAATTCAAATGAGATTTCCGAGTGAAAACAATTTTTGGTCACTTCTGTTCAGTTACTGCAAAACGGAATGGGACGACGAGCTGATAGAAATACTTAATAGATCCGATAAAAACTCGAAATAGAAATATATTAGGAAGAGCATTTTCAATCATTTATTATCAGCTTTATTAAAAGGTCTGTTATCTGAATTTCTGTTTTCAGTTTTTCTCGTCATTTCCAGGGTTGTGCTGTTCTTCAATCTGCACTTATATCGTTAAAAGTTAAGGAAGAAGGACTAGCTGTGTTCCTTTACATTCCGACCGGATGAAAAAGTCCTCGAGTGGTCTAAACGCATCACGTAATCGAATACGCCCCAGCTAAAACTGAGGAATATCTGAGGATAGGCCCCGAGTGGTATTCCCCATTACCAGGGGGCACTGAAAAGTAAACATCCCACGCAGCTAACAGCAAGCTGTTCGTAAGCATCTTTCTCGTCCGTTCGCGGTGGAGATCCAACTCCAACTGCATTTCAACGATTTACTTCGCCGAGAAATACGATTGTGACGAGCTTATGGACAACAGCAGGAGATTCGTCCTCGAGAACTTCCGTTTCGTGGCAGCATTGGATGAATTCCTTAATTTAGAGGCCAAAGAAGTGGAGCAATGGCTTTCAAGAGACGATATTTCCGTTGAAACGGAAGCCGATGTTTTTAAGATCGTACTTGAGTGGATAAAACACAGCGAGCGAAAAGCGTTGTTCGAACAGTTGTTTAGCCACGTCAGACTGGTTTTCTGGTTTTGATGTCGTGTGACTACTTGATAGATGTCGTGACAAATGAACTTGTGCAAGAGAGTTCGCTTGTTTAATGTTGACCTCTGCGGGTTTAAAAATGTCTAGTTTCTCAAGTGAAGGAGGTGTACTCCAAACGCCGAGAAAAAGGAGTCGAACTACAGGGCATTGTAGCGTGTGGGGTGATAAAAGTTTCTGTTATTTTCCCGAAAAGGACCGGTGGAAACGACTACCAGATGGGAGGTAAACAGGCCACACCCAAATGACAAGACACCGGACTAAGTTGTCTAGATTTCTCAGAGTTAGCAGCGTAGAGAGGCATGATCCAGTTTTTAATGTCTAGTCTGAGTTGGAATTGCGTGAAAACTTTTTCAAGGTGGCTATAGTTAAAGGAGAAATGTATGCTCTTGAGCTTAACACTTCTGAGCAACAAACCACTGTCAAAATATACAATGTAGAGCGGTGCGCATGTACAAAGCAAAACTGTGTTGTTTCTGCCGACAGTTGTCTTTATGCTTTTGGTGAGCCGCCAGAAACTAGAAAATATGTTGTGAAAGCCGAGAGATATGACACTGTAGTTAAGAAATGGGAGGAAATCGTGGACATGCTCGAAGAAAGAGACGACGCTTTTGGTGAAGCCACCGAAGACAAAATCTTCGTCGCTGGAGGTAAGCATAGGGAATCAATAATCACGCGATACGAAAACCAGTCGAACGTGACGAAGCAGCTCTTCAAAGGCTGCTTTACGCTCGCTCTTGTTATGTTCAACCCACTTTTGAGCAATCTGGAAAACATCGGCTTCCGTTTCAACAACAATCTCATCACTTGAAATCCACCTCTCCACCTCTTTGGCTTCCAAACTTAGGAATTCATCCATGTCTACTACAGATGCGAAGTTCTCGTTCTTGCTGTCGTTTAGAAGCTCTTCACAATCGTATTTCTCGGCGAAGTCAGTAGAAGGTTGAAATGCAGTTTAACTTACACATTTGTTGTTGTATAAATCGACCAGAGATTGTTTTCAAATTTGTGACGAGGAGATAATTTGTAGCGACGACCAGCTCTTCGGCATTTTCTTTAGTAACCTCTAGAGTTCCAGTGTAGATGAATTCCAAAACATCTTCCATAGCAGATCCCGAAATCTCCTCGAACCGAACGATCCCTTCCCGATTTTCTTTCATATCGCTCTGAAGAAGCTTGCGAAAGAACGGACTCGCTGCGGAAAGGATATTTCTGTAAGCCTTTAACTCTTGATCATCTTTCGTAATCAAAGTTACGTCGCAAAAGTGGCCTTGTTTTCGTTATATGTTGAGCCGTTTCGTCATTTCTACACAAAAAGGATTCTGTTCAGTGACACTGATAGCTGAAAGGTCTTCCATTGTCAAAGGATAGGTAAGCGGAAATTGTGGTGATTAACAATGTCGGAACGCGAATGCGGAAAATTAAAAAAATAGCTTTGTGGTACTCAGGCTGCTCCGGTCAGCTCAGAAGCGATAAGCTGCACCAGGCTTTCAGGAGGTCACCTGGTGGTGACTGGTGCGGAGATTGGGGAGGGAGAGGTACTAGAGATGGGAGGGGAAAGGACGGAATACGGACAGTCTGATTTGACAGCGGTAAGTACGGAAGAGAAATACGTGAGGCAAATATTTCTTAATTATTGGTGTCAGGAGGGTAATGGGCTCCTGTTGGTGTGGAGTGTTCTGAAATGAGGTTGGAGACAAGACTAAAATACGTATGGGAGGTGAAAGAAAAGGGTAAGACAGGTATATGGTTCAAATTCCTCCGTTTCCTTCCATGTATTCCAGAGAGAAATATGTTTTTCGGTAAAATACAGCCCCCTCCCCCCCCCAGTGCCTAAGATATAAGGTTACAAAATTGAAAAAAAAAATTAAAATCAACCGTGAGAGCAAAATTGCCTTAATTTAGAAGCTCACCAAAGGAAAAGCTGGGTGAAATCAATGGTCCCTTCTCACTAGTTACCATTTGCTTTAAACCTTATACTATAAACTGTCTCACTAGTGATAGCATGAGTAGTCATGTTTACAGCACAGGACTTCTAAGTCGTTAAGCACCTTTCACACTGAAAGCTTCTCAAGTCCAAACCATAGCATTGCTTGAGTGGACATAGGGGCGTACCAGGGCCTGAGAGGGTAAAATCGGCAAAAATTTTCTTCTAGACTTTCTCCTATTTGAATGAATTTCCTTCAAATCCAGAAACCAATAAGAAGTCAGGTTTGAGGAAGAGAAACGGAAAGCAGATTAGTGAATAGTCCCTCACGCGATAAATAATGACTGGTCCTCTATGATTCGCTCCACTCTTTTTCACCAAGTCAGAATCCTAGTGTACACGTGACTTGAAGTGGCTCTTGTATCTTCCACAAGTCGAGTTTTGCTTGAAAAAATACTGACTTGCCGGAAGTGAAGCAGTTTCTTTCCACTTCATAGGAGAGAATTAGATGTTACAATTGGAGAGAAATGATATTGGGGAGTCAAGATTTGGGGGAGGTATCTTTCAGCTGACAACGGAGAAGATGAACAATGGTTTCTTGCTCAATGTCAGTGTCTGAGCAACTGCGCACCAATCCCTCCCCTAACCCAACAACAGTAAACTGATAACAAGTTAGGGTTAATGTTGGGTTAAGGGAGAGGTAGGTACGCACGACAAAATATGTTATTCGAAATTATCTTATTGCATGATACTTACTTACTTCCAGAACTAAAGAAAAACAATAGGAGAAGAAAGCGAGGTTGAATATGGTTAGTTTTTTTCATTTTTTCAATTTGAGATAATCGAAGTGAAAAAAAATAAAGAAAGTTTGACAGAAATGTTGTGAGGAGTGTTTACAAGTCCAGAGGAAGATATGATGGAAAATGTGAAAAAGAAAAATTAACTGCCCACTTGAAACTTTATCCAACTCTTCAAGTTACCAATAAGTTGGCTCTTCTACTCATCCCCAGTCTTTCGGAGAATTTGAAATCTGAAGGAGGAGGCTTGAGAACGACCTAGACAACTTCCGCCTTCGATATCTTTCCAAGTATTCCACATTATCACAATATTAGGGAAATCTCTCCTCGATAATAATAACATTAAGTCAAAGATGGAAGACTTACAGCCAATTTCAGCTGTTGAGGAAGCTTTTTTCTGTGTGGAACTGATGAAGCGCCTCAACATTCAGCGAAAACAAGATTAGTAGTGCGACATTACTTTGGTGACGAACGACGACAGAGAGTTTAAAGCTCACAGAAATGTTCTTGCCGCCGCAAGTCCGTTCTTTTGCAAGCTTCTTGAGAGCGACATGAAGGAGAATCGAGAAGGAATTGCTCGATTTGAGGAGATCTCAGGATCTGTTATGGAGGATGTTTTGGAATTCATCTACACTGGAACTGTGGAAGTAACTCAGGAGAATGCTAAGGAACTGATCGCCGCAAGGAATTACCTGATCATACCGAGCATAAAAACTGTTTCTGGTTGATTTCTAAAAGGAGAAATGTCTACTGCAAATTGCATCTCGACCTTTTATCTCGCTGAGAAATACGACTGTGTCGAGCTTATCCACAACAGCAAGAAATTCATCCACGAAAATTTCGCATCTGTATGAGTTTTTGAGCTTGGAAGCTAAAGAGGTGGCGGCGTGGATTTCAAGTGACGAGATTGCTGTGGAAGCGGAAGCCGACGTCTACAAGATTATACTTAAATGGGTTGAACACAGCAAGAGCGAGCGAAAAGCAGCATTTGAAGAGTTGTTTCGTCACGTTAGACTGAGTTTTCTGTCGCGTGACTGTTTGGAGGATGTCGCGACAAACGAACTGGTGCGTGAGAATTTGGCTTGCGTGAAGCTGTTCATGGATGCTACTGTAAAGATGGCTTCTTTTGCGAGTGAAGTTGACCTCCCGCAGTCACCAAGGAAAGGTCTGGAAACAAGTGTTATTTTAGCATGTGGTGGCGAGTACACTTTTTGCTATCTCCCCGAAAAAAACCAGTGGAAGCGGCTGCCAGATGGGTCAACCGAGAGAAACCAGAAAACACAAATGCTAACATTTCGTGATCAGCTGTATACCTTTGAGGAGTTCAGCGAGGTAGAGAAGTATGATCCCGTGTTTAACACCTGGTCATATTCGGAACAGATCGACGTATCGGTAGATGGCACCATTGTGACCGTTGTCAAAGGGGATATGTACGCCATTGAAGTTAACAAACCCGTTGGAAAGTCTACCATCAAGAGATACAATGTGGAGCTTTGTACATGGCAAACAGTTGTGGAATCTCCTCAAGGCTGCAGGAACAGTTGCTGTGTTATCGCAGGTGGCAGCTATCTGTACCTTCTAGGTGGATCGGCTCCTGGCAATGCTAGTTATGTCACTAAGGCTGAGAGATTCAATATTGCGGAAACCCAATGGGAAGAAATCGCTGATATGCGACAAGAAAGAGGTGGTGCCTCTGGAGTGGCAAGTGAAGGAATGATTTTTGTCGCTGGAGGCTTAAACGAAAAGAATAAAGTGTCAAAAAAATGCGAGATGTACAATGTTTCTACAAACGAATGGCACTTTATTGGAAGCTTAAACACTTGGCGTGTGTATGGCAGCATGGTGTGTCTGAGTGGAACATGCTATGTACTAGGTGGCACCAAGAATAATAGGGATAGATTGCTGTCAGTTGAATGTTACGACTCTACAGAAGACAAGTGGATTGAGAAGACATCCATACCAGTGGAAAGGTACTCAACTGAAAATAAGAACACATTCACCGGATGTGTAATGAAGCTCTCTAAAGGAGTACTTGAGAAATCGGACTCTATCAAGGAAGAGCTCATCGGCTTTGGCGTCATTAGCGATCCAGCTGTCATGCCAACTATCTTCCGCACCTCCCCAGCCGGCACCGCTGGCTTCCAGTTCGGCGCCTCCCCAGCCGGCACCGCTGGCTTCAGGTTTGGCGCCTCCTCGGCTGCAAGCGTCTCCCCAACCAGAAGTGGCCTAATATTTGGCACCGGCACCCTCCCCTCCACAACCCTCGCCTCAGCCGTCACCACTAGCTTCCGCTTTGGCGCCTCCTCGGCTGCAAGCGTCTCCCCAGCCAGAAGTGGCCTAACATTTGTCACCACCACCAGCGCCAGAGCCTTCGGCCTCATTCCGTCAAGCCAACCTGCTGCGGTTCGTGTCCCTATATTTGAGTTGTCTGATGATGATGATGATGATGATGATGATGGTGATGACTGACTGACTGAGTTGGCTTCCATACATTCCCCTTTAATTTACTTTAAGGAGACAATTAAAAGTTTTTCTCGCGAGTGTTTAAACTTAATAAATCTTCAAAATTGTTTCGTAGTCAGTGGACAAGGGACAAAACAACGAGACATCTTACACGTCTCGGTCATTCGATATCACGTGTGTGATTTCACTACAGCTATTCGACAGTAAAACATAGTCTTGCATGTTTAAATCGTTACAGTTATAAAATACAGTCTTGTATAAATAGCACACAGACTTAGCAATAGCAAGATTCTTCAAGGAATGTAAAGGAGCATGCGCAAAGTTAAGAAAGCCGCTGCAAATTCAATTTCACTACTGCTCATAGTTATGACTTTCTTCCTTTTTGTTCCACATCATTGTGAAACTTCAGATTGCCATAAACTTTTATACTTTTCTAGTTTGGAGACTCGGCAATGTCTTTTTTGATCTTTAAGTCCTCATCAACTCAAGAGATTTCTTGCAGAAAACAATCAGTTTTCTGTAAACCATTTATGTTGCATAGACAAGACACATTCATATAAACAAGGACACGTATTTTCCTTTTATAACGAGTAAATGCGAGAGACATGATAATTGTTCACGATTAATTGATAAGTCTTGGTAGATTGTAGTGTGATGAGACCGCAGTAAGTAGTGAGTAAGCTGCTCCACAATGAAAATAAAGTGCTCGACTTTCAAGGGTAATGCGTGGTGCAGTTGTCACCCATATCCCCTTATGCGGACCCACCCTACATTTGACAAAAAAAAATATTAACACAATTTATCCTCTCTGACTTGCCTCAATTAGTTTAGTAATCATCTTGGATTGATTTTAGTTGCTTTGCGTGACATCCTGAGAACCAGAAGCGAAGGAGAATGGGTCTGCTAGTTTTTTTCCACCAAAAATTGTATGCATAGGTTGCAGTATATGAACTCATTCGATCAAAACCACCCACGGATTAGATCATTCCCTCACTACTTATATTGTGATTTTTCACGGGTAAGTTGAATAACGGAATAAACAAACTAAAAATTTGTCTGTGAATAAGAAGAAAGGAATCCTTGATTCGTTATCAGGCTAAACAAACCACCGTCCAGACTGAACGAGTTAAGTGCATTTCGCGCGGGAAAACAATCCACTCACACCGCCAAGCGCGGGAAAACACAGGACCTCGTTGGTTGCTCCTGATTGGTTAGACTGACCCGAATATGTACTCTGATTTGCTAAAGGGCACAGTAGATGGTTTTTGATACCATCAAGAAATATCAGTAAAAGTAAAACCAAAGTAAACACGTAATTACTCTCTAGACAATCCACAATTTATAATAAATATCAGGGTGAGAGGTTAGAGGTTATTTTCCAAGAGACTGGATCAGCAGTTTGTTGATGTCCTCCAGTTGTTCAGACACATTTTGCTTCAGAGGCCGATAGTCGCTCTCCATGCTCTTTGTAGCAATAACTGAGTAAAGTCAAGGAAATGTCGCAGTGCACGTAATTAAAGTCACCTATTTCTCATATGTCCAGGGCATCCCTTGAAGTAAGAAATTTTAGTATTTAGGTTAAATAAAAGCACTTAATCAAAAACTTCCTTTCAGTTGCTTTCAGACTAGCTTCCATTATACACTTGAGCTTACCCATAGGTGTTAAATTGAAAGATTACAGTGTGAATTTTATAGAACCGGACGATTCCACCATCCACAATATATTGTTTTCATTCTATTCAGTTCAAAAGGATACACTCCTTCATGACAAAGTTGTTTTGTTCATGGTGTTGCCATTTTCTTTCTAAGTTTCCAAGCTGCAAAGAAATTAGAAGACAGCGATCAGAGCGTGAACAACACAAAAGTACTCCAGGTGTTTCCTACGATATCGACGATGAAGATGAAATGTTGGTTGCGTTTGTGACAAGTAGTACCTGAGAATGTGTCTCGTTTTCCATCAGTTTACTCTTCGTAGCATCATAAAGTGAAGACAGCCTCTGAACGTCTAAAAAAACAAAAAAAAAAAGAATGGAATTATGCTGCATTGATTCGATAATAGGCACTAAAATTTGTACCAAATGAATGGTCTAAGGAAAAACGAGCAAGCAAACACATAAATAGACAGATAAAAATGTGAAAAAAGGGAAATAAAATGACGAAAGATCAACACATTAACAACGATGAAATGAGATCGCAAACACACGAATGATAAGATATATGTACAAACACATAAACAAAGGAATATATTCCTTATTTCGTATTATCAACCGAGTTAATAACGACCAAACGAAAGAACATGCTTGTGAACATCGACACGAATGAAAAGAAAAAAATACAAGATTAAAACATCAACTGATAAATAATTAAACAGAGAACAACCTAAAAAAATGCAGAGAATGAATAACGGAAGAACATACAAGAAAACGCATGAAAGATTGACTCAACTTACGCTTTTTAAATGTTTCTTTCCTTGCGGACAGTGTCTTCTTTTCTCCATACAAACGCTATCGACAAGACAAAAAGTAACAATATTTGTTTATTTAAATGAAGAAGGTGAACTTTTTTTATCAGCGTTTGTTATTAGCGAAAAGGAGTAAGCCTTTCCGGCTTTTCATTGTAATATTGTTAAGCCCAAGCATTTAGTTTGAGTCACAGCTGAAGGTATGGAAAGCTTACCGTTTTTTTCTCCTCTGACTGGTCTCTCAGGGCATCCAGATCGCTAAATGTTTCAAGTTCCTAAAGGCAAACAATACATATAAGGATGTAGATGACGGATTGGCTGAACAGAGAAAGAATGGAACGAAGTAACAGAAACACAAAACGGCAGGAAAAAGACTAATGAAGATACGACGGATCAAATGAACGAACTGTAGTGCAAATTATTAAATGGACGGATCGATGAATTACATCTGTGCTAAACTGGATGGATGTTAGAGATACTAAGATGCAACAATGAATGATTTCATGAATGAATAAATGAAATGAATGAAAGACACAAAAACCCGTTTAATATTTGGATGGCATGGGCTATGAAATTATAATTCAAAACATTGTAATTAAAAAAACAGTAAAATTATCACCTGCGTCATTGTCTGGATTCTTTCTTTCAGTGATTCAAGTTCTGTCGTTATTTTTGTCTCGAGCTGTTGAATACAAAGCAAAAATCACCTCAAATTATTTAAAATCACAACAATCACATGAATGCAGTAATTGAAATGCGTTGTCCTACTATTAGAGTACCTCCATCTAATTAAGAGTATAATTACGTATCGGAGAGTTGATCGAGATACTTGACCCTTTCACTCCTAAGATCTGATTGTTAATACTCCCCTCTGGCTTATACTCATTTCCTTGTAAATTAGTAACGAGAATTTGGCATTAAATCAAGATAACAACATCTACCTAATAAATTTGAGTATTTTCATCACCTGTTTGCTGGATAATGTATGGATAATTTAGGGAGAAATTACAGGTTAATCACTTTGGAGTTAAAAAGGTTAAAGAAATATCTCCTGTCCCAGAGGAATGGCCATTCCCCACTTTTTTTTCTTTCATACTAAAAAGACCGTAGGAACCGCAAGAAAATTGTTGAAGGGATTACTATGGGTTGTTTTTGTGATGGGAAGTGAAATATGAAGGGCTTTTACTTCAAGGGGATGGGAAGGGGGGTCAATTAGGTAATGTAAGAACTCGAAACCATAGCAAGGAAAATACATGTACTTTATATTTCTCCTCACCTGCTCAACTTTCTCCAGATCCATTTGAAGACGGGTGTGCTCTAGAAAAAAAATTGAAAATAAAAACACAAGAAACAAACTATAACTAAACCAAAGACTACCACGTTACAGGTCATATTTGGGCCAACAAATAAACGACGTTTGCAGGTTTTGTGCGTTCCAGCCCTTACCTGACCCTAAACTGGTCGCCGTAGACTGGGACTTATGCATTTCTGTTTCTTTAAAGTTTAGATCATCCTGCCCGAAAGGAAAAACACAGCGTTAGCTAGATGGTATATACAGAGTCTTAGACTTCTTCTGACGGAACTGGCAAAGTCAGTTTCTTGGAATCAAGCACTAATATGAAATGAAGTTTTAGATAAGAAAATGGCAAAAAGAGAGAGAGAAAGGTTGGCGAGGGAGAATGAGAGGATAGAACGGACAGATGAGGGCTGATATAGGGGTGGGAAAGAAAGGGAATGAAAAGTAGAAGATGCGGAAGGTGAAAAGGAATATGTATACTATAGGATTCGTACCTTTTTTCAGAAACAAATTCAAGGACTTTCCCAGGACTTAGATTGATTTTTCCAGGGCTCCAAATTTAAACTTAAACCCTTTCATTCCCATGATTTCAAAATCAATTCTCCTTACTGTCTTTATAAATATTATAATATAATAATATTACAATAATATTATAAATTATTATAACGTAAATTTTAAAAGCTTTATTGCCTAATTCAGGAAAATTTTCAGGACTCTCCAGAACCTATAGTCTTTTTTCCAGGACTTTCCAGTCCTTGAAAATGTCAAAACAGGTTTTTCAGGACCTGTACGAACCCTGATAATACGAGGAGGAGGAATTTAAATTTTAAGCGGTGAAAGTATAGAGAGATGGTCTCGGAAGAGTTAAGGGTTAAGAATGTAATGGTTGAAGATCAAAAAAATAAACAGAGGAAGTTTCGATTGATTGTCTTAACACCAGGGTAATTAAAACGGTTAATCAGACCAAAGGAAATTTCTCAAGAAACCAAGGAGAAGTCAAAACAAACAAATCTCATAATGCAGCAAGCGCGAGTGGCCAAGTTCGTGATTATCCTACGTTCTGTACCTGATTGCTAGAGAAAGTAGCGCGAGTTTTCTACACCAATCTCAGAGTAAGACAATACGAATGCAACAAAATACTAAATTGCCTTCGACACTCATTTGAAAGTCGCGTCTCTAATGCAAGAAAATCTGAAGAGTACCTTCATTCGTTGAAGTTCTGCCGGACTGGGTAAGTGCTTTGTACGTGCCATTCCCTGATGACAAAAGATAAAACAGTAAACAAATATATCTCATGAGACGTTTTGGTGTATACTATCGCTGAGTATTTTTACAAGTTGTACCTTCTTTTGAAGAGCCCGTCGGGCGAGTCTAAATACAAACAACGAGTAAAATACTAAGCAGTATTACAAACCGTATAATGAGTTTTTTATTATCAAACTGCTTTGTTTTCTGCTTATTTCTCACAAGGTAGGAACAGCAAAGCATATAGAGCAGATTACTTCAGTTTAAAATCAGAGAGCTATATAATCGGGAGGAAAAGTGCGAAAATTGAGCATGAGCCACAACAGTAAATATTATAACGATGTAAGAACATAGCAAAAAAACAACAACCGCTGTTTGACGATTCAAACGTACAAAAGGTCTTCATCGCACTAAACCAAAGAAAAAAAAACTCATTTTTTAAGGAAGACGTTAAACATTTTGTCACAAAAGTGGGAGAAAGCAAAAGGAAGAGGCCCCGAAGAAGGATTCGAACCTCCTCTTTCCCTGTGCGTTTTTATTTAAAAAAAAAAAAACTTGATTGTGAATAGAGAGATAAACTAACCCTGCTCATATGCTCCAAGACGTTCACAATGTTGTTTTCCAACTGCTGCTTCCTCGTCTGTTGAAAATCGCAAAAGTCACAAAATCACATCAAAGTAAACAATAACAAGGAACACCTGTACAAAAACAGCCCTTAGACGTACAAGGGAGGAGTGAATGGCAACCCCCACCCCACTCCTCTTGGTACCAAGTGAGATTGTCCGAGACATTCAAGCTTTGACCCTTTTACTTCCAAGATCCCATTAGAAATTCTCCTCACTGTCTGCTATACGATTCTTATGAGGTTAGTTCTGGGAATTTGGTATTGGATCCACTGATAATTCCCTAATTGACATTTTTCTTTATTCTCATGACTTATCTGCTTGATGTTGTATTGATATTGTAAGGAGAAATTCCGTCTTGGTCACTCATGGGAGTTGCAGGGTTAACTGATTGAGTTCGCTGGTGAACTAACCTGTTCATTGGCCTTAACTTCCTCAAACGTTTCCAAAAATTCTATAGAAAGCAGAGAAGAATGAACATTACAACACAGGTATACTGCACATGTTATGGATCAAGTTTCAGGTCGGCAATTTCAAGTCTTAATATTTCTACCAGTTGTGATACTCCATCCGAAGAGGCTTTCTAACCTCGCTATCTTTCGTTACGTTTGATAATAATAATAATAATATAAATAATAATAATAATATAAATAATAATAACAACGATAGTTTTAATAATAATAAGAGTATTTACAAAGGGTAACACTAAACACGTACAAACTGATAAACTTGTGGCACAAACAAATTGGAAATAAACATTGTAAATAATCATAAACATTAAGTGTTTAAAAATCACAACTGACAGGAGGCAGACGAGTTGGTCAAAAACAAAGTGCAGCCAGCTGAGGGGCAACTGAGATCAAATCCAGTGAGCAGCAGGGAGGAGAGCATGAGCCTGGGACCAACAGATTACAGGACCAGCGCCCCAACAACTTGGCTACACTGCCTCCGCTCAATCGAACACTGTCGCTACTCTTGTACATACCGTCCATCGTTTCTTCCCGCTTTTTCAACTCTTTGTACTTCACATTTCGTTCGCCTGAAATCCAGAGAGGTTTAAGTTAAGTTCACCTGTAATTTGAGTTTAAATATTCCTCCGTTTCCATCTTACCTGAAACTACTGCACTACTGTGCTGTGAAATTCAACCTTACAAACCACCACAATAAAGAAACATTTACGACTACAACAAAGAAAGAAGCAAAGACAACCCGCGTTCGCTTCCATGCATGATAATGTATTATACACTCACTAACCTGAATAGCAAGCGCACGTGGAAAGAGGGAAACGCGCGAGACGAGTTTTTCCCATCTATTACGCGCGCGTTTTCTCCCTTTCGCACGCACCCCGTCGAGATTCAGGTTGTCTTTACGCAAGCACTCGCTACAGCTGTATGTCACAGGCCACTTACGATGCAGTTATTTGTATACATGTATTGCAAATGTCTAACCTTGATGTTCTTCAAGATCCATATCCAGCTGTTGAATTTCACCGTTTGCTGCTTCAATTTTCTCTCGGAGTTCAGAGGTCCTGCAGTCAGAGTATGAAACGACTTTTAGCAGAGAGCTCAGATGACAAACTACACAGCATGCTAACAGTCTTTCTGACAAACTTTTTTTGCTAGCTTGCGCAAAAAGCTGTGGTAGGAATGAAAGAGGATGGAGCCTTACGATTAAACTTGGCAAAAGCTGCACACTACTGTAGCACCAAAAAATGCATTTAAAAAAAATATATAAAAGAAACAAAAAAGGCAAACACTAAAAACATACACACAAACTTTGAAAAGCCTTACTTTCGCTCCATGCCTGCAATCTCCTGATTGTCTTCTTTCACCTGTACAGAAAAAAAATTGATACTTTCATCGTCACTTAAAACTAAATCAAACACGGACAAATTTATTATCATTTTTGTAGAGTTAAACAGGTCAAACTCTCTGGCGAAACAATATCAAGCGTCGGTCCCAAACAGCTAGATCAAACTCAGGTTTCAAGTGAGTTAAACGGAAATTAAAAGAGCAGTCATCGAGGTATTCTTTTAGACATGTTGTACGACCTCACTAACAAAGCACGTCTGAGAAGACTTTTTTAAAACCACTATGTTCATTATCCACCGTCAACGATAAGGGTAAAATCAAATGGCCTGAGCTGATGTAGTAACTTGACTAATTCAAAAACAATGTAAACAACCAATAGCGGATTTCTCCTTTACTCAAACTGTCGCCGGGAGATTTACCTGTTTCAAGAGTCTCTCTCTTTCTTCAGCAGGAGTTCCTTTGTTCTCTTTCTCCATCTCATCAAGCAAACTTTGTTTCTTCTCTCCCAGTTCGTTCAATTTTTCGTATAATGTCACTGTAAGTAGAGATGAGACACAAATGGTCTCCTTAGACATGTTGCTGTGTTACACAGCTGTATTTATCATCAGATAATAACACCCTCTGGCTGGTAACCTTGATGATTGTTACTGTAACTTTCCTGGTAAACAACTTGAAATTGTGAGGGAAAATAAAAAAATAAATAAATAAAATATTTCCTCACAATTTCAAGCAATGAACATTTAATGTTCATCACTTCTTGAAGCTGAAGGTTTAAGTACAAACATTTTAAGAGGACTATAAGTTATACCTGCTTCTTGTTTAACTGGAGAACTGGATACCTCCTGTTGAAATATTAAACAAATACTATTAATATAACAGTTAAACCTGTAGCAATGCTGTGCAGTCAAATTCATGACTCTGTGACTCAGTAGGTGCCTAGTTATAAGATAACAATTACTACTGGTATTTCAAACGTGTAAAGTTGCATTGCACTCTACACAGACCTGTACAAACTCATTTCATGTACTATACTTAAAGTGCTTACATCTTCAAGATTCTGAATGCGAGTTGTGAGAGCATCCAGGTCTTGCTGTTTCTGTTCAAGTTCCTATCAAGTGAGGCAAGATAATATTCTATGTCATAAAACTAGTGTTACAACAATCAGAAGCATACAAATTACATGTAGCTTGAATGCTTCAGCTATAACAAAGGAACTCCTTATTCTACAAATGAGCTAAAAACGTGTCATATTTCCTTATTTATTTACACACACTCTGTGCTGTTCACTGCTGTACCTCTGCCACTTTGTGCAGTAATCTAGCCATGTACTGTATTTACCTGCATGTTCTTCATAACAGACTTGTTATCTACATGTATTTGTGCAAGTTTTACCCAGGATAAGTCAGGAAAAGGTGTGTTGCTACAAAAATGTTTCCAAAAATTAAAGTTAATTGTGAAGAATAACTCCCTGAATGAACCTGTCACCCAACTATCAACTGACTGTTGGCCAAATGTCGGCTGAGTGATGGCCAACAGTCAGCCATCAGTCAACTGACAGTTTTAAGCCCATCTGTTGGCCAACAGGTTTTTTCAGGCAGCTGTTCTTCACAATTACCCAAATAAAACTGTTGTCTTGGAGAGAAAAATAAATTTGTATTAAAATTAATACTCACTGTCTGCAGAGAATTGTTGACATTTTTCAACTTAGCATACTTTGCTCTCTGATCAGGAGGCTGCAGGGAAATATCACAAAAGGAAAAGAATTAGTCTTGCAAAACGCTATAAAAAACAAGGACAACAGAAGCAACAGTTTTATTAGTTAAAAGTATTTAGAAAGTTAACTCATATGCTGACATCTTTCAAATATTAGATTAAAGTAATAGAGCTTGTATTTTCGTAAATTTGTTCTAGAATTGTAGTAGCTTCCTGATGTTTATGCAGTGCAGATGGTCAAAACGTAAGGTCATACAAGGTAAACTGTAACTGCAGTCAGTGAAAGACATAGTAAATGTATTAGGAAAAAAAAGTTGCCTTCTCTTTTTCTAGCTCAAAAACCCTGATGATCACTTCTTTTAACATAATCAAAATATTACCAAGCAAAAAGGTCAGGAGAATAGAAGCTGACTGATTCCTTTCTTGACCATGATGGATTAAGCTTAATAATCAGTAATAATTTTAACATAATTAAAAAATTTATGTGAGCCTATTAACACCACATTGCACTCAAAATCATGTTATTGCCAATACAAAGAGGGCCTGGCTTTCAGGTTCCCAGCAGTTCCACTACAGTACCCTTGTTTCCTTTAAGTACATGTATATTGAATTTTTTAAAATATCAGTATTAATCATTTCATAAAGTAACAGCCAGTTCAATGAATAATCTAAGTTTTCCTGCAAAATTTGAACTGAATTCTTAGTTTTACCATGTCTTCCACCAAGCTCTCAGCCATTCTCCGTTCCTGGTCAAGTTCAAGCTCCAGTTGTTTTATCTGCTGCTCTTTACTGAGAAAAAAGAATAAAGAAACAATCAATACCACATGTAGTTAATGTACAGGCTGCATTATTGTGACGTTTGAGTCTTTATAGTGTAAGGGGAATTTATGTAACTTGATTAGTGAATGATTGGTAGAGTTAGTGAACCAATTAGTTGAGTCAGTTGCTTTATCTGCTACTCTTGGCTGAGAAAAAAGAATGAAGAAACATTATCAACATCACACACAGTCAATGAACTGGCTGCATTACTGTGATGTTAGAGTATTCATGGTATTATATGGTGTATGTAACTTGATTAGTGAATGATTAGAGGAGTTATTGAACAATTAGTTGAGTTAGTTGCTTTATCTGCTGCTCTTTGCATAGAAGAAGGAAATAAGAACTAATCAACATCTGACATGCACTTAATGTACAGGCAGCGTTACCATGATGTTATAGTCTTTATGGTATTATGTAACTTGATTAGTAAATGATTAGATGAGTAAGTGAACATGTGTTTGGATATAGTGTATACACTACACTAAAAAGTAATTTAAAAAAAGTAATTTTCTCACCTAACTACCAAACACAGTCCTCCACATTAGAGACTTACATGGCAAATTTAGTTGCAAACATTTTATTCTACTATCTATTGCCATGAGACTGGTTGCAGCATGCAGTGCTGACAGTGGTAAGAACAATATACAGTCATCTCAGTTTTTGTTGACAGTCAATTTCTTTATGTGACAAGTAACTTACCACAATAATTATAATTATAAGAGTTTACTTACTCTCTTCTCTGAGTGAATAATTCATCAATGGAATTCTGTTCCCGCTCATTCTGAATTTTAAGCTTAAGTAGAAAAAAGATTACAATCAGTGTTCATTTGCAGCCTTGGCCATAAGGAACATACATGTACAACACACACTGATATTATTTAACTGGGATTAAAGAAACAGGAAAAACTCACTGCATTGAAGTCTTGAACAATGTCATCCATTTCTGTGTCTGTGTTAATTTTGTCCAACAGCTGTTACAAATTTAAAATAGAAAAGATGAGAGAGCACTCATTCCGTTTACAACTGTATTTACTCAACTACCTAGAATTAGCGTTGTCTATTTTAACAGCTTGATGAACATTGTATCAATTTTGTGTTATTACCGTGTTATAATCAGCTAATTGTCCTTGGAGTTCTTTGATTTCTGTGGCTAAACCTTCAGCTCTGGAATGTGAGAAAGAGAACCTTAATTTTATCAATTCCTCTTCATATATATTGAAAATGAATGCAGACATCCCAAACATTTCCAGTACATCTAGTCTTTCTTGCACTATCAACCATTTTAATTACAATTATTCTACATTTAAATGTGGAAAACATGAAATTTGAATTCAGGCAAAACAAAAATTCTAGCACATCATGTCATTTTTACAAATTAAAGGACATGCAGCATTACACTATTTGCCATAACCCTTTAACCACTAAGAGAGGGTGGCATCTAATTTTTTCTTACAATATCATGCTGGACTCACACATTAAGGTCATGAGAATAAAGGAAATGATTGCCAACTAAAGAAGCTCTTGATTGTTAAACAAATTCTCCTCACTAGTACCTTAGAAATGCATAAAGAAAAGTTTGGAGAAAATGCACACTAATGTTAGGGTGTAAAGAGTAAAAAAGCTGTGAGATTATAATGATAGTAAGTATACTGCAGAAATTAAAATATATTAAGAAAAGAAAACCCATCATACCGTTTTTCATAAGTTAGAAATGTTGCATTCTCTTGGTTGAACTGGTCAACCTCTTTTTGCATTTTTGCTATCTCTGCTGCAAGCTCTGTAATTTTTGCCCTGAGACAAACAAACAAGCAAAATATTAAATAACATACTAGTCATATAATTTTTTTGTAAAAGAAAAAAAATTTTTTTACATCTCTTTTAAATTGATGTTAAGGATGCTAGGATCAATGTCAGTACCTAAGTAACTGCAAACCAACATGTACCCCTCCCTTAACCCAACAACAGTTGCCTGATAAAACGATAAGGGCTGATGTTGGGTTAAGGGAGGGGTAGGTGGGTATTTGCTCAGATACTGACATTGATTTGGATGCTAAATATACTTAAATTTAAACAAACATTTGAAATTACTGTCTAATGGCTAATTTGCAACTCTGTATAATCATAAACTTGAAAACAAGCACACTATATACTAATCTTTTCACTAACTGGGGTGACAAACTCTTCAAATGCATACTGCTTATAATCTGGGAGTTTTTCTCTTATCTTTATTATGTCATTGTCCAGACTGCTGGAAAGTAAAATATTTCAATAACACCTAGTTACCTCAGTTGCCCCATGTAGAAAGACTTGTCATAAATTGCCCTCTGTGGACCTTGATGAAAAAAACAACCATCATAAGATTTTCAAGTGAAGAGAACCTCACTCTTCAAACAGACCACTCTTAAGTATAAACTATGCAATAAATAAAAAACACATTGCTTAATATAAACACAGCAGCAAATTAAACAAAAGCAAGAAACTACATGCATTTACAGTAATGCAAGTGTAGTTTTTGAATGATCTGAACTTACATTCATCTTATGAAATAACATTTGAATATTTAATTGCTGATTTACTTTGTATTAAATTGTTGCTCCATATATCTTGAGCGTTAAATTAAATCTAACCTCTGCCAGCTGAAGTCTTCATTCCAGTTAAGCCTTGCTTTGTCATTGGTCTCTCTGCTACTCTTATCTGTGCATTCAAAGCTAAAACAAAGAAAAAAAATACAGCTTTAATCACAAGATCACTAAATTAGAAGGCTCAGACCAAACAATTTACCTTGTGATTATAGAATTTCCACTGAATAAAACTGAACTGAACTCACTATTAAATAAAAAGTCATTGGGAGCTGAAAGCTTTTCATTGACAGAGGCATTTGATTTTTTTTATGCCACTCCAAAAATAATAGATATCTTCAAATTAATAGTTACATGTACAAAGGAATAAATTTGAAATTCAATCATTCTAACCATGAATCACATCAAATTTAAGCAAGTTTCATTAAGTATTTTACTCAAACAAATACACTCTGATTCATTTAGCAGCCAACCATATGTTTCTAGGATTTTGATTATTTTTACCAAAAGGAAATTCAATTTTTTCAAAACAACATCAAATTCTAATTTTCCCTGAGGGTTTGCCATGACCTTTCCTGTCACAATGTATTCTTAACATACTTGGTCATTATGTTTTGTGGTTAATTGTGTCCATGAAACATCGAATTAAGTTATCAAAAATGCAGTAGCATTTGACATTCTTCACCTCCACCCAATTCACCAGCTCTTGATCCTGGCCTGGCAGTGCCTGGGGCCTGTTGAATATAAGGTTCAAATTAACAAAATTTCATCCAGTTACTACATTAATTATAGTATTACTCACAAGTTAGTTACATTTCTACCTTTTTCCTTAGCTGGCTGAGAGCATCTTACATTAAATTTCAAAATGACAACACCACAACATGTTATCATCCCACTGTTGAACCCAGCAACATATATGCCATGAGGTCACCAGGCTTGCCTTTATTCATCCCATAATTGCTACTTTAACTACGGGACGGGTATTCTAACAAGACAGACTCTTTCCTTGTGAGGTGCAAAGCTTGCCCCACCAGAGAGGTGACTAAATAGGTTAATTTAATTTTGTGCGGTGATTTAGCAATAAAAATTACCTTTCACCTCTAGCTTGGCATTTATCAGTAAAAGATAGCACTTACCATTCCAGTTCCTGGAGGCAGTCTCATTGCAGCAGTACCTTAACAGAGTATAATATTAATTTTTTTATAGTTAATAAAGGTTACAACTGCTATAAATCAGTTTTACACCTGGTTCAACATTATTATTTCAGTCTCTTTGAATTTCTGGGTAGAACAATTACAAATAAAAAAAGATGTTAGTGTTTAAAGCCACCCCATATTTCAGTGCATGGTAAATCCCTTTAAATACCTAAATTGAATCAATAAATTTGGTTGGCTTGTTTCAACAATACCCAAAGCCTTGAAAAACTAGAATAAATGCACAATAACAAACCAAATCCTTCTCAAAATCTGTTCCACCATCCAGAGCTAATCTGCATGCAACCTCTATCAGAGACATAACATTTCTTTCTATGCCATAGCAACAAAGCAATTTTATTTAATTAAATTTAGCAGCTTAATTTTCTGTCCTCTTTCTACATTTCATACTTCAAGTACATGTAGACGCTTTATGAATTCAATGGGTTTACTTCATTCATTACCTGGAGGTCTTCCCATAGCTGTTATATGTTGTAAAAATATTTGTCAAGGAATCAAGAATGCATGGATACACCCCTCAATCATTCAGTCATGCTCTTACTACTGCATACATTTTCTAATTACCGGTAACATTTTCAAATAATTACAATCTTGGGTTTAATTTTTTTTGTCTTGCCCTATTATAAGGTTCACATTAACCCTTTAATTCACAGATGTAATTAACAAGTAATTTCTCATTATGATTTTAAGACACTGTCTTGCAAACAGATGATGAGAACTAAGAAACATATCAGCTGGGAGTTGTTATCTTGAAATGACACCTACTATCATTCTTTTGTCTAATTAGCCCTGCACAGCTTAACATTGGTATGCATACTCTTCAGACTGTTCTCAATACATTCCCAAGGGTACTGATTCTCTTTTGAGGGTTGAAAGGTGGGCAAGGAGATGTGAATGTAATACGAAAGGGAGACTTATTGATAAGATCTTGGGAGTTAATAGGTTAAGATACTGCATGAAAAAGCTGCTCTCAAAGTCCCCTGTGACCCAAACAGCCTTCAAACCATATTGTATTTTTCAATCTTAGTAGCCAGGCTTCTGGATTAAATACTGTCTCTACATCCATCTGAGCTTAGCAAAAATCTAAAATTAAACCTTAATAAAATAGGATACAGCTTGGGGGCATCCTTCCTCTTGCTCCACTTCCTGGTCTCATTCCTTTCCCAGAAGGTGGTCTGTAACCTCGTGCAGAAGGTGGACGTCCTCCTCCAAAATCACTCCTACAGTTTTAACAAATAATATTTTTACCATCTACCAAATGCTATCCTCTTTGAGAAATGCCTTGACTACCTTTTGTACTAACTAAATATAATTGCAATTCAGGTTGATAACATTCATATCAATTCAATTTGTGAAAAATAACAGAAATGGTGATAGAAATGATAGTAGATCTACTGTGACGTACCTTGACTCTTTCACTCCCAAAATCTAATGTATTTAGTAATTCTTCCTACTGTCTGCTATACAATCTTTTGGTATTACTTGAGAGAATTTAGTATTTGATCAACTTAAGGTCCCCTAAATTAACTTCTGCTTTATTCTCATTACTTTTCCACTTGATACTGTACTGATATTTTAAGGAGAGGTTCTCTCTTGATCACTCATGGGAGTTAAAGGGTTAACTCTTTCCCTTGCAAGATCTAAACAGTGATTCTATACTTTGTTTTCCATTCATCACTCATAATATTAGATCTGAGAATTTGGTGGTTGATTCAATTCTCAACTAAGGGTTACTCCTTTGGTATAAGACTAAATTCTTAGAACTACCACTGAAAGAAATGTAATGGCCTCAAGGTTGCTTATTAAGGAGTACTCAAATTTATATTTTGGGAGTGAAAGAGTTAAACTAGTTTGACTTGTATCTTCATTGTTCAAGGAATAAGGTAATCTACGCGTACTTATTGCAGAGCAAAGAAAGTAGCTACAGTAAACCTAATTTTATTTCATTTTTATCAATAAGTTATTTTAAGCTAAAGCATAGCCATGGAAAAATAGCTGACAAACTCATGGGACTGAGCTAGTAAACATTTTAAGATTTTTTTAATGTGAAATGATAATTGTAGCTTTTAATCCTAATTTTTAGTCATGAATTCAGGACCACTCGCTCACATCTCCTAAATAACAACAATTAACCCTTTACACCCTAACATCAGTATGTATATTCTCCATACTGTTCTCTATACATTTCCTGAGGTGCTGACCAAGAGAATTTGGTTAGCAATGTGGAGCTTCTTTGGTAGGTGATCATTTCATTTATTCTCATGACCTTAATGTTTGATTCAGGGGTGATATTGTAAGGAGAATTTACATTAGATGCTAGTCACTCTTAGGAGTTAAAGGGTTTAATAACCTTTTCAGTGTTACTCCTTGTTCTTCAAAGACTGGTAAAAGGTAGGAAATCAGTAGCCCTCTACTTTTTAGCTGCTCCTAAATTTCTGTGGTAAACTTTTAAAAACGAGTACATCATAACAGATCAAAATATGTTACATCTACTTGTGATAATTGAGGCCATCCTCGGCTGAGTATTGTACACGTAGTGTACATTGTTACTCGGCGTAATTCCAAAAACATTTAAAGCATTATTAGTGCAAAAATATTACACATTAAAGCTCTGTTTTTAATGGTTAGGGCTCGCAGGAGAAGTAATGGTAACAATTTTCGTCAAACATCAAATTCGTGAAGGGCGAATTAGAATTTTTTCTCTTTTTTTAGTTTGGAAATTTCTGCAAAACAAATACAGGACGAATCCTGGAGCAGGAAAAAAAATTAAAGCAAAAGCACGAGTTCAACGGCTGCTTGTAATAAAAAGTTGTGGTTATTCAATGCCATTCTCAATGCAAATGGCGATCGTTTGTCATACGGTGTTTATATGATCATAGCAACAACATCAGCACATTCACACCGTCAAAAGTTAACTTTTCTCGCGGAAGAATTGATCTTAATTGAAAATAATTATTAACTGCAGATATTTTTAGGCATTTCTGGGAAATTACAGCCATAAAAAACAGAAATTAACTTACATTTGGGTAAGTTTTCCACTGTTGATTTCTGCAGCAACAAACCTAAGAATCTCGCAATGACTTGTGGGTTGCGAATGCAAAACCGCTGTGCATGGCATGACCAACTAAATAGGTCCGCAGTATGTGTACACAGAGGGGCGATTGTCAACGACAGTTGATCGTAGACTTCCCACCACCGCATGACAATAAATGGTTTATTGCAATTTCCTGCAACATGAACAGTGTTTAGTTAGTGATCAATTTCTTTATTCTCGTGACCTTAATGTGCGATTCAGGGGTGATATCCTTCTCGGATCAATCTTGGACAGTTCTAGACTAGACTAATACCTCATTCACACCAAAGCTTAAACATGTTTTAGAGTTGTTTTGTTTAACACCGTTTAATTTTTTTTCTTTTAGATACTACTTAACCAAGTATTTTTTTGCTTAAATGTCAGTAGCACATTTCAAATGCAAGTTAGCAAGTACTTGAATCCTATGGAAAATTAAGTTTTTCAGTTCTCTGTTTATGATTTTCCTTCAGTAAAAACCAGTTTAACAAAACATATTTTGCTGGTGTGAATAGGGTATAAGTTTGCGTTCGAAAACTTTCATTTCGTTTTTTTTGTTACTTAGATCACTGAAATATAATAACAATGATTTGTTTATGAAACCTACTAGACATAATTTCTGAAAATGTCACAACCACTAAAAACAGAAAAATACAATTTTTAGTACACTGATTAACGGTAAAATTGTATTTCACCAATAACGTTCGTACCATAAACGCGTTGGTTTTGTTTAGTTTGAGTGCTATATTAGTACTTTGTTTCGAATGAAAAATGTGTTTAAGCCTCGAAGTTTGTAAAAAAAAAGATATTAATTAAAAAATAGGCGATCAAAATCATGTTCAGGATAGTATAGCATCACAAAGGCTTGGAATAATCTTTTATCACTTAATTCGAATCAGATTTTGCTAAGCACTGGTCGGTAGCTAGTTTGTGGTATGAAGCATATGAAATAAACATAACTGAACTAAGTTATATACTCGCTGAGACGGTCGCTTTATTGTGGAGAGTCTCGAATCGTTTATAAATTTCTGTAAAGCTTAACTTGAATATGATGAGAGGAAAGTATTTTTTTTAACGTATACAAAATTTTTTTGTGTATCTTAACTCTAGAGAGCTCGAACATCATGGCTCTAGAGCGCTGCTAAATAAAAAGCTTATTCTCTCTAGAGAAAAACACGTCAATGTAAACGCAGTGTGTTCGACACGAGAAGAGGCAATTTTCCGGTTGTAGCTGGATTATCTGGTATTTACACAAGTCAGCCACATCTTGCCGTTTATCAATCAATTTTTTTGTGTTAGCCTTACAACAGACTTACAACAGATGGCTTTTATCTTCTAATCTTACATGGAATTCATTTGTTTTTCAATATACACATATTCAATATACCATATGCGACAAGTGTTTTGAAATTTGATAAGTGACAGATATCAATGAACGGCGTGCTAAAGCAAATGTAAAACGCTTAAAAGCCAGAGTGACTCTTCTTTCAGATGCAATGGCGGAGTTTTTCCTGTAGTCACGGATTACCTTCATTGCTCATTTAAAATAACTCTGAAAAACTTTCTAAACAATTTTAAAATCCAATTGCTGCTAAGAGCTTCCAAAGGTAAGCGAGATGACTTCTTTATCGCTTTGTCATGGCGTCATAACTCATACCGAAGCAATTAGGAGGTTTTCTCGCAGTGTTTAACCAGATGATAATGAATATAGCTTTACTGACCGTTAACCAGTTTTGATATTATAATCTCCGAAGGACGAGGAACAGTTTATAACCAAGTTAATGTTGAGAGAGACTAATGGTAAGCGAAACTTGCTTATGTTTTTGATTCAAGCAGTCATTACTAATACTAAGCCACTAAAAATATAGTTATCGCTGTCTGAAACAATTTGCTTTCTGTTAAAGAGAGCTTTTACAGCAGTTAAGTTGACCCGTTTCAATTGTCTTAACCTCTGTAAAATGGTTGAAAATTCATTGTTAATCATATTTTAGTTTTTAAGAATATTCATAACGTTTTGGGCGTCAGAATATCGAGACTATAGCATTTAGCAAAATGAAAAATGATGGGAAACATGGAAGTTGGAATAGACTTTTGTCCTAAAGATATTAAGACAATAGAGTTTATGTTCTTGATCATAAATATCTTTTCGGCCCTTCCCAGAATTATTTTAACCCTCACCTAGCAGCTCGGACTTAAAGAATTGTGTTGAGCCCAAAACATATTTATGCCCAAAGCTTAAAAACATGACAACAAAACAATCTAAACACCCACGCAAGCGTGTGAGCATTTTAGCCTGCTAAATTCTCTATTTTGGCCCGCGAAATGCTCTATAATGTCTAACAAAGTGGTATTAATTTCATTTTTTACACGGTGCTTTGGGTAAAAACAGAGATAATTGCAATAGCCTAAAAATTAAGTTCTCTCTGGAAAGAAACAGACACGATAGCTGTCGTATTTCTTGCAGATGTTCTGAGTCATATGCCAGTAAGGCGAGTTAACACAACTTTGCATATAAATTTACCCGCTTAGCCATCAATAAACGGAAAAATGCAATAATTATGGGAAAGGGTATGAACAGATTGTGGCAAAAATGGGTAATACCATCAGCCGCGTAAGTTCAAAACCAAGTAAATTCCCTGCAGTTTTAGCATAAGCGATCTTCACGAAATTCTGAGTTCCTGTTTTCCATCATATGGTATATTTATTATACATAAACCATATTTTTTATTGACTGATCGAAAGGGCAAATGGTGAATAATTAGAATAAAAAGATTGTTAATAAGTTAACTTTGATGAAACGAAGCAGAAAAAAATTATTCATTTATCTATCTCAAGAACATTTGTGTCACGTCGGTTTTCAAGTAGTGGTAAACTACTTTGAAATTCATATTGCTTAAAAATTCGATAAAGCCTTCGGGCGGTAATTTTATTTGCGATCCAAAGAGAGATAATTACATGGCGACCGTCACTTAAAGAGACTCGCCCTGTTAAAAACGCATTTCAGTCGACCTAAAGATGGTCATTTACGTTGCTGCTTCTAAGAGGGTCTTCCAAAGTATCCATGACTACCCTGATGCTTTCCAGCTGCTCATTAGAACACAATGCATAAAACATTTTGGTCGCCTGCAAGAACATTTTTCTCTTAAAACCTACCTGAAGGTCTTTTAATTTAAAAAGAAGTTTAATTCAATTCGTAATCAAAATTTCCCAAAATATTATAATTTAGCTCTTTTAAACGACATAATTTCGATTGCTCTCACAAGACAACCTTGGTTCCATCGTCCTTTCTCTTTCTCCGGAGGGAAGAAGGAAGTGGACCCTGGGGCTCGAAAGATATAAATAAATAGCTGTTACTTGATCGGAAACAAACACGCCGATGGGATTGCGTCTGAAGTTTAAATAACCACGAGTTAAATAGTCTTATTGGGGGAGAAAGTTTTCTGTCGGATACAGAAAAATTTGAAGGAGGTGTGTTGTCTGACTTGAGAAAATATCATGAAAGGAAGTCGCTTAATCTGTGCTTAATCATCTCCATTAGTTTAAAGACAAGACCTGAATTTATGTTATGTCGTACCATCTTGATTTCGTGTCCGTAGGAAAAACTTACACAGCAGGAAATTGAAGGTTAGTCCAGTTGTTCCTTTTCAGGAAGTACTGACTCATCAGGTTAAACAACACTTTTTCAAATCTTATTTGACCTTCTTCCTTGAAGTAGTCTGAATACTTAGTTACTCCGGTGATGTCACTCTATTTAAAAAACTAACGAGAGCACTTGAAATTACCATGAATAGAGATACTAGGCACGAGCTCACAGGACGAAATTGCAAGAATCCGTAAACGGAAACGTGGCAGAAACATGTTAAACCGTTCTGGAAACACGACGGATAACCTGTGTTTCCGTTACCGGTTTCGTGACGTTTTCTCGCGTTTCTGTTGCTGCGTATACAACGGAACCGGACCACTTTTTGTGCATGTTAAACATAACGGAAACATGGAGTTGCATGTTTCCGTCACGTTTCAGAAATACGGAAACATGTGATTTCGTCCTGTGGAGGTATTTATGCGAGACTCGTTCCTCTTTGCTGAACGGATTTTCACCACGTTTCTTTCTAAAAAACCGAGCTTTAAAGCCAAACAGGAAAGTGCAGGACTTTGTTGTTTATCAAATACAAGGCCAGATGCTAATTTAGGCTCTCCAGTTTTGTTTACACGTCCCGCCTGAAACTCCACTGAATTTTCAATTGGAAAGCAAGATAAATTCAATATAATTACTCATTAACATTCAATTTCCTAATAGAATACGTCGAGGCGTTCAGATGCTTTGACCTGAATGAAAACGGTCAGTTATCCACAAAGGAACTAAAGTATGCTATGCGCATGCTTGGCTTGAACCCAACCGATCACGAAGTTCAGGAACTTGTGAACGACTTGGACTACGACGGTGAGAATAGCCGGAATATTGCTTCTTCTGCAGTGGCTTAAAGAGTTTGACAATGGGCTAAAAGTGCTTTGCATTTGAAATATTTTGGCTTTACAAGCTTATTGCTGTTCTAAATATGCGTTTATTGGTGGCTTTCATCGTCACGCAGTCGAAATCTCAAAATCTATGGAGTGCCTGACGCCAAGAGAGTGAATTATTTTAAAATATTGATACATAAACAATTTTAGGTACGCCGTGTTAGTGCCCATCCAAGATAGGCACCAAAATTTAACGGTTCGATAGCTTAGCACCTTTCTATTTTGATGTACTAGCACTTGGCGACAAAGACGAGCTGGAAAATGAAAAGACGAATGAAACAGAAAATGGCAAACGGCGAAAAAGGAAGAAGTCGAGGGAAGACGAGAAAATGCAAGGAGAAAAATGGACAAAGGACGACTTTCCGATTTGTAAGCATAATTCTAATCTTTCACTGAAGCAGTTTTCATTTGAGACTCGAAAGTAATCCGGGGTCGCGTTGGTTTTGTCTCACTTTGCTCCGTGATTGGCTGAGAAAACTCGCGCCATCATCTCAACCAATCAGATCTAACACTAAAAGCAAAAGCATTTTGGGTCACATGCATTTCCCGCGCCACAGGTAGTTTGTTGTTATTTTGAGCTCTTTATTTATTTATTTATTTATTTAGCTTTGCCTAACTAGAATACAATTATACTTATATGCATAAAAATTATTACGGCAGGGAGACCACTACAACTTATCCAATTACAGTGGATTCCTCGTTAATGATTACTGATAACTAAAGCTACTCATATATAGAACGAGACAAATAAAACCGGAAACAAAAATTCAAATTGCTAGAAGCAGCACGACGGTGGACATAGGAGAGTCCTCGCTATGTTGCAGCTGGGACAGATTGTTCTCCAGGTTCTGATGTCGTCAAGGTCATTCAGAGCTAAAGCGTTATTGTATTATTGAAGTAATGAACGATTATTCTTTCTGCTTTTGTCATTAATTTGCTCTGTTTGGCTGCTCCGATTACGTTGGTTTTGGTTTTGTGACAATCAATCGAAAAGCGCTCGATAGCTTAGGTCCTATTGCTATTCGATGCAGGATTTAAAATTTACCTTAATGATTCTACCCCCCCCCCACCCCCTTATTGACAGTTAATTGGCAGTCAATTTCTTTAATCCACCATCTCTATTGTTTGCGACCCCACCCCTACCCCCCTAGACGATCCTGTAATAATGACCACCCTTAGTATAAGTTTTGAAATAAAAAATTCCATCGAAGATGAGAAGCAAATGCTTTACGAACAAGAATGGAACCCGTTGCAAAGGAGAAAAAGTTGTAGAAATCCTCCAATCCCCCCTCCCCCCCCCCCACGGGAATCACTAGAGACCGGCCCATAATGATCTCAGTGATAACGGTGATTATCTATAATAGTAATAAATTTGATGAAGATGATGATAATAATTATGAAGGAAAGTTTTCTTAGAAATAATTGTGATTTTATCTCTAAGATGAGGGCGCTATAGATTTTAAAAAATTTGTCAACTTGATGGAAAAACAGCGAAGTATGATGCAGGACGACGAGGCCGCCATGTTGTTCACTGTATTCGATTCTGACCATCGTGGCTTCATTGAAGGAAAGACAATCAAGAGATCGCTGCATTTTCTGGAAGATGTCCCCACCGACGAGATAAACGAAATACTGGCGATGACAAAACTTTCGGATGACCGGAAGATAACTATGGAAGGTATCTAATCCACCTTGTTATGATTGTGAGCCAGAAAGAAAACTGTCAGTCGGCCAGTTAGTCAAACATTAAGCCAGTCTGCTTGCCAATCTGTTTATTAGTTATTCAACAGTCAATCAATCATTAATTCGGAAAATAAGTTGGTTAAGTTGACAGGCGCTGAAGTCAGTCAGTCATTCATTCATGCTGTCAGTCAATCTATCAATCGGTTATTGAACAGACACTCATTCACCAAATAAGTCAGTCAGTCAGTCACTCGTAAGTCAGTCAGTCAGAGTTAGTCAGTCATTTATTCATGCACTCAGTCAATCTATCAATCGGTTATTGAACAGACACTCATTCACCAAATAAGTCAGTCAGTCAGTCGCTCGTAAGTCAGTCATTTATTCATGCACTCAGTCAATCTGTCAATCGGTTATTGAACAGTCACTCATTCACCAAGTCTATGCGTCAGTCAGCCAGTCAGTCGGCCGATCAATGAGTCAGCTAGTAAGTCTGTTTACTATGTCTCAGATTGTACGTGATCTGATTGGTCAATCTAAATTCAAAAGTTTGTCTGAATTGAAACAACCCCCCTATATTTAAACTCAGAGATCTAACAAATATCTTACTAACAGTTTTTCCTCGGTCCGCACTGTTAATGAAAGAACCTCGTTTTTCCAATCGCATTTATGGCCCGAATGCTTGTTTCTTGGGCCATAAATCCAATTGGTAAAAACTTGGTCCTTATGTCACAGCGCACCACTCAAAGTCGGTCAGTGACAATTTCAGTGAGATAGTCACCCATCCGTTAAGTCAATTTATCAGTCTATCAGTCAGTCAATCAGTCAGTCAGCCAGTCAGCCAGTCAGTCAGTCAGCCAGTCAGCCAGTCAGCCAGTCAGCCAGTCAGCCAGTCAGCCAGTCAGCCAGTCAGCCAGTCAGTCAGTCAGTCAGTCAGTCAGTCAGTCTGCCAGTCAGTCAGTCAGTCATTTTTATCAATCAGTCAGTCAGTCAGTCATTTTTCAGTTATCCAGTCAAGAAATGATTAAACTTCTACTGCTGTTTAATTTTCAGAGTTTGTGACCAACTTTCTTTCACCTCTGATACTGAAGGAAGAGAACAGTGAGATGCTCTGATCTGGCATGCGCAACTGAAAAGCAAAAGTCTCTAGTGTTTAGTTTTTCTTTTATTTAACTTTATAATGCTAGAAATACCCCCCAAAAAATTGGAATGTTTTAAGCTATTTTGAAAAAGTAAAACGTTGAGTAATCTACGATGACGTGAGTAGCCCATAGAGCGAAAATTGTCTGGCATTTTGGTTTAGTGAATTAGCTTTCTTTCAAAACATTTATTTCAATAATTTTTCTTAATGGATAGATTCAAGTGGGAGAGAGCTTTTGCTCTCATTTTATTTATGTAATATAAACAACATTTTTGGTAGATGCAAACCCTGTTTCTTGTAGCAAATTGATTTTTATTCCGAGCAAGAGATGAAGACACTCTGTTGGACATTAAAGAACTTGATTCTCAAATTAGGTATTTTGAGAACTCAAATAATGAAAATTTTTTTTAAGTAAGAAGTTAAATGCTATAGCAATGTTTCATTAATAAAATTCAATAAAATAGAGGGTCGAAATACATCGGACAAATGTTACGCTTTAAATGTAATATTTTGAAAGGGGAGTGACAAAAATCATCTGAAAAACTTTTGAAAAAAAAAAGAATAATATATAAAACAGTTAGCCAATTAAAAATATCACGCTATCTGAGGAGTTGCAGCAGCTAAGCTTTTGAGTTAATTTCAAAAATTTACTGCTGTCATCCAAGAGTTGCGTTTTAAGTTTCATATAGAGAAGATGATTCCAAAATAAGAGTTTATTTCTTCTTGCGGCAAGTACTTAAGGACATTATTTTAACCGAACATGATCAATATTTCATTACGTTGAATTGGATCAAGAAGGTTTCCTTATGAAATGCGGATATTTAATAACTTTGGTTAAAGAACTTATGTAAATTTTTACTACCTGTATTCTCCATTGCGTCTCTGGTGATTTATTTTGCAAATTATTTAACTGATGCGAAATGAAGCTAATAATCCTTGTTTTATCTGCATTCAGTTAATATTTTCACTCCATCTAAACGCTACATCTTTCAAGCGTGCTTTGTAGAGGCACTTCACATATGGGCAGTGATTTTCGCAGAACAACCGTTGGTTAGAGAAAAAATCGTCGTTGAATGTGATTCTTTTATTTGCGGCCGTTTTTAGCCAAGAATTTTGTGGTTTATCACACTGAAATTCTGCAAAAGGTAAGATTCCTACATAGATTATCGCTTGAAGTTAAATAAATACAGAAGTAGACTTGCCAAATAATAGTGTACAGATAAAACTTAGCGGTTTTGAACTGTTCCTCTTCCTGGTTGAATTAGGAGCTATTCCTTCGCCCTAAAACTTACGAATGATACGGTAACGTTGGGTAAAATTTAAACTATTATAAAATCAATTTATTACGCCATCGTAATGAAAAAAGGAATATGGAAAAAAACCGACATGACTCTTAGTTCAAAACGACCCTAAGCAAAAACGATATTCTCATCGAAAAGGTTTTCAAGTTTTGCTATTGCTTCTCAAAAATGTGTTTGAATTAGGGAATAGATTTTGTATCGTTTTTCGGGAGACCACAGAAATCTCCTGCTGCGTTTGAAATGACTGGAATACGTCGAATTTTATTTGTAAAAACATGCACAGCTATTTAAAAAACGCTAAGTGAAAATAGTTCGACAACAGCTGCGAAAATTGGACCCAAGCAAAATAGCTCTTGATAAAGTTCTAATTTCCTAGACAATGCGGAGACACAATATTTAGGGAAATTTTCTTTTGCCCTTCTTAAGTGAATCCCTATCACAAAAAAGTAACAAGGTGGAGTAATTGATCAGCCAATCACCGCGTCACAACGCAACGCTCTAAAATAGCACAAATCAACGTTTTAACACCGTAAGAACAGGATAAGCTTGCTTTGATTTCTATAATTACGTCGGAAAATTTACCATATATGGAATTATCTTCGACGGAATCTGTTCACGTCTATTTAAGGCGCTGATGGTTGTTTCAGGACAAACATAATTATGTAATTCCATCAAATAACAGATAGATAAATGAATGTTATAGTTTTGCTTCCTCTTGTTATATTTAGCTTTTGAAACATCACGGAAAATCCCGCAGGAGGGAAGATGAAAAGTAAGCTTAACCTTGTTTCCAGGGTCCTCTCTCGTTCTTCCTTGGGAGGACCCTGGAAATGAGGTTGAAGTAAGCCACGTTTTTACGCACAGCGACATTGACGAGTTGATTAAAACTCGTGTTGCCGAAAAATTTCTGTACACATTAAGTAATTATATATTAAGTAAATATTGAATAATAGTTCTTTGATTATGGTATAGTTTTTATTGTCCTGCCTGCACATGTAAATCATCATTTTTTTTGATGCTTGAGATAAAGAAACTGGGCTGAGCAGGCGTAAAGACATGACACGCCTTATCTCGTCGTTAATCGTTTCCTGTCACTTAATTCCTTCTCTGCACGAGCCCTAACGGGTGGTTATTGGTTTGGTAAAGCCTCATGAAATCAACAGGCTACTGACGGGAATTCAAAAGCCTCTATTTCTGAGTTCCGCAAGAAACCGCTGTCCAATAATGAGCATTTCTGCGTTCTCAGCCGAAGACTTGTTGTAGGAAAGCTTATTTTAGTTTCTCATTCAAATAAAAGCGTTTTTGACGAGTAAGATTTTTTGTTTGGTGTGCTTTGGCCTACTTTTTGAAACTTTGGGGGTTTGAAAGTGAAAAATTGTCTTGAATTTTTCTTACTCAGTTCAAAAATGTTCAACGCATTTATTTTTTGTAAGGCCTTGGGTATTTTTTTTTCTCCTCAGTATGGATACGTTTCTGCAGGGATGGCTTATACCCCTCCTATTAATGAAATATCATGGAAACTGGTGAGTCTCTAATTTACTAGATAGATTGCACACTTGCCATAATCTCGTGCACAGATCCTCCTGTGTAACTGTAACTGAAATGTTATACCCGCTTGGCCGTGAATGGTTTGGTTAAGAGACTACACTTGCCATCGTTAGGGGAGTTCTCAGGAGTGTTTTCTCACCCACTCATTCTCTCTCACGATTCACTCTGACTTTACAACAGTAACCTACGAGCAGGCCATCATTATCAGCGTTGCAGGAAGTACGTTTCTCCACTCACTAGAAGAATTAAGACGGGTCGGAGAGAGTTTTACCGGGAGTCTGGTACTATTATCAGTGCCAGACCCCTTGCAGTCCTATCGGTGGCTCGCGTTGCTGAAGCTCTTATACTTTTTCGGGGGCGAAGAAACGCTTGTGCTGAAGCGTTAGTAAAGGGGGCCTGGTCCTAGGCTATAACAACAGGGAAATAGACAAGTAGCACTTTAATATTTCAACTGGAATTTGATGGTATGGCCTTTTTTTTCGTTATGAGGGGTATGGCCTCTTTTTTCGTTCGAGGGGTATGGCCTTTTTTTTCGTTATGAGGGGTATGGCCTTTTTTTTCGTTATACCTTACTTTTTCTCGAGTGAAAGGACATTTAAAAGCTCCTATTCTTCTAGAGGGGATTTTTTGCTAATGATAAAGTCTCGTTCAGAACCTCTACAGTCTCAATAACACACGACAGTTAGAGTCGAATACGGAGTCCTAAGCTTGACAAAACAAGCAGTTCAGTTTTCATCTGATTATGCTTATGACTCTGATTTTTTTGAGCGAGTGAGCTCAAGATTGTAATAGGTGCAAGCGGCAAGAACCAAACAATTACAATGCGGGTTTTCAGGCCATCTGTTGGCTTACGATTCCAACAATTCAGTTTTCACAATCAAAGGCGACAGGGTCCTGAACCGTATCTGCGCTCTGCTTTCGATTCGCCGGATCTCATCCGGCTCCGCCAGCTCTAAACATCAACCTTAAAGTTTTAGCTCCTAGCTTGAACAGTTGAAGAACATTTGTTTGTTTCTGTTTAATTAAGTCCTCCTGACTACCTTCTTGTTCACTTTAATTATAGCAATGAGATATCTCACTTTGACAGAACAGAGATAGCCAATGCCACGTTCATTTTGGATAGTATCCTGGAAGATAATGATTACGACAAAAACACCAGACCCCGAGTAGGACGTAAGTCTCTCCGATGATCTGTGAAAAACTCCTGTCTTAATCAGCCTGTGTAGCCGTCCTCTAAGTTTCCTTTTATGGAAGACGGAGGAGGGTGAACCGCGCAAGGGCATAGGGCGAGAGAAAGTAAAGAAAGTGGTCCGTAGGTTACTTCTTTACTCCAGAACTGATCAACACGTAACCTCTTCTCAAAAATCCATATTTCAGCCAAGAAGCAGGTGACTAAAATAGACAACCTCATCAGCTAGGGGTGTTATTTCGATAAAACGCCGAACACTGGAGGTTATAGGGAAATATTTGACAATTAGAGGGGAGGAATTGTAATCTTATTTTGGGATTTACAATAAGAGGAATAACATCTAGTAGATTAACTACTCCGGGGAGTAAGTGAGTGTTACCATGGAAACAAATTAATGGTGTCTATTGTGTTACCTCGTAATTTTAATGGGAATGGAGTCACGATATAATCTCAACTCTTAAAAGCTCGTGCGTGACAGATTTTTTTCCCTGACCAGGATTATCATTAAAAATAGATGAATAATTAATGCAAACTGAAAAAAGAAATAAAAATTTATCTTTTTTTCCTTAGAGAAACCAGTTATAGTGTATCTCAGTATGGCAATTCAATCTTTTACAAATATTAAGGAATCTAATATGGTGAGTAATTTGTTTAATATATTTAACATTAGATTACTTTAGGTTTTAGTTTCTATGTATTTGCAGTTTAGTTTATCAATTCTTCCACTGTACACTTATGGATGAAAATCACTTTTCAGGCTTCTAATCCTACAAGTTTTTCAATTCTAGCTGACTTGCGTGGATCATTTCTTACTTGAATATTATCCAAAGGTCATAAGTTCTCATTTAATGTCAATAATTATAATCAGATATCTGATTATAATTATTGACATTAGATGAGAATTTATGACCTGTGGATCCCTGTATGGGGACAAAAAACCCTTCAAATTAATTTCATATCCACCCATCATATGGATTTTCAGCTCACTTGGTAGTACCGCCCAACTAGCAAGGTTTGGAGAAGCATGGGTTGGAATCCATACTGTTCATCTGCGAGGAACACATATTTACTTAGAGATAAATCATTGTTAAAAATCATACGATTAACTCGAATACGATTAATGGAAGCCAAAAGAGAAGGAGTTTGTTAGCTTTAGAGTAAAATAGGCCGTCAAGAACAATAAACGCCACTTATTTCTCGATAGGAGTTCACAACATCAATGTTCTTGCGCCAAGAGTGGAATGACAGAAGATTAGCGCATCATGACAACGGCATGTTACCTGTCCAAGGCAAAGATGTGCAGAAAATATGGCGTCCAGACACTTACTTCACAAACATGAACGACTATAAGTTGTACGAGGACAATCAACTGGCTCTGATATCAAGATTTGGATATGTCTACTATAGTTCAAGGTGAACTGAGACAACATGTCATGGTGGACACGAACGAACAGATCCTTTTTCCAATATGGCGACGGAAAATGACAACCACTAAGTATTGAACTAGACCAGGAAATGGTTAAAATACATAATTTTAAAGGTTTTTTTTCATTTGGTATCTCAGGAAATATTCACTGTCGTACCCTTTTAATTTTTTTTGGTATGCGTGGCCTTGTAATTTTTAATAGACCTCAAAAAGCACCATTTTCATTGGTAAATCTCAATTATCTCTTTGTAAAGCGCATCAGAGTTCAATTAACCTCGTACCCAGATCCTACCGTGTAACCGTAAAATGAAATGTATAACCGCTTGACCGTGGAAGGTCTAGGAACGAGACTACAGTTCAACAGCAGAACACGTTCTTCCCACCCCAACCCAATATTTTGGATTTCTGCTTTCACTAACTTATTCAGAGACGTAGAAAAGAAAAGTATCCTTTTTCAAAACGGCTGCACGAACCTCCGATGTGAAGAGAAAGACAGTTTGAATTATATGGAATGAACTTCATACGTAAGAAATGTTCTTTCTTCTGCGACAGGTTGTTTGTTGCTGCGTCCTGTCGAATGTATTTACAAAAGTTTCCAAGGGATGTTCAGAAGTGTAGCCTTATCCTTGAAAGTTGTAAGTATGAGCTGATTTTGTTGCTCTGAGTAAGGTTTCTCAATTTTAAACGTTCTTTGTAAAGATCATGATAGAACCAGAGGCTTAGCTCGCGAGATGTGAACTCGTGAGTATAAAAGCCGCCCTTGTAAGAGAGCCTCATAGCTTACCAGCTGAGGCTTGATCGTCACTGGTGCCCTCTACTTATTTGCTGCGGTGGACTCATTTGAGAAATTACGAAGCCACGACTTGCAAAATCTATTGTTGATCCCCGTGGCAGTATCAAAAATTAGGCGGAGCACACAACCACGGGTCTTCCATCTATGTTCATATAATACAGGGTGTCCGTTAAAACAGGTCTAATAGACTGCGTAATCGTTTAATTTATTAGAAAAGCTTCAAATACAAAAGAGTGAGTAACCAGTAACCTTCCGAATGTGACAGTTTTACGGGAAGGTCAATGGTATAATGAATTGCCAGACTAGACAGTTTTTATAGCATGCAAAGTACTCTCGATCTGTGTTCGCTCAAGACGATATCCACTTACTCTTGACAGAGATTTTGCTGTAACACTAAATCAAAAAACTTTCGTCACAGCCTCCTCCCCAACTGTTCACAAGATAGTCAATTAAAACACATAAGGAACGAATATTTTAAGTGGCTTGTGGCTGTTATCTTTTTAAAGTTGCCTTCACTAGAGACATGGTGGAATACCGATGGAAGTACCCCAATCCAATCAACATCCTGGATATAGAATTAGCAGAATTTGATTTGACCAGCACAGAATACACTAGTGAAGATGTTGAGTACGTTGCAGGTATTCACCACGACTTACTTCAAGCCCTCAGGGGTGTTCCTCGTAAGAAAAACCATGAGTGACCTCAGGGGTTTTCTCCCTCTTTTTGTCGTGACAAGAGCCCATTTTTTAACGAAAGATTTTCTTCAGAATATTTTTGAGACTCCAGCGATATAGTTTGCTTGCTTGAAGTTCTATTTTGTTTCTTTTCAAGTGGCTTGAAATCTAAATTGCACGCTTAACGAACGCCAGACGTGTGGAAAATATATTATGCCCGATAAGGTTAACCGTTAAACTTGAGAAATAACGCCACTTTGAAAATATCGGTATAATAATTTTTGCTCTGACGTAAAAGCTAACGCTTGAAACGTCAGCTGTATAGTATACGGCGGCCAATTTGCACTACGAACTCAGGAGATAAGTCTAAATTATCTTGTTACACCCCTCATCGATGTTTCTCTAGAAACTTACCCCCTTAATACCAACAGTTTCGTGTGACCATTTGTGACATATGTTACGAGATTCATTGATATAAATCCCTGTTTCGCTTGCAGGTAAATACCGTGACATGATCGTAACTTTCACATTTAGTCGTCGGATCGGTTATTACCTCATTAACTTCTACGTCCCATGCATCATTATGGTTATTATGAGCTGGATCGTGTTCTGGATGGATCGAGCCAACATCGGTGACCGAATAGCGCTCGGAATTACGACTGTGCTAACGATTGTTTTCTTACTGAGTTCCAGTAACAGCACTATGCCCCGAGTCAGTTACCCGAAGGCAATCGACTGGTACCTGATGACTTCGTTCATCTTCGTCTTTACGACACTGATCATGTGTCTGTTGATCTTCCGGTTTGATAGACGTGTAAACAAACAGCAGTGCCCGCCGAGGTCGGTAAGCGGTGAACCACCAGCCGAATCAACTTCCATGCAGGTAAATGAAATCATATTGAAAGAGTTCGCCCACGATAGTTAACGACTTATCGCTGACAATTAGTGACCAAGACAGAATTTCTCCTTACATTATCAACACAGAATTAAGTAGAAAAGTGAGGAGAATAAAGAAGAAAACTCAATTAGGGGACCAAAAGTTGATCCAATACCAAATTCTCCAAATTGAAATCATAAGTATATTATGCCAGACAGTAGGGAGAATTACTAACCCCCCCTCACTCTTTTAAATAGTGCTGGGGAATTACTTCATCCCTGTTCACTTGAGGACTGAGAGGGCTAAGTTTCTCAGCTAAACCGTGCTTGGCCTTAGAGTACTGTGACTACCCTGGACGGGAATTTAATCAATCGCAGTCTGCCCTCCCTCTCTCCCTCCCTCTCATGGGGTTGGCTGGTACCCATTGATAACTCCTGGGTGAAGAGACGCTGTATGAAAAGTTTGCCCCAGAACACCACCCATAATCCAAACAAGAGCTCACACCTGGAATGCTCGTCCTTAGACCGCTGCGTTAAATACCTCGCCTCTCATGTCGGCTCTCTAGGCATAGCTTACTAGCCTTAAATCTTTGTCATAACTTTAGATGCCCGAAGAGCCAGAGATTCGGAGCCGTGTGTCATACTTTGTGGCAGACTCTCGAGGAGCCGTGTATCCCATCGTTCACAGCGCTTCTGGCCTCAAGAAAAGAAGTCTCCTATCGTTCTGTTTTCGCCAGAAGTTTTGCGGACTGTCGGCACGAGTTACCCGGGAAAACCTGGGAATGATTTTAAACAATTTCTGTAGATTTCTCTTCCCTTGTTCGTTTCTTTTCTTTAATCTTGTGTACTGGGTGGTGATAGCCAACTAATGGATGCTCGTGATTAATTTAATGAGATGGAAATGAGACAGTGTGACCATTTTGGAGTCTTCTAGGACAGTTAGGTCAACGAGTTAGGCCCATGTTCTGCTTCTAAGGTGAAAATCTCTCTCAGCGGTTACTCATGAGAAGATTTTTTGCTTTCTGTACAAGAGGAAAAGACACAACCCAAACAGATTCGCTTCACCTCGTCTATCTGGAGAGTGTTATGTTTAGGGACGCTTATTATTTATATCCTAGGGTGGTGGGGGGAGGATGAAGGATTTTTTTTTGGGGGGGGGGGGGTGGTCACATGGGTTTTCAGAGGGTACGGCCGAAGGATGGTCGCAGCTAACGGATTATAAAGGGGGAGATTTAGAAAATTGACCGCCAATGAGTGGAAATCATCGGAATACTACAGCGCATAAGGGAGGAATAAGATAAATTTTATTGACACATCAAAATCCTCCTATTCCCCCTCCCCCCGGATATGAATAACGACAAGTCCCCCAGTACAAGAATGACGAGTAACAACCCTTTTAACGAGTTTTTTAAAAAATAAGAAGCCTGACTTCATTAAGTAAACACATTTAAATTTAGGTAAAGTAAATAATTCTCGGAATCCAAGCTAGCCTGACTAAAAGAAAAACTTAATTTTGAAAAAAAAAGGCCTTTAGACAGGAGTATTTTGCAGAATATCTGCTCATGTAGAATTAATCAACGGTTACTCGCTTTCTTGGAAGTGCGGTTCTTCAACGAATGGTTTTGAACGATCTGATTATAAATTCTTCTTTTAGCTGCTAAATGTTTTCTCGAAAATTAATTAAGAGAACTTGGTGTTAGATCAAGACAAGAACGCTTTAGCTGGTGTGTTTGTCTATTATCATCACCTTTAAGTTAGATATCGTGTTCGCGTTGTCAGGAGAAGTTGGGTCATAGCCTTTTAACTCCCATGAGTGACCAAAACAGAATTTCTCCTCATAACATCAATACAATATTAAGTTGAAAAGTGATGAGAATAAAGAAAAATATCAATTAGGGGATTATCACTAGATCCAATACCAAATTCTCCAAACTAACAATGTAAGAACTATATGCCAGGCAGTAAGGAGAATTACTCGTCAGATCTTGGGATTGAAAGGGCTAATTCCTTCACCACTGTAAGGGTTAATTTAGAACTGCAGTAAAAACCACAGTCTTCCGTCGCTCAATACCACAGTGCTTACGAGAGAAATCTAAATCACGAATCAATTAAATGGGTGAAAAGGGTCTTGTTATCTTTCCAAGGTACTTAAAGTTTCTTTCAGTGAATCAGGTGGTATTTATTATAATAATTATTAATGGTTAGATTCATGTTTTGAAGAGAGTTGCAACTTCCATTTCAGGTATGTTATATGAATGTTAGTTGTTTCTCATGAAAACTCTTGTTCCTTGTCTCAAATTAATTGTTATTCTCAGCAAGAAATGAAGAAACTCGGTTGGAAATGAAAATACTTCACTCTCATATTGCGCTTCGTGTAATTTCAAATAATGAGGGAATTCCCAGAATAAAAAAATACAACAATAATTTTTCGCTGGTGAAATGCAATAAATAACTGTGGCGAAATGCAATAGCAAACAGCAAGTGTTACACTTCTATAGAGAAATATTTCGAAACGGGAGTGACAAGAATTAACTTTGAAAACTTCTAGAAAAAAAAAGTAAAAACAGTTAGCCAATTTGGAATATCAGATCATTTTAATCTAGGGTGTTTTTTATCTCTCAGACTTAATTCAAAAATTGAGCGAAGTCATCAAAGAATTGCGTTTTAGTTTTTATTTGGAAAAGATAATTCCAAAATAGGCAGTTATTTCTGCTTACGGCAAGTACTTAGGGATATTCTTTTTACCGAATATAATGAATATTTTATCACGTTGAATTGGATCAAAAAGGTGTCCTTATGAAATGTGGATATTTAATAACTTTGGTTAAAGAACTTATGTAAATTTTGATTGCCGCTATTCTCCATTGCGTCTCTCGTAATTTATTTGGCTGATGCAAAATGAAGCTGATAATTTACGTTTATCTGTATCATTTAATATTCACTCGATGTGAACGCCATACCTCTCGAAAGTACGTCGTTAAGGCATTTAAGGTAAAAGCCGTGATTTCCACCGATAAAAACCATGAATTAGGTTAGAGTTGTGGGTTAAAAGTTGAACGTTTTATGTGCAAGCGTTTTTCGCCAAGAGAGTCGGGGATTGTCGCTGTGATATTGCGCAAAAAGGTAAGTGCCTTCCTTGTTGCGATGAAATGTTAGAAGATGGCTTTCTACTTCATGGTAAGAATAGCAACTATTTCTTAGCCTTAAAACTTGCAAATACACAGTTATGTTGCGTATAACCTAGAGTATTTTGAACATCGATTACTCGCAGCAAATTACAACTTCATTGTAAAAAAAGAGGAAAAATGCTGGCAAAAAAATCGGTGCAACTTGGAGTTAATTTAAATGTAAGCGGACAACATCTTTCAAACAGATATTTTCCCCAAAATTACGTTCTCAAAGTTTGCTTTTTGTTTTTAAAAAAGTACTCGTTTAGGTACACAAATTAGGGCACAGTTTTCATATCGCTTCTTGAAAGACCACAAAAATTACCTGCTGCGTTTGAAAACGTCTGGAAAATTTCAAATTTATTCGGAAAAACATGCAAAGCTGAAACTAGAATGTCAAGCGAAAGGAATCGATGACTGCTTTGTGTTTCACCAACTTTAGTGACTTCAGTGGAAAAAGTCTTGATAAAGTACGAATTTTCCAGACATTATCGTGACAAAAATATTAAAAAAACTTTTCCTTAGACCTTCCCAAGTGGATCATTATCAAAAATAACTAACGAGGTAAAGTAATTGATCAGCCAATCACGGCGACACCACGCAACGCGCTGAAATCGTCCAAATCAACGTTTTAACACCGTTAGATAAGTTTGCTTTGATTTTACCGTTAATTTGGGAAATTTACCATCTATGGAATTGTCTTTGACGGAATCTGTTCGCGTCTATTTAAGGCGCTGATGGCTGTTTCAGAACAATCAGAAACACATAACACCGTCAAATAACAGATAAATAATAAATGCTGTATTTGACGTTCCACTGTGATGTTTTTCTTTTGAAACATCCCGCATGAGGAAAAAATCAGAAATAAAGTAAAGTGTTGACGTACTTTCGCGTCGACTAGCTAATCAAAACTCGTGTTACTAACAGATTTATTTAAATGAATAATTCACGCTGTTTGGTTTTGTCTTCCGTTGCAAGACGTTGTACTGTCTAGAAGTTACTTTTGATGTTTCACGAAGAATCAAGACTAGAAAAAGAATTCGAGTGCATAGGTTGCACAAAAGTGCTTCTTTACTGTACTGTGACATCTCACACTTTTCTTCTCAGGTTAAATAAAATTCCTTACTTTAGCGAAGTAAACTGATGTTCCTCGATCATACTCGTGTCCAGTCCTTTCTATGCGCGTGTAGTTTCGCTATTGCGCTCACCTCGTTTCCGCCTACCGTTAATATGCTTTGATTTTTTTGGATCACAGGATGCATTTAGCCTGGTACGCCCAATTTTTAAGACAAAGTCAGTAATGTTTTGCTTGGGTCGCAAATTCTCTTGAAAAATTTATCTTTAGCATTTTCGTCGGGACAGGCCACGAGCAGTCCCTCTTCTAAGGCGAAATCAGCGGAAAAAAATTGATATCAGTGCACCGTGCGGAACCTCTTCGCCCTACTACCAGAGTTCCGCGCGGCGCGCGAAAAAAGATTTCTTTTTTTTGGTGGATTTTTTTACTCGCGCGGCGGCCGACTTCGTCGAAAAGGAGGAAATGCTCTTTGTTTATCGTAAGGAAGAAAAATTATCAGCTTTTTGCTATCAAAGCTCTCCATTGAAACTGTTACGAGGTATTCATTCAATTAGTTATGGTTAATTGATCTGTTTACATTTAGTATTTAGGTAAGATTTGAATTCAAAGTCCAAAGCCTCTTGGGTTTTCAGTTATCATTATGAGTTTCCTGATTTTAACTGTTTTGTTTTTATTCTTCGAACTAAAATTTTTTTTAAAGTAGTCTTGTGGTGCGCTTTGTTATGAATTTTTCAAATTGTTACGATTTATCCAATTATTTTGTTGTCGTTATTCGAGTCTTATAATTCAAAAGCTTGAAGGTGGCATATTTAGTTTTAAAATTCAGTGGTTTGTCCTTGGCCGTCATTAAGACTCGCCTCTAGAACAATAACTATGAAAAGGTAGCAATGTTTGACTTCGCTTTGGACTTACGCCAAATTTATTATTTTGGTTTTAGAATTAAAATATTGGCCGTTTTATTGGTTGTGGTTCATTGGTGAGATTTCTGTGGAAGTATTTGCGCTAGTTTTCTGATAGGAGATAGCTAAACCCCCCAAGGTCAGTTAGTTCGCGAGCACCTTCAGATAGTGTACGGTAGAGTTCTTACTCAAAGTGGTTTCAGACGAGAGAAGAGATCAAGAGAAGTGATTCTATTGTTAGTAGAGTTAGTAGAAATTACAGCAGTTGTGTTTGGTTGATCAATCCTTCACACCGTAATATCAGTATTAATATTAACTACACATTTCTTTTAGTAAGACCAGGAGAATTTCAGTGACACTCGGCTGTACCTCGTGCGCCACTATTTCGCTCTTACAACATTTTGATGTTATATGCGATCTCTTACTGAACAGACCCACGAGAACATGGAACTGAATCTAACCGTTTAACTAAGGATGCTAGGAACTCCAAAACAAATTGATAAGTTTGCCTTCTGCGCCTCAGAAATACTTTCTTTAGTTGCTTTTTTTACTTTCTATTGACGTTTTAGGATATTTTCAACTCAGCAGAATGGACACTTATCTAACAAGTTGGCTTGTGTACCTACTCTTTATGACAAATTTTGCGATTTGGTAAGTCTTTAATTTTTATTTTCGTTAGCCAAATGGATTTTAACCTTGGTATGATTTGCCCTAGAGCTATCACGACTACAATCCTTTACAAGTCACATTATACTTCAAAGTTCTCGGGACAATTATCAAACTAAAAGTCTCCTGTATTAGAGAAAGAAGAAGGACCTTACTCGTATGCGTTTCAAGACACCCTTGAAACCAACTGCACTTTTTCTGATTGTTTCTAGGAGTCCAGTCTTACGAATTTTGTCGAAAATTTGAATTAACGTTATGCCCTGATCACCTAATTCTTTCTCATTATTTGCAAAATGTTACAATAGAGACCTTGACAAAATTTCCCAGTAGGGGTGAGGTGGGGGGGTCCTTCTCACTTTTTCCCTCACAGAGAGAGCGCCTACAGGTACCCTGACACCCCGCTCGGCAGCTTTTTCGGCTAGTTAAAAAAAGGAGGTGGATCGGGAGGCACCCGACCGAGTGACCCCTGGTGCAAGGTTGCCCCACTTAGCCACGCCCTTACACATGAGGTGAATCTTGCTTGTATCTATATGTAAAATCTTAAATGATGCACGACGCACTTTTATCCCAACAGTGAGAAAGCTAAAATTGACAGGACAGAAATCGCCAATGGCACAGACGTTTTGGCTAAGCTTTTGAATAAAACCTGTTACGACAAAAACGCCAGACCCCAGGCAGGAGGTAAATTCTCTTCAATGACCTCTGAAAACCGTTATGTGACACGACGTCTTTAACTCCAAAACTGATGGAAATGCAACTTGTTCTTAATTTCTTCTTTATCGCGGGCGGAAGGGGTGGTGTTGGTGGATTTTTCTGGGGATCACATGGTTTTCAGGGTAACTCACCCTGAAAACCAAGATAATTCGTGGCCTACAGAGTAAAAAGTAGGGCTGAATAAAATTGACTGCCAATTTAAATGCCAGTGAGGAGGGATTGCAGAAATGTAACACAGACTTAAGGGGGGAATGGGGGGAACAGTTACTCTGATTGTAACATGACTAATACCTACCGATCCCCCTCCTCCCCTCCCCTGGCAATACCATTGTGGAAACAGGAGATGAGAAAAGACAAACGGATAATCTGGGCCAAGCCAAGCTCTCCAAACGAAGTTTTAGGAAAATATACGGCAAGCAGAAGAGAGAAAATTCTAATTAAATATTCTAACTTACAAGGAAAGGAATCACTGGAAATATTAATTTGAACGACAAACTAATGCAACGGGCTGAGTTAGTATCACTACGAAAACTAGTGGTTTATAACAAATGCGTGACTCAACGAATTTACCGAGGAATCACGACAGTCCCAACTCTTCAAAATTCTTGCTTGACAAATTGATCCACTGACAAGGGTGTTAATGAATACAAATTAGAAGAAAGCGAACTGAGGAAAGCAATTGAAATCGATCTCTTTTCCTTAGGGGAGCCAGTCACTGTAAGTCTCAGCATGGCGGTTCAATCTTTTACAAATATAAAGGAATCTAATATGGTGAGTAAATATTTTTCTTTTACTTGTGATTGCCTGAAGGGTATTTTTAGTACTTGCTTTTCAATGGACAATAGTTCCACTTTACACGACGATAATACCTAACCAAACGGGTTAGGAACATTGAATAAAGGGGTAAGTTTCTAAAGAAACTGTGGTGCTGCGTCGGTGGGAGAGTATAGCAGGTAATTTAGTGTTAACAACTGGGTTGAAAACGTAAATTAGCCACCGTAAAGGGTAAAAAAGCTGACGTTTCGAGCGTTAGCCCTTCGTCAGAGCAAACGCTCGAAACGTCAGCTTTTGTACCCTTTACGGTGGCTAATTTACGTTTTCAACCCAGTTTTTAACACTAAATTACGGGTTAGGAACATTGTCTTATCAAAATAAACAAATAGTAATAACTTTCTAAACAAATTCCCGCAGCAACCTAAGACCAGTGAAGAACACCCCTTAATTTTCTACCAAGGGTAAACCATATTTGGATGATTTCAAAATGATCGGCCATAGTGATATTGTTATGACCAGCCCCCCCTCATTAGCAGTCGATTTTCTTTTGTCCACGTCCCCCCCCTTTATAATCTGTTGGCGATGACGACTGTCTGTTCCCCTGAGGACCACCACCCCTCCTTAACCCCAGGGGATAAATAATACTGACTTCTCCCTGAGTGAATTCATTTTATTTACTTTTTTAACAGGAATTTACAACGTCAATGTTCTTACGTCAGGAATGGGTCGACTTAAGATTAGCACACAAGTTGAATGGGACGTTGCCGGTGAGAGGCGTTGATGTGCAGAAAATATGGCGTCCAGACACTTACTTCACCAACATGAACGATTATAAGTTGTACGAGGACAATCAACTGGCTCTGATATCAAGCAACGGTAGAGTTTACTTTAGTTCGAGGTAATTGAGAGAAAATAGGCAATAATAGGGGCAGATGTAGAGGAGGGGTGCAGGGGTGCATCCCCCTCGGGATGACCTTCCGCTTTCTTCTATAATTTTACGGTCTTACAAAATCTGCTGTAACGTTTGTTGTGTAATCTTAGCAGTTCACATTATGTTTTTTCCCTGTCAAAAGCCGTCTTCTTCGTTGTCTGCTTTAAAATTTTGTTCACGCCCTCCGTTGATAACGTCATTTCTAATCTCTTACCCAGATCGTACCGTGCAATTGTAACTAAGTTATGAAGGTACAAACCCTTGGCCGTAGAGGCTTGGGTACGAGACTACATCATTCCTCGGTAGTGCACCCCCTCCTAGGAAAATTCCCGGATCCATCCTTGAATAGCAGATATGAAAAAACCGATCTCTCTTCAAAATGGCTCATGAAGACTGACAACCGCTTAGTGCTAAAAAGCACACAAACGTTGAAGCAGTTTGTGATTGAGGGTCGAAAACATTTCAGGATTGCTTTAGTTTTGCTTTACCATCCTAAAAGACACGTTTTTAACCTGTTTTCTCTTTGGAAATTCACTTTCACTCTTTGAAGTTAATTTTTGCTTTCTATGGCCTCATAAATATATGTAAGAGAACAGCTTTTTATTTTCACAATATCAGCGGAGAGAGTGCGTTTGATCATTTTCATGAATTGTGCGCAATCTACATTTTAACGCTTTATTGGCTACTGCCATCATCATTATCATTATTATTGTAATTGTTATCATCATCATTATTATCAATGATCTAATTATTTACATCAGAAGGAAAACGCCCATAATTCTTTGTTGTCTAAGTAACTCCAGTCTGGTTCAAACCTCTCCTCCCCACTCCCCACCCCCTTTAAATTGTTTCGGTTTTCACCATCACTGACTTATTTAGAACTTAACTAAGCTTGGAAGCAGGTGTTGTGGGAACAGTCGACTCCCATGATTTTATTTTTTAACTCTCCCCTCTAGCTGCTGCAAATTCCTTACAAAATAGGTACGGAATTTGGTGTTAGATCAAGATAACACTATCCCTGATAAGTTGGAGTATTCTCATCATCCGTTTACTGAATAATTTATGGATATTACAGAGAGAAGTTTCATTTTGATCATTGTGGGAGTTAAAGGATTATGTTAGAAATGTTCTTTCTTCTGTGGCAGGTTAGTTGTAGCTGCCTCCTGTCGAATGTATTTACAAAAGTTTCCCACAGACGTTCAAAAGTGCAGCCTTGTTCTTGAAAGTTGTAAGTGTGGGCTGGGTTTCTTACTTTTATTTAGGTTTTTTGTGCCTAATTTTGTGCGCTGAATACAGACTCAATTTACAGTAAATATGAGAGTTGAGATCTCGGCTACTGTGGGATTAATCTGAGGTCCGTCGTTCTGATACGAAGGCTACTAGCAAAACGGAACGGACTCGTTCCAGCCTCCTCTCTCGATATTTACAAAAGAGGAACTTGGAATAGTGTAGTAAATATTACTGAATAAGCATTCTGTTTGGTGTTTCCTTTTTTCAAGTTGCCTTTACCAGAGACATGGTGGAATATCGATGGCAGTACCCCAAACCAGTGAATATCCTCGATATGGAGCTGGCAGAATTTGATTTGACCAAAACTGAATATATTAAGAGAGATGTGGAGTATGTAGCAGGTATTTAAGATTTACTTAATGCCCCCCAGGGATCTATAGAGACGGAATACTTTACTGAAGATGTAGAGTACGTTGCAGGTACAATTTTAAATATAGGTTTAGACCACACGTCTGCAAGGTGAAAATTCAAGAAATTTAACCCAGGATAAATAATCCTTCTTAGAAAGATGTTTATTTCGTCTAGTCAAGTGCTTAGGACAAAAAAAAATTCTAGGTACTCATAAGAAATCGAACCTCTGAGCCTCAGATTCCGAGCTCAGATGCTATACTACTTAAATCACGGCGACTCTACGGTGAGCCAGGCCTCTATTAAGTCCATTTTTGATACACGTCCTGCATTCTGCTATGATCAGCAATGTCGAAAGGGTTATGTGCCTAGAAATATTAGCAAGATGTCGTAAAAGAATAAGCAAGATGGTAAATTTTGAGCTCAGTTTAGAAAGAGAGAATGATGTTTTCCGTCTTATCATGAGCGTAGGAAAATTTCTGAGTCCCCATGAGGAATAGAACCTCAGACCAGACCTTCTTCAGGCTAGTTCGACCAGACCAGACCTTCTTCAGGCGAGTTCGACCATTTGTGACAATCGTTAAGAGATTCTCACTATAAATCCCTGTTTCGCTTGCAGGTAAATACCGTGACATGATCGTAACCTTCACATTCAGTCGTCGGATCGGTTACTACCTAATTAACTTCTACGTTCCTTGCATCATCATGGTTATTATGAGCTGGATTGTGTTTTGGATTGATCGAGACAACATTGGCGACCGAATAGCTCTCGGGATCACGACCGTCCTCACAATCGTATTTTTACTGGGTTCCAGTAACAGCACTATGCCCCGAGTCAGTTACCCGAAGGCTATCGACTGGTACATGATGACTTCGTTCATCTTCGTGTTTATGTCGCTAATCATGTGTCTGTTGATCTTCCGGTTTGATCGAAAGAAGAACAAAGAGCAGCGCCCGCCGAGGTCGGTCAGCGGTGAACCTCCAGCTGAGGCAATTTCGATGCAGGTAAATTTGTAACAATTCGATAAAAGCTACCAAGACACTTTCAGAATGAAGTGTCTTGCACAACAAAAAAATTAACATCCCCACCAGTCCCCTCCACATAAAATACTAACTTTGAATCATTCTAATAACTCTAGATATCAGAAGAGCCAGACATTCGGAGCCGTGTTTCATACTACGTGGCAGACTCTCAAGGAGCTGTGTATCCAATCGTTCGCAGCGTGTCTGGTCTCAAAAAGAAAACCCTCTTAACGCCACGCTTTCCCAAGAGGCTTTGCGGACTGCCGGTGAAAGTCACCCGAGATAACCTTGGAGTGGCGCTAAACAATCTCTGTAGATTTCTCTTTCCATCCTCGTTTCTCTTGTTCAATCTTGTGTATTGGGTTGGCATAGCCTAAGTTTGTTGGGAACCAAGAAAGAGAAAAAGCTTTTGAATGTATATCTTTGTCACGCACCCTGGTGATGGGCTTGAAAAGTCGGCTATGGTTTGGTTAACAAGTTGAGTTTTTTATTTCTCGTATCGGTAAAGTTCCTCGTTTTCATATGAAAAAGTTCGGTTCTGTTTACTGAATGAGAAAGCCCAATTATTAAAAGTTAAAACATGTTACGTCGGTTATATTATTCTTCGATAAGTTCAACATCTGGGTATTCATTCTAAACGAACTTTTTACACTGAGGATTAAAAAAAAAAAGAAAAAAATCGAACTTTCCGTATATAACTCACAAGATCTGATCGTCAATTTTCCCCTCTAGCCGCTGTACATTTCCTTGTAAATTAGTTACGAAAATTTGGTGTCAGATCAAGATAACAACTTTTACCTGATAAGTTTGAGTATTCTCAATTCCGGATTGTAAGATAAACTATGGGTAATTTAGGGAGAAGCTGTGTGTTAACCACTTCTAGAAGTTAAAGGGTTAAGTTCCAAGGGTAGATAGATCTAAACACACTCAAGCTATCCTAAGAAACGCCTCTATACGAGATAACATAAAAGCAAGTTTGACTTTTGATCGTGGATAAGTGCAAAACACCTTTCGAGAAACTAACCCCATAAAATGGACTGAAGAACAGCTCTACTGAGTCTTATAGAGTTCAATATGAGGGGATGATTTTACAGTCGACTATCGATCCAGACAATTCAGATCAACACTCTTTGCTTAACAAGACACGTCTCTGAATCTGAACTTCTAAGGCCTACAAAATGAAAATTTTAAACTGATAACGTTGAAAAAAAAAAAAAAAAATTAAGAAAACTGTCAAAACCACACTCTACAAAAAAAAAATCGATTCAAAGCATTCTTTACTATTACAAGACGAATGATATTTACGAGAAGGGTACTGAAGGTTAAATTTACATGGGTGTTTTGTCCTCTTAACTGGCTTTTTCAGGAATAAGCCGTTCATAGCGGCATTGAATAGAAGTAATAACTTTTTGTGTAAAGAGCATTTTCAATTGAGTGTTGAAATTAGGGCTGCATTTCGATGGCTTTATTTCGCTGTGATAAGTCTAGAAAATTCGCGCCATCCTCGCCACCAATCAGATGCGAACTGACCAATCGCCATTTCTTCTTTCATACTTTCCCGCGCTTCACAGAGGTTGCTTGGTTTTTAACGTTGAGTTCTACCAGGCTCCTTTTGGTATTTTCCTTCGTTCTTACGGGCTCTTGTGATTACTTTGGTTTAGATTTAGCGACACTCAATCGAAGAGCACTCTACATATAAGCTTAGCTGTATTTGTGAATGAGGACTATTGCATTGGTTATTGAAAATACCTGTCGAAATGTAAATTGTGATAAAGTAAACCAATAGAGACAGGAATAATAAAAATGATGAAAAAAAAAACAACAACAACAACAACAACACAACATAAGTAACAACAACTTGCACTGAACCGGGAGAGGGACATTTGTCATAAAACTATATTTCGTCTCTCCTTTAGGATCTAAACTGTCTCCTTAACCAAGTTATTTTTGGTTTTCGTTACATCGAACTGCAATGATTCACTTCATTGAGGGATGGCCGGTCGATTTACAAACGGGTTAGGAAAGGAGAGAGGAAGGTTTAACTCAGTTTGCATTCCTCAACTCCTTCCCACCTTTCCCCCAATCCCTTCCCACCTTCCCTTCGGAGTGAGCCTGGGAAAAATAGAGAAGGTTCAAAAACCTTTGAGGGCTGGGAAAAGAGAAGAATTTTACTTACAAACTGCTCGTGAACAATATTTCTTAAGGCATTCCCGATAACGGAATCATGTACTCGGTCTGTATAACGATTTAGACAATATATATTTACAGTCACTGACGAAGTAAACCGCTACAACGAGTTGAAGTATCTTAGGATACTGTTTTTTACTTTCCCGTCATACCCAGGACCTCTGTTGATAATGACCAGTGTTGTTTCGTGAGTTTGGGCCGATCAAATATCTCGTTTCCTGCAGAAAACAAGAGGTTTAGGACGCTGTATTTGAAGTCTTGAAAATGCCTTGTTCAATTCCTCTCGAGTAGATCTGCTTGTATAAAGGGAGGGGGAGGGGGTAAGTTTCTAAAGAAACTGTGGTGCTGCGTTGGTGAAAGTACGATAAGTTACTTTGGTTTTACCAACTGAGTTGATAATTTAATTTGGCCACGTGAAAGAGTTTCTAAAGCTGGTGTTAGCACTTCGGCAGAGCGAATAAAGGAATTTTGGATTGTGTGTCACGGATCTTCTGGTAGTTTTAAGAGAACCACTTTGCGGCTTTCATGAGCATCTTTTTTAAACTACGCACAACTTGGAACACAGCGGGAGACCTTTCAGTAAAGTTATTTTCCCTATGCGTCTTAACGTAGTAAAAAAACCTTGGTTTTTTAAAGGCTCGTATTTTGAGCAGAGGCTGTTGTCAATGCAGCTGTTTACCTCATTTATCAATAAAGGGCAAAATTACTGAGCGCTGATTGGTTGAGAGAGAGGGCATTTTTTTCTTAATCGAGGGCATTATTACCTGTTAATGATTGGCTAATCCGTTGCATTGCTAATCCGTTGCTTCCCAGATAAAAATAGACTGCGCGCGTGATTTTCCTTCGTATAAATTTTGCCCTTTATTGATAAACAAGCCCATCTCGACTCGGGCACTTGAGTTTTCAAAATTTTCCAAATTTTGGAAAATTTTGAAAACTCTCGTGCAATTAATCCTTAATAGTACTTGGCCTCATGTGATTACCTATACTAAGAAGTACACAGCTCTCATTTTGAGGAGACTATTTGCGCGTCCACGCGGGCTGATAACTCAGCGATGGCACGTTTCAGACGTGGAGGGTCTGTGAAGAAATATATAAACAGCTCCCTTTCCATAAGCTTCAGGTTGTCAGAGCGAAGGACCTGGAGAGGAAAAAAATCAAAACGATGTCACGGAAACTTAACTTACGACACTGAAAATTCTCCACCACTTCAGTGAAGAGTTTGTCCACAATGTAAGTATTCGTTGCTTTACCTTTTTCTTGGCTTCACAGTCTTTGATAATATCTTTAATGGACTTCTCTAAGGTGACCAGAAGTTCATCAAGCTGACTGAGACCATCTGCAATACGCTGAAAAGGAAGCAAAGTAAATTTAAGTCATTAAACGCTCAAAGAACATTCTATTAACGTTAGAAAATGAACGAACGTTCTTTAACAAAGAGGATTATGCTTGTGCCGTGGTGGAATACTGTATGTAAGATGACTGCAGTCAAATCCGGCTTTAAAAGGCGTTTAAGGTTACGTAGCCTGAAAATGATTATGCTTGTGTCACACAACCGCGTTAAAACCGCGGCTTTAAACGGTGTTTAAGATAACCTAGTTTTTATCGCAGGATGATCATTACCTGTGGACTCAACTGAGGAAGACCACCAGTCGTGGCAGATTCTCCATACATCGTCTTTATACCCTGTTTAAGGTTACTCTCCCTATAATAGTGTTAAAAGATTTAGTTACTGATCGACGCTGAACATGTTTAGTTTTCTCAGTTACCATTAAATGATACTTTCAGAAATACCATTACGTTGTTGAGCCTCACACATGTAGGTCAGTGGCTGCATGCTGACGCTCGTGCATCTCACAGCACATGCATGGCGTGTTGTTCATCGCACGCAAACAGTAAACTTCAACGCGTCACTAAATTCTGCAAACTTGTCTTTGTATTCCCTTCACACAACCAGTCTCACTTTCCCCCATCTGTCATAATTTAAATCTCTACAAGAACACCCAGAATCCGACAATTTGAGTCTAAAAACTGACACGGATGTCGCGTCATAACGATAACTGCCAGCGGTACAGATTCCATGGAACCCTCCTTGACTGTGTAAAGATAACGCCTTCAGCTTTCCAAGTTCAAAAAACTTAGGAAATAAGGACATTTTTTAAATTGTACTGTAACACAACCAATATCCTCCTTTCCCCCCTCCCCCAGACTATAAATTATGACCAGTCGCTAAGTTGCTTTAAAGTTAAAATACACAAGTTTATTCAAACAAAACGTAAGACAAGCGAATGATGAGAACTTACAGTTGTTTCCAGGCTTCCTCCTGTCTGCTGCCCGAGGTGGCCAGGGACATAGTGAATGATTCCAGCTGTCCAGCTAACTGCTGACTCCATTCCACAAGCTGACTATACGCTAGAAAAATCTCCTTCTTGCTTTCCTCCTCCCCTTTGGGTGAGCTTTCAAGAACACGATACAACCCCTCCATAAAATGGTCTCGGCTGTCAATTGTCCCACGGGATGGGTGGGGAGGGTGAAGGGCATGTTCGTCCATAATTGTCTTTGGAAATTGTTAAGGTAATAAGCTGAACATAGTGTGTTACTTCTCAAGCGAGAAAATACAGTACTAAAAGCTATCCGTGAAACGACCTAAACTGAGGGCATTGGAACTGTCAAGAGGTATCTAAGCATGTAAAAGGTCATTTGCACTCACTACCCCATATCAGACGTTCGAAGTTTCGTTTCCGTAAACAATAATGTTTAAAGCCATGTGCCATCATTTGATTCACACTGAAAAAACTTCTCATGTTACAGTGCTCACGTATACAATCTAAGGTACTGTATGTAATGTAGCACCGCACAATGTCACCATCGGTGGTATAAACGTCCCCTCCAATCCACTCTATATGACAGGGTAATTTGGTATCACTAACTGATTCGATAATACCAAATTACCCTGTTATACTCTCCCACCGACACAGCACAGCAGTTTCTTTAGAAACTTATCCCCTTCACTCAGTATGGCAACTGCGCTTGAGAGATTACAATTGACAACGTAAGGGTGCAAAAGCAAAGGCCTCCCCATATTTTGTGCCATGATTGAAGCTCAACTTGAAAGTGTTACCAGCAAGAAGAGAGGTGTGCTTTTTTGTGAAATTTTGCAATTGTTCTTGAAATAATTGGTCACTGTATGTACAGGATACAAATCGCGCATCGATTCCATTGACTGCATTACCAAGTGTACTCTCCAAGGTGCTAAACAAACGATGAATGTCACGGTTCTTGCGTCCTTCAACCTCAAGTGCCATTGAGAGAAACTCGTGCCGAGAACGTTGAAGCAAAAGCTGGGTGATGACCTAACAAACAAAAGAAGTAAGATTGTTGGAAAAGCAAATCGCAATTTTGTCAAAACCTCTGATGGAGGAATTTTGATCAATCGCTCTGACGAAGGGCTAACACTCGAAACGTCAGCTTTTTTACCCTTTACGGTAGCTAATTAACGTTTTCAACTCAGTTGTTAACACTAAATTACCATGGTACTGACTTTTTCTAGGTCCATATATGTCACGCGTCCTATACGCTGCTATGATCAGAATGTTGAAGGCCTCATGTGAGCAAACATGAGAGGAATAAAGAAAAAAAAAACCCACCTGCTCTTGTTTGGATGTGAAGTAGTCTTGTCTTGCTATTTTCAACTCATAGTCCCCTTTCAAGATACTTGTTGCTTGGAGCTCCCCTAGCTCCTGCACCAACCCAGGAAGGGCCTTCTCAGTGAGCTCTCCAATCTCCATCTTGACTTGGGAAAGAGCCTTTTGTACCTCAGTCAATTTGGCACTAGTGAGAAACAGATACTGATTTAGGAAAGTTGGTAAGAGCATACGTTTTAGAGTATCAATTGAAAGTTTGTTGGATGGTCGACAGGATGGGTGGATGGTTTGTCAGCCGATAGATCAGTCAGTTAACCTGTCAGTCAAACAGCCAATTAGTCAGACAGACAGAGATCTGTGTGATATTCTGTCAGACAGTCTGTAGGTCAGCCTAACAAACAACCAGTGAGTCGGTCAAGCTGTTAGTCAGTCAGACAGCCAGACAAAGAGTCCATGAGTGTCACTCAGTCTCTCAGTCAGACAAATGAATAAAGGGGGTAAGTTTCTAAAGAGACTATGGTGCCGCGTCCATAGGGGGTATAACAAGATATTTGGTTTTATCAACTGAGTTGATAATGTTAATTAACAATGGTAAAGAGTTTCTAAAGCAGTCATTTCAAGCCTTATCTCTTCAACAGAGTGAGTATCAGCCAAATATTGTTAGACAGTCAGTATGTCAGTCCAACAAGCAGCCAGTCAGTCAGTCAAGCTGTTAGTCAGTCAGTAAGTCAAAGAACCAGTTCTTAGTCAGTCAGTCAGTCAGTCAGTCAAACGTTCAATATGTTATTCTGTCATATAAGCAATGCATCTTAAATTCAAATCATCTATCAGTCAGTCTGTCTTCTGGCTAATCCAACAATCAGGCCAGGTTGATTACTAATTAAATAAGTAAAAAATACAACTTACAGCTAATCACAGCATACAGTATCTTAAACCTATCTCTCTTTCACACTACTGTATGTTTACTACAATTACTACCAACAACAAAAACGAGATATTGGTATAATGTTGTGTAAATGTGACTGACCTTAACATATCACTGCTTGGTGGGTTTGTTTCCCATGACAAGTTTTTTAGCTTCTCCTCAGCTACTCTAACTGCTGTAGTAACTCCTGATGCTGTAGCCATATTATGAATTCTTCTACTTTCACTTGAGGCATAACTGAGACCACACAAAAAACAGAAAATAATTATAATCCATGTAAATTGAAATAAAGGGGTTTTATTGTATGTGCAGTGAATCATTTTATTTTTACCCAGGGCAAAATTTGCATGACCTAGTTGGGATCAATATCAGTATCTGGGCAACTGCCCACCTACCCCTCCCCTAACCCAGCATTAACCCTAACTTGTTATCAATTGACTGTTGTTGAGTTAGAGGAGGGGTAGGTGGGCAGTTGTACAGATACTGATATTGATCAATTAGTTGCACTATCTAAATAGTCAAAGACTTAACACTTTAACCCCAAACAGTGACTGACATCAAATTTCTCCTTACAATATCACCCCTGAATCAAACATTAGGGTCATGAGAATAAAGAAAATAATCACCAACTAAAGAAGTTCTTGATTGTTAAACAAATTCTCCTTATAAGCACCTTAGGAAATGTATGGAGAACAGTATGGAGAATATGCATACAGATGCTTGGGTTTAAAGGGTTGAATTAAATTAATACTTACACAGATTGCAGTCTTGCAAGCTCTTGACAGTCATTGAGGTTAACTTCATTATTCTCACCTGAGAGAATTAGAAATGATCTTTCAGGAAAATTGTATGGAAGATTAAATTCAAGAAGGGAAATCTGGAGAAAGGTAGGAATAAAAAAAGGGAGGTGAAGGGGGAAGAGAACAAGAGGTAAGGAGGCAGACATGCATGTCAGGACAATGTTAGAAATCAATTTTTTTTTTCCCGTCAACATAGGAAAAGGACAGCTGCAGTAGGTTAATAAAAGATTTACACTGCACATCAGGACTTCTCCCCTCTTGGATAATTTAGCCTGAGTAGTTACTTCAGTCTAAGTGTATGAGAGAGACATTTTGAACATCACAACTAATGATACAAAAATATTGTGCAACACAAATCTACAGTGTAGGTACATGACAGTTAGACACTGTAGGATTCAGTCCCTGTACCTCTCACTAGCAGAGTCGAAGGATCACTTATTTCCAGTAATTCATATCTTGATCTCTCTTGTCCTCCAGCCATCTCAGCAATTCCCTGCAAAAAAATTAAATTGTAGCATGTTCAGCCTTTTCAAAGCAAATATCCAAAAGCTGAGTAACTTTGACCTCAAACTAAGGATAAACTGTATTATGTCTGGTTAATTATACCCATGCACATGATCATAGCTGTATAAAATGCTAAGAAGAGCTGGCCACAAGTGGGACATGACAAAATTTATCCTGTACATCATCAATACATTCTAAAACAGACAAGTGATGAGAATAAAGAAAAATATAAATTAAGGGATTTAAATTAGTAGATCCAATACTAAATTCTCTGAACTACATACAACATCATAAGAACTGTATGGCAGACAGCAAGGAGGATTATATGTACAGATGAGATCTTGGTAGTTGAAGGGTTAATTACACTCAATTTTTGATGGTTGCCGTTTCTCTTGTACTTTCATTTTACCTCAAAGAACTGTTTCCTGGTATAAGCAGTTAGTTCTCCAGTAAATCTTTCCTCAGATGTGAAGTAACTGTCATAGGGCAACTGTGATAAAAATGGAGCCGAATCATTCCCACCTAGAATGAGGAGATAATTTCAAAAATGTGTGTGACCATCCACACTGTACATGCAAGATTTATAAAAGAAAAAAATTAATAGGTACATGATGCAGATGATTTATGGATAATCAATTTAGTTTCACAAGGGGTGACATGCACTTGCTTGACAGCTGTCAGTCATGCTTTGACAATATCAATACAATACCACGCAGTCAAGTGGTCAGAATGAAGAAGAGTATCAATTAGGGGATTTTAGTTGATCCAATACCAAATTCTCCAAACTAACATCATAAGAAATGAATAGAGAACAGTAAGGAGAACTACTAACGAGATCTTGGGAGTAAAAGGGTTGAAAATTTACTCTCCTTGTACAAAATCTTAAGATACAATATGTTGTGAATTAATCAAGAAAAATGATTATGAAAATAGGACTGAAATGAAAACTATATGTAGTACATGAATATGATGTTCATTGATTCATTGGATGTAATACCTGTACACAATGATAATACATTGTCATCATCATTGACTCATCAGTATCTTCATCAAAGGTATTATGAATCTTAATCTAATAAATCTTCCCAGACTCTGGCAAGGAAAGGTATGCTAGAACAGGAGCAGTCAGCAGAAAAGGAAAACTTCAAGAAATCCATTAAAATTTGTCAGTAATGCCACCATCCACATAATTTTGTGTTTCAGTCTATGTGTGTCTACATCAGTCTACATGTCTGATGATTCACCTTCTTCTCCCCTGTACAATGCTACCATCTGTGAAACAGATTCTTCCAAATGCTTCAAACTGGAATTCATCTGAAGATTTAAGGAAAAATAGAGAAATTGAATGTTATTACCTCAGTATCTAAAGTTTACCATACTTTTCTAAACAGGTCTCAAGAAGCAAAACCAAAAAAAGTTTTAGTTTGATGGAATACACTGATAAATATGTTTACCACTTTCCCCTGTTCTTCTACAAGTCACAAAATGACAAAAACTGCATTTTTGACATAGGTTTTTATTCTAATTAATAACAATGAATGAGAACAATAGTTGTACAATGTGTAATGAACTTCTCAGCATACACATACTTATTGCAAGAGGAGGAATCCTGCCTAATTGATATTTTAGGCATTAACCCTTTAACTCCCAAGATCTAATTCTTAATTCTCCCCTCCAGCTGCTACAAATTTCCTTGTAAATTAGTTACAAGAATTTGGTGTTAATTCAAGATAACAACATCTACCTGATAAGTTTGAGTATTCTCATTACCCATTTGCTGGATAATGTCATGATATTATTGAGAGAAGTTACATGTTAATCACATCTGGGAGTTAAAGATTTAAAAGCCATCTGCCCCTTAGAATGTTGATTAATGCAAAACCTGTATTCTGATTTAGTATGCAGACATCGCCATGAGTGAACTTGAGTAACTTGGCTGACAGCTATTGGACTTTTTTCTCCCTGTTTTCAAGCTCTAACCACTGACCTTTCTTAATTTCATTCTCAACTTCATGCTACTGTCTATTCTAATGAGGGAGCCATTTACAAAACCTCAAATTCTTCTTGTAGAGTTAAAAAATTTAACAATTTTTTTGGACATGTACCTGTGTATTGTCAGCTTGACTGGACTCAAGACTGCTCTTGTATTTTTGTTTATGCTCCTGAACAACACCACTCAGTTTTAAAAGTTTGTTAGTCAAACCTGCATGATGAAGACTGAAAAGGTACAGAAGCAGAAGTTGTCAGCATGACAATAATGTACTGTTACAACATGGATACCCCTGTTTTACATGGATGGGTTGTATAATATTAGCTTTAGAAAACACTTATTGAGTGTACAACATTAAACAGTTGAAAGAAAGAAGACAAAATCATTAGGAATAAATGTAAAAAAAAGCCTTGAACTGCACGACCTTATTAAAGGAAACAAGTCAGCTGAATGGATGCAGTGTGTGAAGAAAATTAGAATTCCAAACATTCTTGTGCTGATAGCTTTCCCATTTCAGAACAACTTTGTATAACACTGTACTCTATAAGTAGAATTCAACAAACTCCGAGCAAGATCCTCTTTTCAAATTTTATCTGTCATTTGGGTGAAAACAAGTCACATAAACAAAAACAGTGATAAGAAAAGTTTTTCATTCAATCCATTCATTCATTTTTTGCTGATTAATTTTGCATGGTAAAATAAACTAAGCTTGGGAAGAGGGAATGTTTGTACTGTAATCTTAGAATACAGAAAGAAATAGGTTAGTTTTACAAGTTGTTTGGTACTTCAAAATAAATATTTATCAATTAAAAACTGCATTGCTAAGTGGAGGTTGGGTGCCTGGAACATCCAGGAGCTTCCACTATGGGCAGCCAGCTCCTAGATGGAGATTTCTCCCATGGCTGATAAATCCTGGCAATCCAGCCATGAGCCCTTACACAGGAAAGGGAAACAGGCAGCTATCACACTGAATTAACAGTGGAAAGAGAGAGGGAAGGGGTGGGGAAAACTGCCTAGACGATGAGCTGCCACTCCTCACAATGTTGCAAGTTCATGCACAAAGCACATACAAGAATGCCTCAAAGGAAGAGCAAATGAAATTCCGACACATGCTCATATGCTAAAAAACAGCTGACTACTAGAGAATGCTGATGCTCTTAGTTAACTCAGGTAAATTGCATTTAACTGTATTAAAATAGCACCTTACCTTAATTTATTCCTTTGTGAAACTACCCTTTGTAGTCTCTGTTTTATCATTTGAACCTCTTTCCCTAGCAAGTCAACCTCATTTCTGCCAGGACAAAAAGTAAAATGTCACAATTTTGAGGATACAATGGAGCATACGATTCAACCAGAGCAATCATGACAACATTTGTGAAAAAGGTATCAACACAAAAATCAAACAAGCAGGCTAGGTGATAAAGGGAAAATATGAAAGAATATTTATTATGTAGCCTACAGTGCCCCTTAGGCAATATGAAGCCAATACTGTGTTTTGATTGGCTACCCAAGGGGGCTAAATGGGCTCATCTTGTTCCCTTGTGATTGCCCACTTTGATCCTGTGCATCAAAAAAAAACTTGTAACCAAACTTGGTCAGTCAAGATGGCTGGATATTAGCCTCATACTTCTTGTGCATCTTTATGGACCTCAATTTTGTCTCAGTCCTTAAAAATGCAAAAAGAAAGAACTTGGATCTTGACCTCACATTTGGTCAATAACACATATGCCATGTAATCCATATAATAAGTTACTGGCATTGGCACCTCTCAATGTAACATCAAAAAGAAATTAAGTGTGCTTATTATATGATTAAATCAAAACATGATAATAGTAATAATACAGCAGAGCTAGTAAATGGATTGGGGATGTACACTTTACCTCAATGTTTCACCAGAAAACTCTTCTTCCTCATGCAACAATATTGACAAAGTCTTTTCAACTTGATCACTCTAAAAAAATATAAATTGTGTGAACTGCTTAACAAAATACCCATGGTGAGTATGTAGTTTTCTATTCTGTTTTGAAATGAAAGTAAAGACTATGGTAATATGTTCATGCACTTCAGTTGTATTGATTCCTTTGGAGCTTTATGGAGGCTATCTTACCAACAGCTGTACAAGCTTTTACATGTATGAGTAGATAGTGGTACATACGTGTGGTAGAGTAGAAAACAACCAACCTCAAGAATGTGTGCACCAGATGACTGCAGTTCATCAAATCTGTAAAATAATGGATTCAATTTAGTTACAATGCTTCTTTACCCTTTGACCTCTGAGTGGTTAGCATCTAATTCTTCCTTACAATATCACCCTGGAATGACACCGCATTAAATTCATGAGAATAAATGAAATGATCACCAACTAAAAAAAGTTATTGATTGTTAAACAAATTCTCCTTCTCAGCACTGTGGAAAAGAATGGAGAACTGTATGGTGAATATCCATGTTGGTTTTAGGATGTGAAAGGTTAAATTCATTTATTATCTAAAGAAGAGGCTTTTACAAGGCTTTTGAGAAAAAGACAGATGTACAGTGTAAATGGCAGATTTCTTGCAGATACACCATAGTGAAGGACAGTGTCCACTCATGTTACTTGTGCATGTAAACGTTAAGGTTGTTGTTATCTTTGCTATTGTTGTTTTCCTTTTTCCACAGGTTGATTGAGCGTTAAGAGGTATATGTATAGACACTCTTAATATGAATTGCGGTTGTTTCGCTAACAACTAGTTCGCTAACGTATGAGATCGATTCGTTGACGTCTTAGCGAAACAACCAACGAGACATTAGCGAACTGCCCTGAGACTTTAGGGAAACGACCTACATGTACAGCTGTAAGACTCGAGAGTAGCAAACTACTGTAGTCATTAGCGAAACGACTCTTAAGTCTCTATTCCTCTCACCTCTTAAGATCTTCAAGAGATACCACATTTGACTCGTGTATATTTTCAAAAAACCATTCCAGGAATGGAACGATTGATTCGCAATCGAACAGCCATTCCAAACTGTCTCCTTCAAATTGATTTACCTTAGGATAGCCGATGCGAGACAACGCACTAAGTATCTTAGCTCCTTGATTCATTCTATCGTATGTATTCCTCACATGGAAACTGATTTAAAATATTCGGTTCCTACTCTCTCTTCATACATATGTCTAAAAGAGATTGGATGCCGAATATAATGACCAGCGAAACCAAGAAGAGAGAATTACGTGTGCGCCATTTTGGTTTTCCCGCGTAGAACCATTGCGCATGACATAGAAGAGCTGTCGTTACCAATACCAATCAATCGAAGCTGTTGAAGAGGAAGGAGGAGTACTAGGAACGAGTCTCCCTTTCCAGTACTCCTCGGTTGTTCTTTTGTCAGGTAGGCGCCTGTAAGATTTCTTCCTCGAGTTCCCAACATGGCAGACAAAACAGTAACAGCGACAAAGAAGACAGCCGCTGAACTCGACGAGGAAATCGATGAATTCATGAAAGAGAGGTCCAGTGGTAAAAAGCGTGTCATCACTTTCACAGAAGAAAATTGGGAAGAGGTATGGTAGTTGATATGCATGAAAACTTGCCGAACTAACTCACACGTGTTCACTCAGCTCGGTATTGTGTACCGATGGTTTTCTACGATCGAATCATGGAAATCGAGGAACCAAAGATAACACGCAAGTTTGATTTTTTGTGATATCAGGCAGATACTCTCAGAAATGAACGCTTTCAGGCTCTGGAAACTATTCCTCCAGAGTGAGAGATCAATCCTCGTCGGGCATGAATGTCCGATACACATGTAGTGGTCAGCTGTTAGCCAGCCGCAGGTTGGAGTGATGGGGAAGACATCAGCAAACATATTAGTGACATCATCAGATGATACAAGAAAATCTATCACGTTTCTTTTAACCGTTCCACTCCCAAGATCAGACTGGTAATTCTCCTCACTGATTGCTGTACATTTCCTTGTCACACGTACAGTAATTAGGCAGGAGAATTTGGTCTTATTCCAAAGTAACGCCTTAGAGCCGATAAGCTTGTCTGTTCTCATAACCAGTTAACAAGATAACTTATTAGAATTGTAAGGAGAAGTTACATTTTGATCACTTGTGGGAGTCAAAGGGGTTAACCTTTTCAGTCTCAGGAATGACCCACAAGGAATTTCTCCTTGCAATGTCAGTACAGTTTCAGACAAAAAGATTGTGAGAAGACAGAATAATGAGAGTGAAGAAATTTCACATCAATTTATTTTCAAAACCAAAATCATAGGCAGTGTACGGGAGATGATGCAGTCCCCAAAGCTTTCTCAAATATTGTGAGACTCACTCTCTGTCTTGTTTTAGGAATTTGAGAAAACACCTGCTTTTATGACAAAAACTCCTACACAGGAAGAAATAGATAACAACCCAGCCTTAGCAGCCCTTCAAGCTATGAAATATGAAGACGAAGACCCTGTAGGTAAGCATGAAGTATTTATTAAATAATGATGTACTTGGAAAAATCATGTGCGTCTGAATGGTGAAAAATGAGTGCATTTTTCATGTAATTTGAGTGCAAAATTGTAACACAAGTATAAAGTTGTAACATTGGTGCAAATTACAAATAGCACACATATTGCAAAAATTTAGTCCGTCTTGACTTTCTGTGATTCATTTTTCATGTAAATTATTAACAATTAGCAACATGATTTTTGTGCAATTTGGTGTAAATAAGCACTTAAATTTTTCAAAGACAACCTAATGCATTTGCCTTACATGTTCATGTAATTTTGTTGTCTTTGAAAAATTACTTGATTGTACTTATTAAAACCAAACTGCACTGGTAATCATGTTGTTACCTACAGTGTATATGAATTAGGTATAAAAAAAGGAAACCTAAAATTTGACAAAATAATTTTTAATGCAAGTTTATTCTTGACCATGTAGCAAGTTTGAAACAAAGGACAATGAAATTTTAACTGAGAATAAATCTGAACCACTCTTATTTTACTTGTTGACTCTTTTAATCCCAGACCAACCCTTTACACCCTAACATCAGTATCCATATTCTCCTTACTCTTCTCTTTATATTTCCCTTGGTAGTAACAAGGAGAATCTGTTTAACAATCAAAGCTTCCTAGGTTGGCGATCATTTCCTTTATTCTCATAATCTTAATGAATAATTCAGCAGTATGACTGCTAGGAGAAATTAGATGCTGGTCACTCTTAGGGTGCAAAGGTGTAAGCCCATGAGTTTTTGCACCCCAAAATATCAATTAATGTTCAAGCAGAATCGTGCTGAGAAGAAAGAGAGATATAAACCACCTGGGGCATACTGTATGATTTAGCACTTGGTTCTGAGAGCTGAAAAATTATCAGGAATGTATTTTAAAAACAGTGAAAAGAATTAATAATCTTAAGAGTTAGCCCTTTAACTCCCATGAATGACCAAGGGAGAATTTCTCCCCACATTATCAAGCAGACAAGTGATGAGGTTACAGAAATATATGAATTAGGGGATTATTATTTCATTGATAAAATACCAAATTCTCCAAACAAACATAATAAAAATTGTATGGTAGACAGTAAGGAGAATTACCAATTGAGATCTTGGGAGTAAAGGGTATTAGTTCAAGAGTGCATGACACAGAGTTAATATAAGCTTTATTTACAGCAAGAGCAGAAGCATACAAAGAAGATGGTAACTATGAGTACAACAGAAAAAAATTCAAGGAAGCGATTGCTGCATATACTGAGGGAATCAAGGTGAAATGTGATGATGCTCATCTCAATGCCATCCTCTACACAAACAGAGCAACAGCACAAATATGTCTGGGTTAGTATTGATATGCCTACAATTGTTGCCAGCAAATTGAAACAGACCTTTTTGACCCATTCACCTCAGTATTGATGGCCAGTGGTGGATATTTATCTCACTGCTTTGAGGCTTCGTACATGTAAGTATTCACCACTAACCACCACTACTTTGGTGAATAGTTGTTAATAATAATAATAATGATAATAATAATGATAATGATGGTAATATTGATGATGATATTAATAATGATGATGACAGCACTAACAATTGTAATGATTTATATGTAAATCATCATTTCTATTAAAAACACTTTCGTAAGTATTGATGATGATATTAATAATGATGATGAGAGCACTAACAATTGTAATGATTTATATGTAAATCATCATTTCTATTAAAAACACTTTCGTAAGTATTGTCCGTATTTCTTCATTTTGTAGGTTTTTTTAAGCTCACTAGAACACAAGGACTCAAGGTTTTTGCAAATAAATAAGTCTAAAGAATGAATGCCACATCTCCACATAGGATTAAAGCTGGAGTCCTTAATTTCTTTTGACAGGAAATAATCGTAGTGCCCTCAATGATGCCACAGCTGCAAGGAAGCTAGAACCAACTTACATGAAGGCTTTAATTAGAGGTAAGTACATAGGTGTACATGCACATGTAGGGGCTCCAAAATTTTTCAAACTAGTTTGATTTTTTTCCTTTATCTTGAAATAACCTTTAAACTCTCAGAAGTGACTTAGATTTAACCTCTCCTTATAACATCCATACATTATCCAGCAAACAGGTAACGAAAATACTCAAACTTATCAGGTAGGAATTTTTTCTTGATCTTACACTTAATTCTTGTAACTAATTTACAAGGAAATGTGTAGCAACTAGAAGGGAGAATTAACAATCAAATCTTACAAGGATCTGAAGGGTTAACAAAGGGAAATAAAATTGAGCACATGTTTAAATATTTAGTTGCTTCATTCTACAGAAACAGGTTTATTAAGCTTTGGCCAGGTAAGCCACTTGGATTTAAAACTGACATAATGTGTCACTTACTTTGTAGGTGCCACTGCTTGTGTGGAGCTTCAAAAATTTGAGGATGCTGTAAAATGGTGTGATGAGGGATTAGCTGTATCCTTTTACATCTTTTTATCACTTATTAGCTGCCATTTCTTTGACAGCATGCCCAAGTTTTGCATCTCATAGAGCCTGTTAGAAGGCCTTCATTATGAGCCCTTTGGCACCACAGGAGCTCTTGGAGCCTGTGAGAAGGCCTTCATTATGAGCCCTTTGGCACCACAGGAGCTCTTGGAGCCTGTGAGAAGGCCTTCATTATGAGCCCTTTGGTACCATTGTGTCTTCGCCCACAGGAAAATAATTGAGGCCTTAAGCAACAGAAGCCATGAAGAGGTCTGCAAATGGTTTGGTGCTGATAATGACCAGATTGTAGAAAATCTTTTGCTTTTAAATTCCAAGTAATAATTTTTCTCTTCCTCTCCCCCCTTCATAATTATTCTTTTTGTATTCATGCGTGGCTTGCCTGATTTCACAAATTAGCCAATCATGTCAAAGAACTCAAACTTTTACTTTGGAAAACTAATGTGGACATTTTTTGCATACTTTAAGTTTGTTTTCGCAGAGTTTTAGATAGTTGTTTTTGAGCTTTCATTCATGTAAATTTGTTACTCCTTTGTTTGCAATTTTAAGAAGCTTCAGAGTTTTTATTTCAGCCAAATGTTGTGGTTCATTTAACAAGTTTAATACATTTTTTCTATGGAGTTTGGATTTAGCCTCTTTTTTCGTAAATGGATTTTTTACACAGACCATGGAAAACCTTTCCCTGATAGCTAGACTAGTTATTACAGACTATTTGAATTCCTGATACATCTGCTAGTACAAATATCTTTGACTTTAATAAGATTGAAGCTCAAAACCAACAGCTTTTGGATTTAAGGAAAAAGGCTGTTGCAGAACAGAAAAGGGTGCTGAGAGATCAACGAAAAGCAGTGTTAAAGGAAAAGAAAGAAAGATCTGAAGCAGAGGCTTTGAAATCAGCAGTTAAGGTGTCTTTACAACCTATTGTTGGTACGAGATAGGATTTTTTTGATGAGTTTGAATGTTCTCATTACTTGTTTGCTGGATGATGTATCAATATTATAGGGAGAAGTTATTTGTTAATCACTTAAAGAAGTTAAGTACATGTAATGTAACTCGTTAGGAAACACTAAAGGTTTTAATTTTAGAGAATTTGGTTGATTGATTGATTTTTTCGTTTATTCTTATCACTTGTCTGCTTGATGTTGTATTAATATTGGGAAGAGAAATTGTCTTGGTAACTTCTGGGAGTTAAAGGGTTGAATTGACTTTTTTTCCTAGGCCCGAGGAGTCACTTTGGAGCATGAGGATGACCTGTTGAGGCCCATGGCCGATGGGGGACTGGACATCAAGGTCTCTTTGGACAGTAGTGGTATACTTCACTGGCCAGTCATGTTTGTTTATCCTGAGTTTGAAGAGACCGACCTGATATCTTCATTTAATGAGAATGACAGGTGAGTGTTGTATAGGGTAATTTAGAATTATCAACTGAGTTGATAACGTAAATTGGCCACCGTTAAGAGCTATAAAGCGGACGTTTCGAGCGATAGTCCTTCGTCAGAGCCATTGACGAAGGGCTAACGCTCGAAAATGGGAAGAAAAATACTTCACAAAACAAAATGAATTATAAGAGCAATTTACAATCGAGTATCAAAGGCAAATATTGTCTGTGCTTTACCTCGCTCTTTGATTGGTGTTGACATAAAACGAATACCGATCGTGGCTTGGTCATCCGCGTTTTCCCGCGCTTTTAGCCGTTTCCCTGTTTTAATTATGAGTTCTGATTGGCTAACGATGATGTTTTCTTCGTTACAATTGCACGTACTGATTTGGTTTTGGTTTATCAACAGTCAATTGAAAACTGCTCTAATTCGCATTTTGTTCTGGAATGATCATATGGCCTTTTTATCTAAATCAAGTAATCTTCTGTTTATTGAACATTTGTCAGTGTTGTTGATTACAGTGGTCGTTTCGTTTTTGTAGAATGGCAGATCATCTGTGTGCCATGTTTGACCAAGAATCTCCTCCCTGGGACAAAGAAAGGAAGTACACTCTTGCAAATATCGAGGTAAATTTATGAGAACAGCACACCTCTTACTAACCGAGTTTGAGGTCCGAGCTGTAAGTTATGAACCGAATTTTTTCCGGTCAAGGGGTGCGTTCCTTAAATCTGAGCAAAAAAAAAAAGAAAACGAGGCTCCGTAACTTGTATACGGATCAAGGAAACGAATTTATTTTGGTTTAAATAGAGAGGGAAGATGTCAATTCAAACAAACTTTTAAATTTAGCAGGCCGCACAGTGAAATACAGCACGTAAAATTGACCAGTCCTTGCGCCCCCATTTAAAGAGAAATTCAATATATGTATTTAGTATATGCCACACTGGCTATGTGGCTAACTATGACTAGTCGGTTGTTGGGAAGTGCGCCCGCACTCCTCTCTCCCTAAGTGACGCTGTTCATTTCCGAGAAAAACAGTTCTGCTTGAATCAGACTTTCTGCAAAGCCTTAATTTTCCATGGAATTACTTTGCAAAAATTGCAAGCGTGTATTTTGTGATCATACTCTAATAACCAAACTGGTGGTAACTCTTCCCAGGTTTATTTTGAGGACTCGGCAAGAGAAAAGCTTTGTTTGGTGAAAAATAGTAGCTGCCTGAAAGATATACTATCGGACTCGAGGTGAGTCATACAAGATGTATCATTCACGTTTGCCGGGTATCAGAGCTAAAAAACACTAGAACACTGCTAAATCTTGGCTGTACATATGGAAAGCATGTCTGTAATACAGGTTAAAAAAGAGGAAAACATTTAAGCCAGCTAGCGATTCAGGAAACTCATCGTAATGGATTTATTCCAGTTTCAATACCCCATGGAAAAAATGCCTTCCCGCAATAACAAATGCAATACCTTCGCCGCTTTTTTTCATCAAGAATTTTCAAGCGAAGTTAACAGGGCTTTTTGCAAGAAGGGAGATTTTTGGATTATAGGCTCTTTTTATGGAAGGTCTCTTTTATTTCCAAAGAGGATATTTTATCTCTCTTTTTTGGTTAATCACCTCAGTAATTTTTTTACTTTGGTTTTCCCGATGGTTAGGTTTGTGGTAAAACAGAGAACACCGTCGTTTATTATCCTAAGTAAAGAGTCTTCATTCCGGACAACTTTCCTCCAGCGATGTCAAGTTGAACGATAACACGTGCATTCGGTACAACGTCGGGTCTACGTCCGTAGCACCTCAAGGTACTTCGAGGAGATGCCGAAGGGTCTCCGATTCAAGTTGTCGAGTGAAAGAACAATGCGGGGATTTGAGACCATTCCGCCTAGTAAAATGTCGTCTTTAAACATTGTATTGACTTATTCTATGTTGGCGTGCTAATCACACGTGAAAAATATGGACAGTAACTAAACGCAATGCATTTTTTTTCATACGTTGGGATAGTAATTGTCCATAGAAAAATCTTATATACATAACGGACTTTTCTAAAGGACCTTACTTCAAGCTGGTGACCGAAAAATTTCAATACATCATTGTAAATGAGAAGATATTGTAAATTTAATTCAATATAGATTAGAAATGTAAAGATTTCGAAATGTTCAAACATCGTAATGAAAGGCGCGCGCGAAACTCTTTATTTTAGGCGGGAAAAACGCAACAAAAGTCAATACGATGGAACGAGTTTTCGAAAATGAAGGTGGCAAATACAAGATTGCGACAATTTTGCAGGAGTACAAGTTTTCTCTGGACAAAGCTCAATTCTTTCCATCAATAATAACTGTTCAGACTTACATGTAATTGCTCATAGCCTTCACAGTAAAACTTCACGAGGTATTTATTTTCTTAGCAATTCGCTGGAAACTTAAAGTCAAAATTCGTACTCGCAGTATGTATGTATATGTATAATCTTTATTTAAGCAGTTACATTAAAAAACTATTTAAAAATTAAAACACTAACTAATAACTAAAAGTAATGCTCACAGATCAAATAACTTGTTCCTTATATCACATGGAAGACTATTCCATAATGTGGCTCCACTATAGCTAAAGCTTGTCCTAGAATTTAAAGATCTCTCTTATCGGAGAATGGATTCATATCTGCACCTGGCCAAACTAGTTTATCCGACTTGCAATTGTTGAATGTAAACAGCGGTTGACCAATCTGAAAAAAGTGTAAGATAACCAATTAAAATTGCCTTTGTTGCGCAGATATAAACTTGCTGTGAAGTTTACAGTACAGCCTAGAAATTTTGCACGCGCGAGGACTTCTTTTTGCTTCCGCAAGCGGAAATTCATCTTGCTGTAAACTGTCGGTTACTTGAGCTTGAGTCCTTGAAGCTGCACAAACTTTTCTCCGTTTGCTTTGGTAATAACACAATAATTTGTTGCGGTAGAGTTGAAGGGCAAGATCTTCATTTTAGTTCTTTGGGCCGACGCTGAGAGATAGGGTAGGTCGGTTACAACTACAAACTTAGTGAGAGAAAATTATTTTTAGTTGTTCAAGCAGGGTATTCTATGTAAAGACATTGTTCATTCTTACCTGCTAGTGCTGTGCGACGTTCGACCAACGCATTCGAAGCGTTGTTGAACGACATACCTTGAGTAAGATCTATTTTCAAGCCAAATCTATGACGATTATTATCTTCTAAATAGGGCTTGGATATAGGAGACTTTTAAATTTGATTGATTTCATGCACGCTTTGAATATTTCCTTCGTTAAACTGAGAGATTCATGTATTTAAGAATTTAAAGCTGTAATCTGTGTCTAATTTCTCTAAGCTATGCGGCGCTCGTGAAAGTTGTGAACATCACATACTTGATCTCAAAAAACACTCGTACACTTTTCATGCATGGATAACTAGAAGTGATTTCGTTTCGAAGAATAAACAAACGCAGGTGATAGCTCAATTCATTTCCATGTACGAGATGTACTAAAAATCCAATAAATACTTAAGGACAATTGTGGTTAATCACGTCTATTGTGGCGTAAAGTTAATTGCTTGTGTAAGCCGCTAATTAAAGCGTGCATGGAAAAAAGCACTCATCCGAACTTACTTATTAAGCACATGTAAGCCTAAAATGTAAAATGGGAAACATTGTCAACACTCATCGAGGGCAAAATATCCAGGCTGAAAGAGCAATCGCCACGGTCAAAGCAGCAAGTGTTTTTAAAGCAAAAATGAAAGAAACACAAGCAAACAGGACAAAAGCATCGGAGCAAATAGAAGAGGTAGTTAAACGGAAATTTCGCAGGAAATCAACTGTGTTTGGATGTAGACCCATAGGGAGACTAGCTTCTGGTGATGAATCGCCACCACCAAACACCGCAAGCTCCCAGAAGGATGTTCTAAAGTTTGTACGCTGGTGAGGATAGAGGAATAGGTTTGATATTTTTACTTGAAGGATCAACTGTCATATATTTAGTCGTTATGCTAAAATTCAATGTAATTATGAATATCAGCATTAAAAAATATGCGTTTTGATTTTGCTTTTAATGTCGTCGTACTGAGCTAATCGCATCCAACAGTTTAGATAGATTGGGCCAGTACGAGATCTCCTAATTTTTTAGTGGTGAATAAGTTACCTAGCTTGGTCATGAATGCAGAGAGAGACGATTATACCTCGTTAATGTATTGATGTTTTGAATTTAACTGCGATTCTTTTAACATGTTTGGGCGGAAAAAGTGATCGAGTTTTTACTTGTTGCTAAGTGATGTAAATTTATTATTTTTTTCCTTTCTCTGAAATCATTGATCACCTAGCAACTGTTACCGGCTTTCTCCTCGCTTCCAGTGAGTGGTTTCGTAGCTCAGTTGGTCGTAGCGCGCAACAAGCATTTGGAGGCACGGGTTCGAATCCTGTCTAAGCCTGTATTTTGTTCGGTTTCTTTTCGCAATTTCTTTAATAGCAGCTCATCGAGGACCATTTCTTAACTTGTTCACCATCTAAAGGTCAAAATAATATTTATTTAATTAGTTGTGCTGTCAGGTTCATTGTGAATGACCAGAAACACCAGCTGGCTGATTTGACTCAGACAACTTTGAATTGAGTTGAATGAAACAACACATTATGTCTACTTTGAAATTAAAACAAAGAAATTATTGAAAAAGATCCTGAACGTTAAAACAAGGGGGGGGAGGTACTTGGGTCAATATTGATAGGGTACGTGCCGCTGGCCTCTCAAAACCCCTACCCCACTTTAGTCAATCTTATGGCCAATCGTAGACCCCATTTTAGTACATTTTTGGTGAAACGAAGTTTTCACGATGACAACTTATTTACCTTCATTTTATAAATCTACCTTATAAAGCCTTACCTGAAATTTCTTACCTGCAAAATCCTGAAAATGTGGGACCACATTCTAGTAACTCTCTATGGAAAATGCAGCTCCATTATAGTCAATCCAGTCGTGAAAACGCAACCCCATCCAGTGGCACAACCCTATTAGCTTATTATTAAGAAGTGCTCCCCTCCCTTGGCTCGATTACTAACCACTGTTCGGGAATATGAGCCACGCTCCTTCCCCCGAACCCACCTACTCGGGGAAGAGCAAAGACCGGACACGAGAGAGCGGCGAAAATTGAGCCTGTCCACACCACTGGCTGAAAAATGCCTAGAATAATGTTCAGGCATGAACGAGTGTCGAACCTATGACCGTGCTCTCTTCCTAACTGCATTGAAGACGGGATTAACGGAATTAGATTACCGCTATTTAAGTCTGGTTGAAAATCTACGAATTTCTTTTTTAATTTTCTGTCTCCTTAAGGGTCAGCGTTAGTGATACACTAGTTGTTAAGGACACAAGTGTTGCATGGAATGCGTTGAGAGACTTAGTCAGCCGTGAAAGAATTCCCTCAACTCAAGACACAGGACGGGGGCGTCTTAAATCGATAACAGATGCCATTCGGTTCACTCGAAGAACTTCCACGTCATCAAAAACAACGAAGGTGGCCAGCGGGGAATTTTCGTACAACGATATGCTAATTGTAAGTGAAACCATTCGTTTGCAGGGGTGTGCGTGCCTTCATTGGCGCGTTCGGGCTTTCGGGAGTTCGGGTGCTCGTGCGTTCGTGTGCTCGTCCGTTCATCTGTCTTTCATCCTTGTTTCCTCCCTTTCTCTCTGTTTTTCCCTTCCATCTCGAACATACCTACGTTAGCTTATTTTGTGTTCGACTTTTTCTTCAGACAGAATGGGAAACGCACTGCCATTTTTGCCACTCATCCTCCATTGAAGAAAGCCCTCTTAATCGTTGCCGTATCTGCCCAAGGGTTTATCACACTCATTGTCTTGCTAAGCGAGGGCATCTTTCAGGGGATGGGGCAGCTGAAACTCTGACGCTTGCAAATTCAGAAATCGGCTGGAGTTGCTGTAATTGCGTAAGTTGAGGTTCATAGCGTGAGATCTCGTCAATACGACCCGTAGTTTTATATTTATTAGATAATAAGTATTTGCATTTGGCAACATGAGGTACTTAAGAAATAGACCGTATTTTTTATCGGTTTACCGGTGTAATAACCCACGTGGGATGTTGAGAAAACATGAGAAAAGTTTGTAAACCACGAGCCAGAGGCGAGTGATTTACAAGCTTTTTGAGTGTTCTCCCAACATCCCAACATGATTACAGTTGAACCAGGTCTCCCACAGGGATTGGCGGGGTGACCGCTTATTACAGATTTACCGCTTAATACAGGTTCCAAAGATTAGGCGTTTGAAGTAAAACGATAAACAACGCCATTTTATGCCATAATTGACCTCTCAATGTACATAATCTCGCTCGAAAATACTGCTAAACTGGATTTTGGGAGAGAAAAATGGATTAAAAATTACGTTAAAGATTATGCCTAGTTTTATTTAATTGGTCCCGCTTTCAGTGACCGTTAAAAACGGGTGGAGGATAATAGAAACAGGTCGTGGGGACCCAGTATAGGGAGACCTTGACCGCTTAATAGAGGTGAAAATTACAGTGATTTTGGGAGAAACAAATTCAGGACTTTGGTAACTGACCGCTTAATACAGGGTGATAGCTTATTACGGTGCTGCTCAATACAGGTTTGACTGTACTTTGGTTTCTTTTGTCGGGACGTTCATTTGAAGAGCGTCCCCACCAACGTGAACTACATACAATAGTCACCCTTTGCACATGTGCGATGAGATAATGAGAGATCGTCTATTTCTCATCCATCCTCTCTTGATTAACTAAGACTGGTGAGAGTCTAAACAAGTAAAAGTTACATTCTCAGCTTGAAACTTTTAACACTTTAACTCCCAAGATCTGATTGTTAATTCTCCCCTCTAGCTGCTACGCATTTCCCTGTAACTTAGTTATGAGAATTTGGTGTTAGATCAAGACAAAAACCTGTACCTGATAAGTTTGAGAATTCTCATTATCTCTTTCCTGGATTAGGTATGGATATTATAGGGAGAAGTTACAAATTAATCACTCCTGGGAGTCAAAGGGTTCACAGCAGGGATGAAATAATCTCATTCTATTGAATTTTATTGCAGGAAAATTTATTCGATCTTTTATCTGACAACGAAAAGATCGATATAATGGAAACATTTGATCTAATGGACACCAATCAAGGTCGGTAAGGAATATTGAAGTGAGCCAAGACTAACGTAACTAAAATGTTGCTTCAGAAGGTAACTAGTCGTTTCGCCTACGTTTCGTTTCCCCAACGACCAGTTTGGCTAACCTCTTGGGTCGTTTCGCCAACGTCTCAGGGTATTTCTTTAACGTCTCAAAGGTTGTTTCGCCAACGTATTACGAAATGTTTCATGATTCCTGGTTCGGCGTAACTTGTTCGACTTCTAATCGACCGAAAAGTGGAAGGGGAGTTCGAAACTAGCGTCAGTGAACTGACCTAGACATTGACGAAAAGACGTAAAACGTTATAATCGTAGGCGAAACGACGGCAATTCCATTAGCATGTTTAACTATGTTTCCTATTAATTCCACTTAGATTCTTTTATAAACAAAGAAGAGTACCTTTCATACCAGAAGGAGAGATACAGAAAGTTAATGGACATGGAAATGCCTGGTTATCGAGTGATAATCGAGGAGCGGATATTTGACGACATGGATAGGAACAACAATGATCTTATCGACTGGTGGGAGTTTGTGATTCCTATGTGCGTGAGGAAGTTGAGTGAACGGAGAAAGGTACTTATAATTCTGTGATCTGTGATTAATGTCGTTTTCAGGTTCCCTGTTCGTCTCGGCCTCTTACGAGAGAGTGAAGGGCGCGATGGAGATAGAGTATGGGTACGAGGTTGATCTGTAAAAATGTACCTCACCCCACTCAAATTTCCTCTTTTTAGGTCAGATAACGTTCTGTTGTAGCTGGCCAAAACTAATCTCAAGTAACGAAATTAACCTCAATAGTGAAATGAAGATGCAGCAAAAAAGGCTTGATAAGTTTTCCTTTGTAGTGGATATGGTGAGAGGTTATTCTTGGCAAGACTGATCTTCCTGTTCAAAAGCAGGCCACTAGTTTCTGGACAATTAAAAAGCTTGTAAGGGAAATATGATGTTTTGAATAACTGCATTCCGCCAAAAACTGAGATGAGCGATTCTAATTTGTAACTTTCTCGTATGTGGACTTGGCATTTTTCTTTTACCCTCCGTATTATCTCTCTGCATTCAGTGCCTACGGACGTGGAACTGATGCTTTCATTTTTCCCCTATTTTTCGACAGAGAACACTCCCATCTTTGCTTACAAGACAGGAAATTTACAAACTTAAACGATTTTTCAAAGAATACGATATGGAAGGAGAAGGAGAAATCAGGAAAGATTTATCTCGAGAGGTCTTTAAGAACTGGTACCTCTCTTTGATAGATCGACGAGAAGAGGAGGTCCCGATTTGGGACTGGCTTGGGACTGAATATGTCAAAATAGACAATGAAGAGGAGCACTCGTTGTGTCAGCGGTTTGCCACGGTTAAGTGGAAAGACTTTGTGTTAAATCACGCGTTGTACATCCTTGCCGCGCGACCGAATACAGGCTCAATGAGGCCTTACGTTCCACAATTCAACAGTTTGAATTTGGAGTTCGATGAAGACGATGAAGATATTGAATATGATTAGAAAACAATTTCCTTTAATTACAGGAAAGATTGGTCCTGTCGTAAACATTTTCACTCTGTGTTCTTATTGCATGTCACGCCAATCTTGCGCATGCGTGAAAATGGTGTCCTCCTCAGAGGACATAACATGATGTATAATATGACATACTAGTCGGTTAGTTTTGCAAAATAAGATTTAGATTTAGTCGGTATGTTCTGAAGTAAAAGATTTATTGTATGGAAAACAGGTTTTCCTTTTTTCGTTTAAAGCTTCAGCTGGAGTCACTACTTTTGAAATAGGGGAAAGTATGATCTAATGAACCTCTTTTCTTAGCGTTATCTTACATCATCTTTTGTTCAGAATCTTCAATCTTCAAGTCAAGTGTTCTCTCCGAAACTGGAAGTAGTTCATTTGGGAGTTTGGATAAAAGAATTTTCCTATTTCCTGGTTTCCGTTCATCTTAATGATGTATTCCCATCTTCAACCTCACTCTCAAGGCTTTCGCCAATTTTCAGGGAAAAGGCCCTTGGAGCAAGATTGTTCCCATCCTCTACCTAAGTCAGTTCGAATGGATCTAAAAGAAAGTGTTCATAGTGACCATGGTCACAAACATGAAATAATGCAATGCAACTAAGGAACTACAATGATTTATTCAAAAACGGTAATACTAACAAAAAACAACTTAACGTAGAGGGTTTTTGTCTCTTTTGACTTAACGGTAACCTCGCACCCAGATCCTATTGTGTATCTGTAACTGAAATGAATCGTTTGGCCGTGGAAGGTCTGGGTACGCGATTACTTTTGTCTCAGTTATGTCTAGGTAAATGTCATTTTGTGGAATAAATGGCTGAGACTTGTGAAAATGTCTTAGAGTAGAGTCAGTGAACATGTCAAGGTTACCCCGAATTTGCTTTCCATGTAAAACGTATTCTTTAAAGTAGCTAATTGTCCTCTCCCATTAAAATCATGTCCTAATTTAAATTGTTAGGAAATTTTTCTCAATTAATTTCTTTAGAGAGATAAACAGGTTAAATAAAGATTCCCATTTAGAGTTCCAGTTTCACATCATATGAACCGTCTCCGCTCTCTTTGGCCTCCTTTATAGCTTTTTCTTTCTCTTCTTTTGTTTTCTCCTCATCCTTAATTTCACTTTTCTTCTGTTCAGTTTCTTCCTTTTTCTCTTCACTGCTTTCTTCCTCGTTGCCTAGTTTCACTAGATCTCCTTTCCAATCTGTGCCAGGTTTGTATTTAGTCTCGTCTTTTCCATAATCAATCCATCCCTTGAATGGTTCCTCAGTACCTTGCTTTCCTACGAGTGTCAACCAGAGGTTTGCCACCCACTTTGTACCTTTTATCACGTCACAGCCGCCATGTTGTGCTAACTGGTCCAAATCACTAAGCCAACCTGCAATCAAGAAATAAATACTGGAGGAAACAAATATTGAAAGAAGCCTGTGTTTAGTTGCGTAACACCAAAAATTTTCGTTGACTTCGACGTAATTTCGATCAGTATGAAATTAAAGGGGCATAGGTTTTTTGTGCGACAATGTTACTACCTTACCCCTCCCTAGCTAGTAGAGATTTCTAGTTCCAGTCTTGACCGTGAGAATTGTCACGCGACAAGAACAACATGGCTTCCAAAAGGTTGAATGTGACATAACCAAGTGCTCTAAACAGCTGTTTATCTCTGAATTATTGCGGGCATTGCTCACAAAAGGGCCTTAGTTGGAAATTTTGCCATCAGTTGTTATGAAGGGTTTAGCTTCAGTTATTATGAAGGTTTTGTTATGAAGGGTTTAGCTTCGCTTTGGAAAGCATAACGGGCCAGGAAAATTTTGTCTTTGGCGAGACACTTTACATAGTACGCTGGAAGGATTTACGCATGTCGAAATCATTTTAATGACTCAACCTACGCTCACTCAGCACCAAGGTGAGTACATAGATGGAAATGTAACTTGAATAAATGGCAGAAACGTTTCCACAGCTGCGCGCTTCACAATTTATTCCGATTGAAAAATTTGATATTCAGGTGTATTTAATTAGAGTTGAACTTTAAAAGGTTGTGCTCAATGTTACTCAAATGCCTGCCTTTTTAAAGGCATAAGATCAGCAGAGAAAGAGAAAATTTCTGGACTCAGAATTTTCTTGGTCGGACTTTGGCGAAGATGAAATGCGGAATGCACTTTAGTCCTAGATGTAGATAAACACGATGTCTAAGCGCTTAGTAGCCGGGCTGTTCATAACCGGGCTAAATGCCCGGAAGTGAATAATTTTTCGAAGAATTTCCACTGGAAAGTTATTTCAACCTTCTTAAGATTATCAGGATGTTTGTGTAGAAATGTCAGGCGATTCCACAAATTATTTTGTTTTCCAGTGGACGCATATTCCGAGCTTGTATCGTTAAGTTGTCCGATCGTCGACACCCAGAAAACATTTTAATCACAACAACTTTTTACTTGCATTTTATTTTCCCGCAGAATATGAAAATTAACTCTTCTACTAGAGGTCTTTGATTTAGACAGCCGTTCTGATTGACCGTGGATACTACAGGTAGACAGTGAGTATGCAACTATTCTAGAAGTCGTTTGTTTATTAGTAATGCATTTGAGCGTTAACACGGGAAGTGATGTCTCCTTTTAATACTCCATATTTCCTTGTTAATCAGCAAGGATAATTTGGTATATATTAAAGGAACACCCCTCCCCACTGGCTGACAAGTGCAACGGTTCAATAACTATTTTCCATAAGCGACTACCGCAAAGAGGGCCGCGCGGCAAAACCCTGACACGAGAGCCAGCGCCCAGGCTAAACAGACTGCGGTAATAAGACTTATAGGCCAGCGATAGACCAGCGGTAACTTCCTTTAACTGGAACCCTTGCAGGTGTCAAAATTCCTACTACCCATTAGTCGGATAATGCATTGATATTGCAAGAAGTTATTAGTAATAAAAATCGCTTTTCGTGAAGGGATGAAAATTGAACAACGTTCATATTACGTACCTGTGTTTTTGTCCAGCTGGTGGTTATACCACAATATTGCTTTTCCTTTCTCTGGTTTAATCACCAAGTTACTTTTATGGCAGTTTTGTGCAAGATTACACTTCCATCCTTCTCTTCTCTCCCACGCCTAACAATTAAATGCGAGCAAGTGATAAAGCAAGATAAAATGGTTTTATCAACACAGTTAATAATGTAAATTAGCCAACGTAAAGAGTTTTTCAAGCGTTAGCCCATCGCCAGAGTGACTGAACATTTGTCAACTTTAGAAAATCTTTACGGTGACCTATTTACATCATCAACTCAGTTGATAAAATCAAGTTCTTGTAATACTCCCCTCCGACACAGCCCTATAGTTTCTTTAGAGACTTACCCCCTTATTTAAGTGATAAATACCTATCCAGTGCGATTGATATATAACCGAAAAGAATTGAAATAGGCGTTGGACTACTTTGTTTCGTGCACTCTTGAGCTAAGCAAGAGATGGGGGGGAGTTCAAGCTATTTCTCTCGTATGCCGCTAGTTTTCGTTAACTCTCACCGAGAGTTGACGATAGTTGACGAAGATAAACGAGAATGAATGAAAGGTAAAGAGACTTTGAATTTCCGCACACGTTGAAGAGAGGATCGTTTCTTGCTTTCGGACAATCACGAGTTACGATGAGCACTATGACATCAAGTTAATTCATACTGTCTGCATGTCAGCACGTGTGAGCGAAAAGTAAGGAGAGTTTAAATTACCGCTGAGGGAAGATCCTTTCTTGTTTTGGTACTATCACAAGCCACAAAGATTATTGTGACGTCAAGTTAAACTCCGACTGTCTACGCGTAAGTACGTCATAATTGTTTCCCAGGAAACCATGACGAGAAAGATGACCACTCGGTACCCGACCAGCATTATTCGAAGTACATCGACAATTGCTGATTCTTACCTCCACGGAAAACGTTTCATTACCCGCCACTGGAAACGCCGTCTCTCCGCCTTCCTGAGGTTCGTTCAAGTACAGTAAGACTGTGGCAAGTCTGTAGCAAGAAGAAAAGAAAAAAATTGTATACTGTCCTCACGGTTTGTCGGTTTCAATGAGAAGGCTAGTTTGGATTAATGTCAGTATCTGAGCGACTACGCACCTACCCCTCCCCTAACCCAACAACAGTCAACTGATAACAACTTAAGGTAAATGTCAAAATAGGGGAGGGGTAGGTGCTCAGATCCAATTTTGTCCCGTTTTTACACACAGCTGTCTCGTATGAGGTAAACCTCACGGCGTCTTCATTTGTTAAATCTAGATGCGGTCGTACATCCTTTTGTGAGCTTTTTGTGAGCTTTTGTCCATCGAGGGCTGTCTCTCTCGGAACAAGCGCTTACCTGCATAGACGGCAGTCGTCTTCATTCGCATAAGAGCAGCACTGTAGCTTTGGGTTCAAATCATCTGAGTCGTGATGACAGTGATAATGGCCATGAACATCATACTTCACCACCTGAATGTTAAAAAAAGCTTTGCGTTAAAAAGTTATGAGCGTAGAAACAGACGACTCCCGATTTCTCACCTAAGGACGTACATGAGATAATGACACGCTTCTGATAGGCATAAAACAGGTGCATTTTTCATGTAACACAAGTGAAAATTACAAATAGCGCGTGTGCGCTGCCAAAATTTCGTCCGTCTTGACTTTCTTGGATGCGTTTTTCATGTAAATTATTGACGGTTAATATCTTGATTTTTCGTGCAATTTGGTGTAAAAAGGCACTTGCAATTTAGTTGTCTTTGAAAAAATTTACTCGTGCTTATTAACACCAAATTGCACTCGAAATCATGTTGTTACCTTTACTTATTCCAACCATTTTAAAATCACAGATAATCTTAGCGACCTGATTGGCTCTCAGAAGTACGAGTTATACATGACTCGCCCTTTTTTTTCTGAATCTTTTCCTATATCTACTTTTCTTTTCTGAAAGCAAACTTGCTTTCGAATCAACAATATATTGACACTGACAAAATCCTATATTCCGGGGACTGAATTGCGCGGTTTCAAATTAAAACAGATTTACTAAAGTACATGGAGATCAAACTTCGCGTGGAAATCATTTTTATGATTACAGACAAAATTGCACTTCCATCAGTTCAGTTCCCATCAGTAGTGTCAATTATGTTAGGAGTTACTTACCTGCAGAGGCTCTGTATTATTGATAAATTCCTCTGGCAGAAGACTTAAACGCGACAATCTAGCAAAGATAAAGATAAAATTAGAAGGAGTCTCTACAAAGTTGAAATTTTGTTCTACGCACCGCACTTCTGATTAAAGTGTGAAAAATTAAATTCTAATTACAAATACAGACTCGTCTTAGGTATAAGAAATTATCAAATTCACTAGTGACGTAGAATCAAACGAAAATTAAAGGAGTAAAGAATTTATGGAGCGATGGAAAGTAACAGCAGAAAAACAAATGAAATGTCAAAGGTTCTTACACCGAGAGAAACCCAACTGCGTGATATTATTGTTGGGCAAAGGTTATCCGAAAACGAATTACACCTTATCAAGAGATGATATTGTCCCTTATTTTCACTTGACTTACTACAGCCCATTACGGATTGCGAATCTTCGAACGTGGATATTTGATCCATACGATGAATACCCCATTAAGCAAAAATCGCCTTTATCGACCGGCAGTGAAATTTATAGTTTGGTACCATTCTCTTACCTGCCATGAAAATCCGAGAGGAGTGGATACTTTGGGTCATTGTGGAACATCCAAACCTGCCTACTGTTGCGACTGCGCAGTCGAGGTTTCGTTCTTCGCACTTTGTCGAAGTAATCTTTCATCACTGGAACAGTTACCTTGCTAAATTCTTCGAAGTCAATTTTACCTAAATATGTGAAAAAGAAAAAGGTATAAATATGAGTTTGCAAAAAAAAAAAAAACAGTTTGTACGTGGGTCTGCTTTTTGTTGCGCGCTTTTTGAATGAGTGTCGTGAAATCAAAACCAAAGTTATCTTAACTGTTTAACTCCCAGATCAAATTTGAAATTCTCTCTACTGTCAACCATGCAATTCTCATAATGTTAGTTCAGAGAATTTAGTATTGGATCAGCTAATTATCCCCAACTTGATATTTGCCTTTATTCTCATCACTTATCTGGTTGATATTGTAATGATATTGTAAGGAGAAATTCTGTCTTTGTCACTCGTGGGGGTTTAAGGGTTAACGTCCAACCAGAACAAAGGAAAGCATCATATGGAGCCAATGAGAATTCAAAGTGAGAGCAAGTGAACTGCCTGAGGCGCGGGAAAACACGGGTGACCAATTAGGCGCGATTGATTTTAGTTTGAATTTGATTGGTTGAGAAATAAGCGCAAGTTTTCTGGGCCAATCTAAGAGAAAACTGTAGCAAAACCAACGGAATCCAGGACTGCCTGTGATACGCAATGTAAAATTGTCGCAAGAGAACGGGTTTTGAGTTAAGATCTTTAAACTAGCTGAGAGAAATGTCTGATGTTGCAAAGGAAACGAACAAATTCGACTGATCCGATCAATCAGTACACAGCACCAAAGCAAGCAAAGATTACAAAGTTTCTCAGAGAAAACAATGTTCATTTCCTGGCTGTTATCGGATTAGTCATTTTCTTTTTATAATTGACTCAGTAATCGCACCATAAAATTCAGACGCAACTATTTTCAAAAGGTTACGAATTTTGAGGCTTTTTCCAAGCAATATGTCTTGAAATACTGGACTTTTGTACCCCTGTATTCCTAATATAGCCTTACCGTTTTTATCTTTGTCCATATCAAGTTCTTCAAACCTAGGATATAAAGAAAGTATAGTTTATTTTTAATGATAACATTCCACAAATACTGTAACTTTATATAAGTTTCTTAATCCAGCGTTGAAGTGATCAAAATTGATTGCTGCCTGTCTGAGTTTTAAACGCGGACATTTTCATTGTCCCTTCAGCTGAAATAATGAACAGCAAGTTTCAATAATACCGTGAGAAACCTCGCGTATGCATTTACTGCGCTCAACTTGTGGTTTCTGATTTTCACACCGTGAATGGAAAAGGGGAAAGAGGGGAGCAATGACTCGGAAAGAAACACGACCAAGTTTTTCTTACATTTCCTGTAGGTCGTCCTCGGTAAAGTAGAGGTCTTCCTTTCCCCTAACATGCATAATCTGAAAGATGAAAAATATGTAACTCCTTTTTTTTCTTTTATTTATCGCGATAGTAAGGCTCAAACTAACAGAATGATAAAAATAACACAAAGGTTACCCTGGTAACGTCCTAGGGCATCAAAGCTAGACTAGTTTTGGGAAAGAGGACAATGTTTTATATCTTACCACTGCTAATGGAAAAGCGATTCGTCGGAAATCTTAGTACGAAATCCGGTTACTATGATCATGTAACACTTGTCTTACTGAATAATTTAAAATAATCTTATCGTGAGTACACCTCATATTGTGGCTTACGCTGAGATGACCCCAAATCTTCATCTTGAAGCCCTCTTAGAGTTGAAGATGATAATGTAAGCCCCAGTCTAACAGGTACTCAGGTTTTTAGAGGAATATATCACGAGCATATATTTTTAATTTAAGATAACGAATCGTTGACTGCAAAACTGTACTGATTGAAAGTTACTAAGTTTCCATCTCTCAGCGGAAATCTAATTCTGCTGTGTACCTTTAATGGGCAGGGCCAAGGGGGTGCTTAGAAGTATGTGCCACCCTTATGCTTTTGGACGAGGAAAAGAGGATGATATGTTATAATCAGCCATCCTGAGATTTTCCCAAAGGGAGCATAGAGCCCCATTCCGGCCGTATAATCCACTTCCGGTAAATCCTACTAACTTCCCTTACAGTCACGGTGGTGTTTAAACGTACCTCAACAGGCTCTATAAACCCGTCGTCGTTGTTATCCCAAATCTTAAAAGTTCTCTGTGATGTTTCGTCATCGATGACAGTGTCCGCCTTTGCCAAAGGACTCTTCTCCAATCCTAGGCGCTTGGCGTAACTGATTAGGTGATCACACTCAACATCCGTCAGAAAATTGGAAATCTCTGAGAGAGGCAAAGAAATGTTTTTTTTTCTTAGCTTGATGAAAGACAAACTAAAATGTAGAGGTTCGAAATGGCTACGCCAACATTTTTCGCCTGGAACGGGAGAATTTTTCGGGAGGACATCGTCTTCAGAGGTGGGGGGGGCGGACCGAGGATCAATTATTGCTAACTGAGTTTAAAAGGGGACTATAACAAATTGACTGCTAAGGAGGGGTGAGGGTAATTATTGTAACACTAAAGAGCCTTATGTGGGGATCAGGGGGAAACATTTATTGTAAAACAATCAAAATCTTCCACTCCCGCCCCCCCTTCCCCCCCCCCCCAGGAGATAATGTTCACTTCCCTATTTCACCTCAAACTGTTAGGGTTTAAAATACTGAACTGGAATTGTACTTAAATTGTTTTTTTTTTATATTTTTCACCAACAATTTATATTTACAATTCTTAAACAATTTTACAATTTACTACTCTTAAACCTCTATAATGACTGGCTTCTAATTTCTCCTTACAGTATCAACCTTGAATCACATTCAAAAGTTACGAAAATAATGGAAATGACCACCAATTTAAGAAGCTATTGTTTGCTGAACAAATTCTCCTTGTCGCCAGCTTAGGAAATGTATAGAGGACGGTATGGAGAATTTATTTACTGATGTTAGCGTTCACAGGGTCTTTTTCGCGACTGATTTTTTTTCTTTTTACTGATCGTTCCAGAATTGAAGTTTGCTGTTTATCTGATTTCTTGTTTGGAAAAAAAAAATTATTCTCCTTTTAATTCATGAAAAGAAGTGAATCTCATTTCATTTCGTCAGTATGTTATTTGATTTTTGGCTGGTCAACTTACTTCCTATGACATCTAAGACTCACCAAATATCGGCGGGTTCATACTTATAGTTTTCACCTTCCTTTTGTGAAATGGAAACACCATCATTTCTTCTTCGTGGCCAACCTTGAATTTACGGGTACAAAAAAAATCTGTTTAATTTTTTTGCGCGAAGGACGTTCAAATTGGTTCTTAAAGTGTTAGGTAACCGTAAGGTCGTCGTTTTAGCAATTTAAACTAAATTGTGCCGACCAAAAAGTTGAAGTGAGCATCAGGAATGAGAATTTTTAACTTTCGGCTGTCGTCCGCGTCTGAAAAACGTTTTTAACTTTCTTAAGCTCCTTAATAGCTTAAATCAAATTCGCGGACTTAACTGCTTCATAACGATCACAAATTAACCCATCTTCAATGCTTGGACAAAATCAACCACTCTATTAAAATCAGATAATCTTTATGAAAGACATACCACGCACGTGGTCGTTCAACCTTAGAAATGCTCCCCCGAGTTGTATGGAACTACAAAGCTCACTTATCTGATGTTTTGCGAAAGATTTCGTTGGTTTTAATTAATATATCTACGCAACTAAGTAGGGTAAAGAATGATCATGTAGGAATTTTCTGATTTCAGCTTACCTTAACTGGATCGCGTAGTTTTGGAACCCATTTTGTTTTGTCGATCTCGTCTCCCGCTTCAGTGCTTTTGGTGATCCACATAAAACTTAGCAAAATTGTGCAAGAAACTGCGAAATATGCCCTGTTTTTCATGTCGACTTGAAACAACAAATCCTTTACAGGGAAGTTTGTGCTTTATGGACTATTTGTAATCTGCGTTTCCGATAGATATCCCTTTCTCAGGTCTCTGCAGGTCCCTGCACACGAACAAAGGCCAGACCACCGGTGACCGAACAAAGCGAGTTTCAACCGGTTCAGCTGCGTCGAGGAGAGGCCTGAGCGGGTTTCCTAAGAAGAAAGGTTGTTTGATGGTCGACAATATAAGTTTTAGCTTCTTATCACGATAAAAATTGTATGATCATCTGTAAAAATTTGAAATCTGCATGTTTAGTGTTTTGGATTAGGACAAACTTAAACCGTGTACTGTCTTTATGGTATATTTTTGTCCCGTAAGCACGTGTTTTGCAAGCTAAATTCCATTATTGGAAGCAGGTACTACAATACTGGGGGTAATTCTCGAACTCAATATTATGAAGCTTTAAAATCGTATGATTTTGGATTAAATGTGGCTCCGTAAACAGTGCGAGGTCTTGTAGTTTCAATATCTTACTTCTTCCTTAACCTAAATATAGTCTGCCATCAAGTGTAAGAACCGATTAGATGACAAATGAGGAGATTTCCGTATTTCCTAGACTCAAAATTTCGGACAGCTGCTATTCAAATCCTCAAAGGGTTTTGAAAAGGTAAAACAGGTTCAAATCATCAAAAACAATGAAAAAGCCAAATCCTTCTATAATTAGGTAAGTGTGGAAAATTTGGACTGCAACGCCTTATTTGAATATCGGAGGAAAAGGATGGAAAAGGGGAAAAATACAAAAAGCCATGGTTTTCTTAACAAAAAAACATTAAATAGAAATAGAAAAATGTAAAAAAAGAAACTCAACGCTTGGAAAATGCTACCTATAGTATGATGAAATCTGCAACACTGACTGCCTGTCATATCATGGGGAAAAAGTGTCTTCTTCGCTCTCTCCTTCACTATAAGCAGGGGTTTCCATAACTTTTTTCACAAGTGGCTGCCGATAATGTGATATACTACTGGGCCGAAGAGGGGCCGTGAGGTGAAACCCAAATACGGGAACCTGCGAGCAAGCTAAACAGACGGCGGCAAGAGGTCATATTTTAGAGGGCGGCCTGGTAACCGGCTTTCATTAAGACTTCTGCCTACAGGCGTAAGGACATAAACCGCGTTTGCGATCGAGGAAACTTGGAGAAAGAAAAAAATTCATGAAAAAAGGAAGAAAATATAGAAGAAAGAATTAAAATGATTAGATAAAGGACGATGGACTGGAAGAGAAAGCAAGAAATGACCGAGAGTAAAAGACATTTTGGCCGAATACTGAGTATATATGCTATTTCAGAGAACTTTTTACCGGGAAAAAATAGCCAGTCAGTGACTGTTTCGTAGAATTTCGTCGCAATAATACAGCATATGCACTCTCTCATCTAGAGAGTCTGTTCGCAGGCTAAACAGACAGGCGAGATCGGATAGGCGGCGGTAGATCTAGACCGCCTATCGATCAGAAAACCCTGTTTATTGACACCTCTGTTTTAATTTTGAGCATTTTAGTGTACACGCATTTAAATTAATCGCTTCGTGACCACACTATATTTGTGGAACCTGTTTCGTGCGAAGTCTCCTAAGTTTTTTGGCTTCTAGAGCGGTTGTGGTTATTTTTCAGAAACGATAAAGAACTCCGCGGCAATTGAAATAACGCCAATTAATTTTGCAATAGAGTAGCAATATCAAAGAAGAAATTTGGAAATTTGAACATTGATGAGATTATTTGTTACTGATCGTAATCAAATGAACAAATGTATTCTTCGACAAATAATGCTGAAGAGTTTTATTAAAGTGAAAGGCTGGAAAATAAATAGGTGGAGCTCCGCTTTTGGGCTTTGCTCAGTCTATGTATTATTACATCACAGATGACGTCAAAATGTGGTAGCCTTAATTTCAGAAGCATCCAAGTACTTTTGAGGCGTATACATTGCATTAAATAAGTTTTGTGGATAAGTTCTACTTATACTGTGTATTTAACGTCACGCAATAGGTCACAAGGTCGTGATGTAAGAATCTTGAATGGACATTTTCACGCAACTCGACCCAAGCCTCTCTCGCTTTTTTCACTCAGTTATTATTGCGCCGTTCACGATTTCTTTCCGTTTTCCTAATTGGACCTGAAACAGGTAATAAAGTTATTGGTCTGGATTACCCGTATTTACCCTTTTTTTTTCCAAGAACGCCGATAATGTTGAACCATCGAAGGATTCTTCTTCACATGCATAAACAACCGGACAAAACAAAATGTCAGGTCATCTAAATAATTAAATAAGTAATAATGATAAATAGATAAAAAATTTACATGGCGCCAGTATCCTAATGTTCAAAGGCGCTTTACAACATCGGCAAAAAAATACAAATTTAGCCTCCTTTCAAGAAACAGCCTAAGAATAGTTACAAACGGGCTTTTCCAAACAGAAACGTTTTAAGTCTGTTTTTAAAAAACGGACACTGACGAACTGTTTTTAAAGTCATGGGGCAAAACATTCCATAGCCCGGTTGACGGGAAAAAATTGTCCACTGACTGTCCGTTACTTCGAGCTCTGAGTGCTGTGTTTATTAAGAAGAATCTCTGTGATTGTTTGCATCTTTCAGTGACGAGCAATGATCCCTTTTCAGAGACGGTCGAGAACTCGCTGAGAGTTTTGGTTAGGTTCATTGATTATGCACGTGACGACAGCGTGACGTCATGATAAAGAGGTTCGTATTTACTTTGGCATTGAAATAATAACTGAAGTTACCTCGGAATGAAATTTTTCTTTTCACGCGTAAACAACTGAAAAAATGATTTGGCGATCCGGGGAGTTGACCGCGTAAAAGCTAAATGAGACGACATTGTCGGATATTCAAGCCCCGAGTTTAGTGTTTTGTTATGAGGAATCTCTTTGATCGCTTGCATTTTCTAACGTTATGCAACGATCTGTTTTCACAGGCGGTCGAGAGCTCTCTTAATTATGCGCGTGACGACAGTGTGACGTCATGAAAAAGAAGTTCGTGCTTATTTTGACATTAAAAAATTGAAAACAGTTTATTTGCAAGATGTGGTCCTAACGAAAATGATTGGTCGAAGATGACGAGTAGGTGTTGCTAACGAGGTCACTTAACCCTTCTTCGGCAATTCCTAGTCAAGCGAAGGACGTAAACAAACCTATCGGAGGCTTGGCAATGACGGGGAACTCTTCGGTAAGTACTTTGCAACAAACTAACATTTAAGTCAAAGGACCTTGAACGTGGTTTGTTTTCCACTTTACTTTTATCTTGTCTAACGAGCCATCATAATATACTCGTAGTGTAGAGGCTCGAATACACAGACTGCTGTTGGTACACCACTCACTCCGTTTGACCAAATCAACGATTCTTCCTCGAATACCAGCAGCTATCCTGTCAAATCTAATAAAGACTCGACCAACTTGAAAGAAGGTAAAAATCCCAGAGTTGTGCAGATGAATCCAGAGGAAGTTAATGGGACCCCACAATGGACTCGCCTTAATGATGAAATGCTAGAACACTATTACCAAAAGAGCATAGAAGAAAAGGTTTACAAGAGGAAGTACGATGAGGCTGCTTATGTGGTGTATGGCACCATTCCCAATGGGGTTGACCCAGTCAAGTTCCGTGAAAAAATGACGGATTTGCAAAAGGAAAAAAGAAAACGAGTTTTTACGCGTGATTCTACGTTGTCAAGTTGAAAATTTTGACTAATGTAAACGATGAGGATTAGAAAGTAATATTCTCTAATAAGTTTGAAATTTACTCATAATCAGTTTTCTTAGTGAATTTTTGTTTTCCAATCATGATTATGTAATAACGTAAAATACTTACTTTTTTCAATAGTTTATAGGACTTAAGACCATCAGGGTTTGATGTTTGATTCGATGTTGTCAAGTTGAATCAAAAATTACTAACAAACAGAATAAAAGGTAATGTTTTAGAAGGAAAGCTTAATTCACTCGTTTACCGACTTCCCTTCGGTTTTTTTATTTTAAACGTACGTGTAATTATTATGTAATGCCATAAAAGGTGCTACTACTTTAATTGTTTGAAGGACATCTCAGACTTCTGACCACTTTTTGTTCATTTTCTGTAAGAGATCTCTTGAGTTTTTAAAGAACAGGAAAACTATTATCTCTTTTTCCTTCATCGCACGAAGGAGCAGCCAAAACAAACACTTTATTAACATCTTAAAGGGAAGGGGATGGGGCTTGTTCGAGACAGAATTTATTCGAGACAGAGTACGTGATGAGAGACGCCCTGTCTGGTAAATCAGTCTCGTTCCAATCTCTTCGCACCAAAGCTCTCAAACAGAAAGTGAACGTGCCATCTCGGACCGTTATGAATCCTTGCTCTTCGCTTATTGTAAGAATTCTTTCATGTCATTATTTCTGTTTGAGGTGTCACTTACAGATTGTTTTTAACAATAATGAATCTGTTGCTCTCTTTCCTGTCACGGATGGATTTATATATTTACAAAGGCGAAATGTTTTTGTTGGTGTTGGAAAATTGATAATGGCTCACAACTTATACGCATGGGTGTACTTGTACCTGGTTCTAGATGCGCCCCATAGGATTCATAATAAGAGGAACGCAGACGAGTTTCAGTTTCGTGTGCAAATTCCTCGCGATTATTTCAAGCTCCACCTGATCGAGTTCTTCTAGAAGCAGCATTATAGATTGCACTATTCGATTGCCTTGAAACTCTTTGAGTGGAAGATGGCCAATTGCAGGGCCCTTTGGGATCATTTGCTCTTCCGTGAGAGGAAGAGGCGTTGATGTTTCTGTTCTTGCTAATCTTGGACTTTTTGGAGCAAGCTCTGGTACATCGTCTACACTTGCTTCCTCGTCGCTGTCCGATGTATCGCTGCTGCTTAGTTGATTTACACCTGATTTTGTATTTTCTTCCTTTACAGTATGAACGTCTTCTTTCGAAAGATCCTCGTTTTTAACGTCCATCGCAATATTTTTATTCATATCTCTTGTGTATTTATTTTCAACTCCAGTTTTTTCATGGATCTCAGAGTGTAAGGCGTTCACTATCTCTTTGTTGTAATTATTCCTAGCCAGCCAGTTGTGCCCCATCTTCCACGCTCTGAGCTCCTCTTTGCCGTCACCGTTGATATTGACCCAAATCTTTGCAACCCACTTTTCGCCTTTCTGAACATGACAGCTTCCTTGATATGACAAAGGATCTAATTCACCCAACCATCTACGAGAACCATCGTACAAATGGTTGTACCAAAGCAGGGCTTTTCCTTTCTGCGGTTTGATCACTAAGTTTGACTTATCACAGTGCTTGACCATGTTACAGCTTTGAATTGACTTGTTTGACCACGCCTTGCAAGAACAGTTAATCGGCAAGAGAAGTTAATATATTGATATCTCACGCTTTTAGGTCTTAGTAGAACACAATTATGCAACACTGATATTATTTGATACGAAGAAATTACTGAGGACATTACCGCTTATACAAGAATATCTTTGTCTTCTGTCAGAGTGTTTCTAATCTGATTTTAGAGAGGTGGCATGTTTGTGAATTCACGCTAAATGGATGTCTCACATTGTAATGAATGACTAGCTGAAATCACGTGTTAAATTATTGTTTTTTTTTTTTAAAAAACATTTACGTTTTTATCGCTGGGGAGAGGTTTTTCAACTTCGGTTTCGGTATTTAACTTTTTTTAAACAATTTACTGATAGAAGAAAACTGAGTGAGGAAGACCTTGATTTCAACCCCTTAACCCGACTTAAGCAGCAGGTGATCGGAATCAACATACTCATGGATCGATCAATTCGAAGCTTCAACATACCCCCCGAGCAATCCCCTAGGAAACCTCCCCGGGCACTTGAACTTTTGAAGAGTGTTTTGTTTAAATACCCCCCCCCCCGGGGGGATATTCTATACTTGACCAAGCTTTAAAACCTTGACTTTGTAGACCTTTTCATCTGAGAAATTCGCTCACCAACGTGAACTATTTTTCTTAAACACCTCCACATGAAACGTTATATCTTGTATTCTGCTGGAAAGACTTGGCACTTCCGGTTCAAATTCCCCTTCCCTCGGTCACGGATGACAGTCGAGTGCCCGGGGGTTTCCCGGAGTGATGTTGAAGCTTCGAATTGATCGGCACATTATCAGTTATACCATGTCATCTTGACACAGCATGGGATTCTTGCAACTGATGTGGTGGAAATGTATAGAAGTCAAAAGAGAGAATTATTAGTTTGATCCTGGATTAGAAAGGGTCAATCGTCTGTTTACCTGCCAGCTGAAAGTCGTGTTATCAGCAAGGGGGAATGCACATTCCCCTCCCTCATCGACATCGTTAAGAAAGACCACGACCGTTAGATATCTGAAAGGTGAAGTTAAACGTTTTCTTAAAAATATACGTGGAAACTATTATGCTTTTAAGGCGAATTATTAAAAGGAGTAATAGATTATAAGGCCCCCCCCGCGGATATAAGCCTCCCCCCCCCCCTCTAGCTTTTCTTGTTTTCTGAGATAGAAACTTTTTACTGCTGAAGAACAGAAAATTTGAAAAATTGTTGTGGAACAATAAGCTAAATTTATTACTTGTTTTAGATAAAGATGAATTTCAAGGAAAAATCTGAACTTTCGTTTTGTTATGTTCCAGGTTTGTTCGTGTTCTTGGTTTTAATTATGTTCCAAATGAACGGATATGAATACGACTTGTTATGAGGTTTTGAAGGTTAATTTGAAAAAAAACCGTAAATGTAAGAAGTACTTCATATAGCTCGTTTCGACGCGCTTTTTCCGTCACAAGCCCCTTCGGATATACGCCTTTCCGTTTATAAGCCCTCCTAAAACCCCATACGAAGTTTTATAAGCCCAGGGCTTATAAACGGCAGTTTAAGGTAGCACTGTCTTTCTGACATTTGAGAACATTTCAAGGATTTCCTTATCTTAGATTATCTTAGCATTAAATACCACTGTGAAATAAAGCGAAAGATTCAAGTAAAACTGAAGTTCCAGATTAAAGGAAACTTTCAGTTGCCATTCTGGTTCTCAAAAGAATTCTTGAATAGTGACTATTTATTAGTTGACCTTCATTCACCTGCAGAGCCTGCAATCACTAGAGCCATACATACAACAAGGTTTGTCATGCGAGATCGCCTGGCTGTCATGGTGACAGTGATAATGTCCTTGTTCCTTATAATGTACGACCTACGAGAGAAGAGCATCACGGGAAAAAACTGTTAAAGGAAAACGAAGAGGGATAATATTGGTGATTTTAAAAAAGGACTGTACAAACCTGTACGGGCTCACTTTGCTCTATTATCGGCCTTGGCAGCTTGGTAAGCTGTTGAAGTCTGAGAAATGAGAGACACCAGACTGCATTAGTTTGTTTTAAAGGTTGGTGTAACGAGAGTCTGATCACAGGCTCAAATATTGAAAACCCTGCGTAAGATCTGCCTTGTATATCAAGTCAAGAAAATGAACGAGTGTAATGAATTTAAGTACTAATATCAATCCTTACCGGTCGTGATAATCTTCTAGCAATCCTTCGTATTGCAAAAGTTCATCTTCATCGTGCCATAACCATACCTGCTGGCTGTTATGACTGCGCAGGCGCGGTTTTGCCAATTTTTCTTTGTCAAAATAAGCGTTTAGGTCTTTTAGTGAAGTCTTTTCAAGCTCTTTCATGGAAAGTTTACCTTCAAAAAAATATTTCACAAAATTGTCTATCGAATTCGTTATTCCTTTGAGGGAAATAGGAGCAGTGCTGAAGGAGGATTATAAATGAAGAAGTTTAAACGGCAACAGCAAATTAAAATTATTTTCAATTAATTCTAACCGGAAAGAAAACAGGCAACAAAAAGGATCATCATCATTGTGCATTTTGCACGTCTTTTTCCACTTGAGTGACTGAATTTTGTATAAAAGTCAGAAGTAATGAGACTGGAGGGATAGAAAAGTCTTACCATCTTTGTCTTGATCTAAGTTCAAGGCAGCGAACCTTCAGTGAGGAAAAAAAAATAAACGGCAGAACAAATTTGAGATCGAGAATGAAAAACAAGATTTTTTTATTGTTTTTATTTTATTTATTACTTGAAGAGTTTTCCTTTAAAAGCTTCCATTTTATTTATTTATTTATTTATTAGTGATATTCATGCAGGCTGGTCCAGTTCGATTCAAGCTGGTTTGAATGGGGGCCTGCCAATCCTGAGCATTTTTTGCAGCAAATAGCTAAAAGCTGGAAGCTAAAGTCGATGTAAAGGTTCCAGGCGTTCATCAAGTAGAACGGAGCATATTAGTAAGCGGTACGATTGTAACGGAGGAGTGGAAAACGAGAGAGGTTTGGGACAGGTCGCGTGTAAAAAGGGAGGCTTGAGGCGACCCGAACCAACCTGCCTCGTTTTCGCTCTGCCTCTACTATCGCGTCATTAACTATTTCTTTTCCGTTCTTCTAAGTGAACGCCTGGAACATAGAAGAACTGTCGTCGTTCGGATGTGTTTTAACCGTGAAATGAAGTTTGGTTCACGGAGTATCAAGTTTCGCAAGTAATGATAAGACGGTAGAGAAAACTAGATCACTAAAGCTGCATGATTAGCAAAACGTCTGTATAGTTTGAATAAACTTACATCTCTTGAACATCATCTTCTGTTAAATATGTATTTCTTTTTTCAGATATGTGAATGGCCTAGACAAACAAAGTATAGTAAAAATTAGGTGGTTAACACCATTGATTTGGTGGACACTTGCGTAAAAATACAGCAACTCGAATTCAAGAGGAAAGCATCAACAGAAGACCGCTGAACAAAAAACGACCAAAATGTGGTTAAAGTTACCCGGATATTCTTACCTCAGTTTTGTCGATAAATTTATCCTCATTTTTGTCCCAAGCTTTAAACTTGTCTTCTATCGAATCTGTATTATCGCTCTGGTCGTTATCTTGGGTCAGCGGAGTTTCGCTCATTCCCTTTTCTTGCGCTAAATCGATGATCATTTCACATTCTTCATCGGTAAAAAAATTTGGAATTTCTGTGAAAAGAGATTGAAGGTAAAAATTGGTGTCTGACAAAAGCGACTCCTCTAAAATGTAGCTGGGTTAATGTATGTGTTAAACGCAAATCCTCCACCCCTCCCCGCCAGGCGATAAATAATGACTGGTCTTTAAGAATGGGACACCATGATACTGGCTTTGAGTTTGTAGTTGTAACCTCTATGTAGGAATTTAATTCATTGTACTAAACTCTCAACAGTTTTTTTTAGTTGTTTCGTCGGCCGTTTATATCACTTACCAAACACTGGTGGTTGTAAGCTTAGAGTTCTCACAGTGTGCTTGCTACCCTCAGTCAACTCCATATCTTGAACATGGCCAACCTAAATTAAAATATGAGGACCATCTTAGGTGAAAGTCTTATTACCTTATTACCACGGTGATAAAACATTTAGCGAGACCGATGAATCAACCTTTTACACCTTAACATTAGTATTCATATTTCCACGCTGTTTTATTTTCATTTGCTATGGTATTAAAGAGGAGAATTTGATTGACAATTAGGAACTTCTGAAAGTGGCTACCATTTTCTTCATTCTTGCAACCTTTATATTTGGTGCAAAGGTGATACTGTATGGAGAAATTAAAATTAAACCCGGATGGGCTCTACTCCTAATGTAATTATATTTAGTAGGGACTAGTGGGGTTTTTAAAATGTTCAGTCTTATAGTTGTGTTACAGTTGTGCTCAGATTAAGACGATGGTTAAAGCTAGCAAGTTTTGGAGGAGATATACCTATCTTCGACAATCCGTTGTTTTGACCTTTAACCCCTAAGAGTGACTGGCCTCTAATTTCTATCACCCCTGAATCACACATTAAGGTCACGAGATAAGGAAATGATCACCAACTAAAGAAGTTCCTGATTGTAAAACAAATTCTCCTTGTCAGCACCTTAGGAAATGTATAGAGAACAGTATGGAGAATATGCATAGTGATGTCAGGGTGTAAGGGGTTCAACGGATTGTTTGTCCTATTTCATTAATTACAAATAACGAACTTGAAAATTATGGGTTTAAATTTCAAGATTTACAAGCCGTTGCAATGCCAGCGATAAAGAGAACAGTGTTTCTCCCGCATAAATAGAAAATTAATCCCAAAAGCTTTTTGAAAGTATCCGCCACACTTTTCCTTTCTTCCCGACAAAATGAGCTTGAAATTATTGACCGCTTACATTTGAAGATTTTCAGTAATTTTCACTACTTACAATACTTCTCGGTTCGTTTATTTCGCATATTTCGGAAAAGTGTGTTTACCGACCGTTCAGTCAAGACACTCCAGAGTTATCATTCCATGTACATGCTAAACGGCTTTGCAATGCATTGAACTGCTTATGCGTGATATACGCATGTACGGTTGATTGCGTTGACCATAAATATTGTCACTTTGCAAGAAATATGCAGGAGAGAAAATTAAAGACCAAGCTAGGATTTTTACCTTTCAATGCCTTCGAAATATTGATTAATTCAGTCTAGTTTGAGAAATGTCGGGCCTCGTGAGCGAATATTGCCTCTATATGCAAATGGTAGGAGATGGATAGTGTGTTCCGACTATCGATAGATTTTTTTCCACCGTCTATTGCCTCGATGTCAAAAGTCAATGAGTACTCATTTTTGAAGGCTATAGGTTATATTCAAGCCAACAATACTTTAATCTTTAGTTTGAACCTAATCTTTTACCCTTCCCGTGAATGCCGGCTGATTTTACTAATAGACAAGATCGAGTCAAAGGCCACGGAGTATGGTATAAACATGCATCTGATAAACAAGACACAGAACTTCTTGTTTACTCTTTTGCCCTCTTAAATCTGACAAGTTTGTGTAGTCCAGTCCGTTGTAAAAAAAAATAACGTTAATCCCATGATCAGACGATTACTACAAGTTGTAGAGGTGATCAGTAAAGCACAGAGCCAAAAACTGCCGCAAGCTAGCGAAGCTCAAAACAAGTTCAGCTTTGCGAGCCAGATTTTCTCCCACAGATCTTCGCTCGAGGAAAATTTAGTAGATAAAATTTTACCTTCACTCCGTTGATTCTTGGTAAACTTAAATGGATATTACGAGGTTCCCCATGTCCTGCTGAACAATCTGCAGTGTTGTCTTGACACTCGCTTATTTTTTGCTTATGAAAGTTCTCTGAATAAACCAATTGCTTGCTACAAATCATTGTGATAAATAGATGAACCGTCGTGAAGGCATGACGAAGATATATCTCCATAATCGGTGAAGCTACCCGAAATTTTCGAAATTGTGCTTTGATTTGAAGTAATCACAGCGAAGTTGAATCACTCTAAAACATCTACCATTACAAACCAGATAATGTATTCATTTGATAACTTATTCATGCCGGTTCAACAGGTATTTAACAAGTACCTGACACTGCTAATCTTATTCTCACGATTCTCTTGAGTGGGGACTGGTATGAGATTTAGAAACTCAAGGTAACCGCCCCGTTAAGGTTTTTCGGGAACTACTGGAACGAGCTTAATCGTTGACGAGTTAGTTTCACATCGCCAGACTTACACAAGGTATGTAACGAGAATACTTTCGGTAATTACTTGAGGGAAAATAACAGGCAGAAAATATTCCAACTGAAATTAATCCAGAAGATGTTTACTGATAGCCTTGTCTCAGTTTACGGCCATAGCTGGCTTTAACACAAGCAACAGAGAAATAGACTTAGACTTAATGTCATAACAGTTTAAGTTGGGGAAACTTCGGACGCGAACAAGTTTCAACGAATGCCTTCACGAGACGAGTCGTTATTGATTTTCATGTGTTTAGATGAACATCAGCATGTAGAGAAAATTTTCCATATTTACAGACTCGAGAGTTATGCGGTTTATTGATGTATCTCCCAGTGGCTCCGTGCCACGTCAAGTTGGCATATTTGTTATTTTCAAAATTCGATAGAGTTCAAATTTTCATTTTGGTTTTGATCATTCACTACTTTGGCTTATGGTGAGAAGAAGAGTTTACTATGATGAATGTTGACCACAATGGAGGCTTAGTTATTTTTCATTTCAGTGCATCTAATTTAGAATAATTCTCTGTGGTACATATACGAGTTGATGATAGGTGAATTTTTTTCTAATGGAGCGATTTTCAATTAAATGTCGAAAATAACCGGGATTGCATTGATTTTTCTTTTCTTTCATTTTTTTTTTCTTTTCTTTACTTTACACTTTAGTCTAACAATTTTTATACTTGGCTTCGTGTATTCTTATGAAAACAAATTATTTTTTAGCACAGCCACCATGTGTACACCAGATCAGCAAGAAAAAAGGGGTTCTGATAAAGAAACTCATAACCATCTACATGTATGCTTGCGCACCAGTATTTTACTAATTGACGAACCGTTCTACATTCAATTACTGCGAGAATCTTCACGCAAAATGGTTTTCTCAACAAATGTATTAATAACCCTTTGTACAACATGATGTCTATGTACTTCAGGAAAGGAATATTTAATGACCGTCATGGGAAAACAACACACACTAGGGTTTTATACACGAAACGTCAACGTTATAGCTTCTCTGTACAGAAATATAAACAATATAGCTCTAGGGACCGGTCATCATGGTTATTGCCGGGGGTGAGAGGCTTGGAGGATTTAGGTTGTGTCGCAATGAAATCCCAACATAAGGCAAATAATACTCTTATGATTCCCGCCACTCATTACCAGTTAATTGGCGGTCAATTTATACCCTGTTGGCAACGACTGATACCCCTCCGCCCTGAAAACCGTGTGAAAAATGACTGATTCCTAAGTACCTCTAATAAACTTTCCTTAAAATGTTCAACTCTTAAATAATGACTTTTTATCCACAATAAAAAAGTTCGAAAATTATTTTACCTATGATTGCATTCTAGAGGCGAGAATGTTTTCTCTTTCATTCAGCCTTACTTCCATCCACTAAAGAAATTTTACCGCCTTGGTTTAGAACTAAAGGTACACATAGCATCTGAAGTTTCTCATGTACTTTCTTCGAAACAGCTACCATTTCTTCTTCGTTAAGAGATTCTAACAGTGATACAACAGCATTAAGAACGTGTCTTTCTTTCGGACGAGATTCAAACGTCCATTCTTGGGTGTTCTCCATATCATTGTTAAGTTCTTCTTCAATCTCATCTGGTGCTTTATTGTCTTCAGCTCTTCGCATTCTTTGAAGAATATTCTGGTTCAAGTGCTTCCTAGCGTCAGATATGAGGTTTATACCTCGTTTCCAGGCCCTCAACTCCATCTCCCCGTCACCATCTATGTTGATCCAATTAGTGGCCATCCATTTCTCGCCTTTAGTGACGTCACAGTGACCGTAGTACATCCTGTTATCCAGTCCCCCGATCCATGTACCATCATCATTAGGCACATGGTTGTACCACATGACAGCCTTGCCTCGTTTCGGTTTGATGACCAGTTTGCCTTTAGCACAGTACTCGTGTGAGTTGCATTTTCCAATGGCATTGTTCATCCATTTCTGCAGATAAGGAACATTTGATTAGAAATAACTACCGGAACAGATTCAAGGAATCGTTAATATATTCTGAAACGAAGAAATTTAGCTCGCAAAATCTGAATTTGCACTTATTTGGTTTTCTATACATTTACTAGTTACTGCTGAGGTAACTCAGGTCTGATAACTTTGCTCTGACAATATCACTTGTGAACCGAATTCAAATAAAACAAACCTCGTATCCTTTGTGACGCATGAAAAATTTCCCACGCATCTTCTCCCCGCCAGGAACCCACCACTTTCCATCTATTTGTGTATTTCCCTTTAATTGTCCAGCGTATTTAATGGAAAAATCTTTGTTTCCTTGATTCAAATACTTCTTGCGGAATCTTATTATGTTTCCTGTCAACAGACTGTCAATCAATTCGAATTCCCCGCTGTCGTCACTTCCTTTGCCATAAATAACTTTATTAGCACCATCCATTTTAAATTGTACATCCACTTCAAAGGTATTTCGACTTCCAGTTGTCTTGTCGTAAGTGAAAAACCCTGTCCAGGTACCAGAGTTGTTCATGATGTCATCCTGAATAGAGATTCAGAGGGTAAGTTTGTAAAGAAACTATGGCGCTGCGTCAGTGTTCGGTGTTAAGGGGGGGAGGTGTATAACAAGATTATCTGGTTTTATCACCTGAGTTGATGATATAAACAGGCCACCGTAAAGAGTTTCTAAAGCTGACCCGTTGAGCGTTAGCCCTTTACGAGAACTAAATTGTGGTAGACCATTAAGTTACTGCAAATACTCATGCACCTCCTCTCTGTCAAGAACTTCAATTTTCTAATGAGCCCCTTTCTCTGAGGAACCTTCCTTGTCTAGAATTTAACGTTTATATGAGCTTCTTTCTCTTATAAGCACATGTACCCTGGCATCTTCTGGAACTTCATGTTCCCAATAATCACCATTCCTCGAACTTCAATTATCTCTAAGGCTCCATTCCTTAGCAAGCCCTCTCTGTCTAGAACTGCAAGGCTTGTATATTCTTCCTCCACGGTGAAGATCTTTAATTTTGTAGTTAAGACCCATCCTCTATTAAACCAACCACCTCCCTGAAATTTTGAGTTTACCCCATCTCGACTTTCAATTTTTTAATGAGCTCCTCTCCCTTACAAACGCTACTTCCTCCGTCTACAGCTTCAAATTTTTTATGAAATCGTCTCCCTTATAGGCTCCTGTCCCTGTTTAGAACCTCAAGGTGCCGATCTGTCCCTCTCCCCCTCCCCTTCTGGACGGACAAAAATTTCTAAGCTATTTTTCCTTCATTAATGCTGCTTAATGCTGAAAAAACAATTTTATCTTACATAAGGTTACATCTTTTAAAAGTTTTGCATTTTACGTATTTTATTACCACTATCTATATATGGGGCCAGACTAAAAAATAGCTTCTTTCATATCTTTGCCAGGTGTTTGCATCGACTTACCTCAAATTCGCTATTTGCAAGTGGCATCACCAATTCCCCTCCTTCATCGACATCGTTGAGGAAATAAGCTAGTGTTATGTACCTTTGGAAATAATATAGAGAAATAACTGTTTATTTATACCTAGTACGGTATGTAACGCTCTGAAATCTTTAAAAAATTTTTTCTGATTGACTTCTTCCGGATTGACTTCTTCCACTTCAAATTTTTGTTCCACAAGTTTTGTCCCACGACATCGAAGACGTGTGGTTATGAAGTCCTTTTTTTTCTCGGTCCTCTTTTTTTTGTGGAAATTCTTCAGTGTGGGAAAAAATGTGAAACATAGATAAGAAAGTCGAAATGGATTGGAGAGGTGTCCTAGTTGTCTCAATTTTCATGCTTTTTTTGGGTAAATTGTCCTTCACATACCTGCATATTCTGCATTCTTTCATGTCTCCATACAGACAGCAGGGAACACCCTCAAATTTAGGCTCACTATCTTGTTGGCAATATTGATAGTTGTTTTCTTCAAACTGCATCACCTTAAAGTGAATTGTATAATGTCAAAATAACGACTCGGCTGTTGCGAGATACGTTAATGAACACAAAATGAGGTGGGTGTGAGTGGTAATAAAAAATAATGAAGGAAGACAGAAAATGAAGATTGGTCAGGTGCGAGGTATAAGAGGACTGTTGATGGAGCTGACGGACTACGAATTTGGGTCGTGCTATTGGTCAACTGGTCTTTCAAAGAAAACCTTAAAAAGATTGCAAAGTTTTTCAGAATCATAGAATTTTTCGTCATCTGAGAACAACAATAAAATAACAACAACAAGTTTGCGTGTTACGGAACATTGTTATCTTGCTCACCGCGCGCAGAGTTGTTTCGTTGAAGAAGTAGCGACAACGTTACCTCATGTCTATGTTTACGTTCCTAGTTCCTTTCATTTTTTGTAGTAGAGGTTGAGGGTTTGTTTTTTTTCGAAAATATTAGTCCCGTTTACCTGCATGGGTTCACTCTCCTGAATAATTTCCTTTGGTATTTTGGTAACTGCTTGAAGCCTGGAAGAAAACTTTACTGTTAGAAATACACCTGTTGTAGACCATACGTTAGACTATAAAAAAAAAAGTTATACATCAATAGGTTCCTATATAGGTGTTGACTATTGATGTAGTTTAGAGTGTAGCTGGAGGGGGAGGGGGTCATCGGTTACACGTCACATCTTACCCTTGTGTTAAGTATTTTGTTATTCATGGTTGCAAAAAAAATCAACGTGGTATACCCTCCAATGTCCGTGAGAGGCTAGTATAGAACCAACCCCTTCCCCCCACGTCCCTCCCCCTGTTGGAAGGTTCTTCCTTTAACCCTTATTACTTAGGGACCGGTCATTATTTATCGCTGGGGGGAGGCGGATTTTGGTTTCGTCACGATAAAATTTACCTGATCCAAGCATAAAGCGCTACAATATTCTTACAATCCTCTCGTCACCCAACCCCCCCCCCCTCTCATTTGAGTTAATCAGCAGTAAATATTCTATGGTCCCCCTCCCCCTTTATACTCTGTTGGCGGCGACTGACCCCCCCTCCGTTCCAGCTGAAAACCATGTGATCCCCTTTAAACTCTTCCAAACACCCCTCCCCCCCTCACCCGCGGTCACTAATCAAGAGTTCCTTGTCCGGCATATCTTTCCAAGAATAGACCCGCCATCTCCTGTTATGGTTGCGTTTCTAGGAGACATTTTTTTAAGGGATTGACTCGCACTAAGTACTATGAGTGGGAGATCTCATAGGCTACAACAAACGTGTAAGTACCAACCGTTCATGGAATCCATGCAATAAGTCAGGCTGATATCTCAGCAGTTCGTCCTCATCATGCCACAGCCAAGATACTCTACTGTTAGGTATTCTCCTCAGTGACGAATCATTCAGAAGGCCAGCAATGTATTGTCTTATTTCCTCCAGTTCTACGCTTTTGAATTCAGTCAGGTTGATTTTTCCTGGTCAAACAAAGGAAAAAAAAAGACGTATATTGTTAATGAAGGTGATAACTTCAAATTATTTGAAAGCGGGGAACACCCTCTTACTCTTATAGATCATATTGAGTTACCCTCGATAAATTCAGGATCGTATATCGTGCTTTAATGAGACACAAACACTTACCATTATCATCTTCATCCAAGTTTAATGTTTTCATCCTGTTAAAAATAAATGAACGAATCACTAAGTAAAGAAGCAACTTTTTACGAACTCATTTCTCTCCCAGTTTTAAAAAAATATGTTCACCAATAAATCCCACTTACATCTCGGTGGCGTTATGTTTTGTAAATTTAAGATCCATTTTACCAGGGATCAGGACAATCTGTAACAGCAATGGAAAGAAAAGAAAGTTAGTATACAATGCTTATCACAGGCAGTAAGTGATATAAAAGAATTTATCTTTAAACTCAAGTTCAAGGATGGACTAAGGCATTGCGAATCACAGATTAACCTCTCTATGCCCGAGTCTCCTCCTTGATTCTATAGATAGGCTATTACAAACAACAATGGTAATTAAGTTCTTAGATAGAGGATAATCCATCGACGCGTGTAGATATGGAAATTCTCTTCAGGTATCTCGATCTTATTCGTTCGCTGCACTCACGACTGAAATATGAAAAAATGAAGAGAAAATCCATATCTACAGCAACTATGTATTATTAATTTTTGTTGATCATACGTCGATTTCATGAAAGGTGAACACTTTACTATTCATTTATTATTAGCCCGACAGAGTGGCGCGAAAGGAGAGTGACGTGTCAGCAGCTGATTGGCGATATCAAGGACACGTACAAAATTATCGTAATTTCACACTTATACAGTTATGGCTTTTCTCAGGGCTGGAAATCTTTGTAAAATACCGTAGTTTATATAATAATACATTTAATCCTACTATTTAGAGAAGTCTTGAACAGGACTGTTGGTGGAAGTGACTGCGTGACTGTGACTTCGACTAGGTCATAGGTCACGGTGTCATTCACAAGATGTGCTTGTTTATTTGTTTGTTTTATCTGAGAATGTGTTCCAAGAAGAACTATTAAGAGACGCGATTTTACCAACCTCCTCTGCGTCAATGTATTCATCACTATTCAAGTCCCACTGTTTGAAAGTGTTCAGAGGGTCTTCATAGTAAACACCTCGGTTATCTGTTTTCTTAGGATTATCATTGAGTTTTTTGTTTTCAGCCATAGCTATGATGAGTTCACATTCGTCCTCATCAAGAAAATCGGGAATCTCTGTAAAAACGATGAATGAAATTGAGAAAAGCAAGTTTTTTAAATGAGCAATGTTCTACAGGCATGGTAGCAATTCCAACTACTATAGCATTATTTGACCATGCCTCGCACATGATGAGTGTAGAGTAATCCTCCTCTCACTTAAATCACTCTCCGTGCGAAAATTCCATAACTCCCAAGATCAAGTTAGTAATTCTCCCTACTGAAGGCCATACATTTCCTTATAAATTATACGTATAGGAGACACAAGTGTAGAAACAAGACAGCGGGGCGAACTTACAGTGGGGCGAAACCACAAGTTACCCGTTAGCGAGTATACCATTTATCATGTTTTCATGTGGTAAGCGCTGTGTATATTCAGCAGTTATGACGAAAGTGTTTCTGTTGTTGATAAACGGATCAATGTCAGTATCTGAGCAACTGCACACCTACCCCTTCCCTAACCCAACAACAGTCAAATGGTAACAAATCAGGGTTAAAGCTAGGTTAGGGGAGGGATAGGTGCGCTGTTATTCAGGTATTGACTTTGATCCTAATTATCTCATAGGACTGATCTCTTACCAAATACAAGAGGACGCATGCTCAGGGTTTTTATGTGACGTTTGATGCCAGGTAGAATTTCAATCTCTTGAATATGACCAACCTATCCAATTTGTAACAAAGGTATCATTACTGTAATGTTTACATTTGCAAAGAACCTAAATTGTTTGTAAAAGTTCGATTAAATATCAACTCATTTTACGACTTGGCTTTAAGACATGTTTCAACAAGCTGCGCATAATGAAGGTTTCGTATGATTGCAATGGGTAGAGGAATGTTTTTTATTGGCTTCCTTTGCATTCTTCCTGTGTGAGTCTCCCCACTCAAGAACACACATCGGCTTTCCTTTCTGAGCATCATTGTTTGAGGTCTGGTAGAGTCGCGACTAGACTCAAGAAAGAGAGGGATTGGATCCGACAGAAGAACGTTATTTCAAAGGTAAACTGTGAAGCTTGCAATTCTAAAGTCGCAAATTACTTGTATTTTTCGGTCTGAGAACATTTCGATGCGACCTTGAAATTTCTTTTAAGCTAAGTTTGCGACACGAGATTGGTAAATGCTAAATCCTTCTACTATCTTTGATAGCGAGATTTATCTAAAAATAGCTTATTTATTAAATCATTGAGCCTGCATGGAAGTCCAGTCTCTTAGCGTTATTGTCTCCTGGTTATGGGCATTAGCTTGTAAACTTATACATGGAAAGTCGGTGATTAAGACAAAGATATAAATACCTATATAATCTGAACGCAATAATGGCATCTAATAAATTATATTCAAGCGAGATCAAAGAAGAATTAAACTTGCCTTAATTCCATCGACAACTGGAATCTGAAGTCCAATCCATTCCGTAGTTGTGTTGCTGTTAGATAAAACTTGTTTATCATTGCTTTCTGATAAATTGTTATGAACCTCGTTACTTTGTTGTCCCTCTTTCAAATCTTGTGAAAGACTTTCTACTTGTTCTGTCTTTTGTATTCTTGGTATTTCTTCCTTTAAGTCCACAATTTCGTCGTTCTGAACGTATTTAATTTCATCTATCGTGTCACAGAAGCCCTCTTCGTTTTCATCGCTATCGCACGTGTGTTGATGTATTGAGATATCTTTTGCTTTGATTTGTAAACCCCTCGCAATGATCAAAACCAAACCTAAAAACCAGACAAAGCGGTGGGATGTTCTATCCGCCATTAGTTGCATCAATCTTGCCTCGTTATGCTCCCGTCAAGGCCTCGGAACCTCGGTCAAAAAATTCTTCATAAATTAATGATCCAAAATATTACGGCTCAGAGGTTTTTCATTCATGGAGAATAAATTGTTTTACTCTAAAGCAGCCATATGAAAGCGTATGATGCCACCAGCGTCTGTGATTGGTCAGTTTGAATGAGCAGGGCAGGTACCAGAAGGGACCATGAGCGTAAAAAACGGGAGGAAGCCTTTTCAGTGCAAAGTGATGCGGGTATTTCGTAAGATGTTGTGCAGTCTAATGTTTTGCTTTTATTTTCAGCTTTAAAGAAGATATTCCGCTGTATTCAATTTATTCAATTGCTCTCATATGGAATAAAACCTTTTGTTCTCAGTTCAGGGAGACAAAGGCAAGAACAAAGAGCAGGGATGATCAATGATGGAAAAGCTGGATTATAAAAGACGTTCTTGAAATATCCAGGCTAAAGTTTCGCATGATACCCGGAATGATACACAAACCATTAAGTGTATAGAGATCCTTTTTAAGTCACTCATGCAGGGTAAAGGTCTTTTTTGCGTCGCCGAACAAGAGAAAAGTCACGAGAAACGACTTCGTCGAACTTTAACAGTCTCTGAAAGGCAAGGAGTTTCCGGGGTTGCCAAAGTGCAAGAATAGCATGCCCGAATTTAGTAGGATAGCCTAAAGTTGATATTTTTGACCCTGGCTCACTAGGGAACACCAGGGTTCCTGTATTTCGACAGCAATTGTTTGGAATACTTGGCATTTAGAATGGTTGCCATGACTTACCAAGAACTCATTAGAAAAAAAAAAGGATCATATGATCGTAATGAAGACTAATTATATCGAGAGAAATGAATGTAACTCGTTTTGTAATAATTGAACGCTAATTAGATATGCATAATTTAGTGAATATCAATTACCGGAAGGAAGTCGCTTTGATCGTGATTAATTTCATTATAAAATTATATTGTAAGCTGAGTTAGAGAGATATTGTTTTTGTTTTTATTATTAGTTTTTTTTTTTTTTTGCCTTTTACCGCACGGCCATTGGCTGAAATTCTTGCGAGTTGCGAGGTTCCTGTTTGTCTGGTCGACAGCTACAAATTAAAGGGGAAGAGAGATAAAATGCGTGACACCTGCCTGTCACACAATACTTATTTCCTCAATCGAGGTCGTACGCTGGCCAGTGTTCACTGAAGTTTAAATCCGCAATAATTTTCGAGAAAACATGATGGATTCAGCAAGCTGCTGTAACTTGGTTATTCTTAGATAAGTTAAATTTATGGATGTCTGGCTCTACATCTGACATCTCAGTGAGGGCCATTGTTAAATTTTGTTTACAAATGATATGCAAATGTGGTGTTCACGGCCGTGAAATCAACTAGTTACGGGAAAGAAGCCATCTAAAAGATCAACTATGGCGCCGCCGCGTGCGGATAACAAGAAATTCTCGAAGGAAAGATCAAAACAAAAGGCAGCAAAGAAGCCCTCGAAATCGTCTCTTCCTTCTACGGCAGTGGCCGTCGCTTTAACCGCTCTGGTAGCGATATGTGTAGCTATGTATTACAAGAATGGATCTGGGATCGAGACGAACCTCCGCCAAGCGACGAAGGAAAGAACCAAAGAATCAATAGGAACTTCAAATTCCAAACGAAGTGATACGAATGCCGATTTTAAAGTTCTACCTCGATTAAATGGTGTGAAGGTAAGAAATAGAGATCCAGTAATACCTCAGAAAATAAGTTTCAGCTCAAGAACCCATCGTATTAGTGACGTGTCGTTGTATTTAATTCAATATTAAGTTAACAGCTATTTTCTTTGTATTTAATGTATTTCTGCTACCTTCGCTCTATTGTATATTTCGAATATATTGTAGGCACAAACTTAACATGCAATTTAGGATCTCAAGTTGTTGTTTAATTGCATTTTTTTCAACTTAACATGCAATTTAGTTATTTATTTTTTGGTCATTTTTAGCCATTCAGTAACGGAGTTTTTTTTTTAACCATTTTTGCGTCTAAGTTTGTAAAAATATCATTTGATCTTCATCAAGATGAACATTATAGCGTTGATGAAACAGACAGAATATGCCAATCCTGTTGAAACGTGACAGTCACGTAACGCAATCCTTATGATTTAAAGATGTATCTGTAACTGTATCATGAGGTGGAGGTGTTTTCAGGTGTTATCATTGCGCCCCCCCCCCCCTGAATTAGCCTCACGTAGACGCATATTTTATGAACAAATTATGTTTACCCTTCAGGTTGGCCATGTGCAAAAAAGACAACTAAGCCCAGGAAAGGTGTATGAAATTAAGACACTTAGCTTAAGACCGCCTATCTTCGGTAAGAAAATTAAAATTTTCCTAAATTCTTTGTCATCCATTTATTTATATTAAACGCAGTATTGACTCATCAATAAATTTTATGTCTTGATCTCTATTTCATGTCAGAAATTCCCGATTTTCTGTCCGAAGACGAATGCCAGACTATAATAAACCGAGCTTCCAAGGCGGGCCTGGACACCAGTGAGGTCCAGGACCCTGAAACGGGTATCAACATTGAGCCAACCAATAAGGCGACGTTTCACAGTTGGGATTACAATAACGATGGTGTCATTGAAAAAGTAGAGGTACGAGGTCGTAGACAATGCTATCTAAAATTTATTGGCATTTTGCTCAAGGTGTAATCTCGTTCTCCCGCAAGTGTTAATGTCAGTCTATCTTCTTCAGCTTTTCAACTCATCTCCCACCAGAACAAGTGTCAGGCAATTCTTCTCTGGGTAAAGAGGGTGTGACAAGGTATAACCCCCTCCTCACCCGGGAGAGTATCCTTTTGTTAAGAGTGCGAGTATCTATTGTAGCAATTTTCTTGCAATTCTTTGATGGATAAATTCAAATGAGCAAAGAGGAGACAAAATCGGGCAATCAACCTCAAGATAACAAAATTCTAACTCTTTTAATTCCTTTTTTGTAGGTAATGCATAATCTTGTTGATCTCAGTGATTTATACTTCTCAGAAGAAGACATCGCAAAAATGTAAGTGGCCCGTCAGGGTGGGACGTTATCGTCATCATTTCCTTATCCTCCTTCGTCCTATTTACAACAAATATAATCCTTTGTGATCATCGCCGTTACAATTAGGGAGACATCACATTTTAATCACTTCCGGGAGTTTAATGGTTAAGACAAGGCTGTAACTATGTTTTTCTTTTTACTAAACGTCTGTAGGTTTGTTGAGCTGAAAGTAGACAAGAATAACAATGGTTTGTATTTTGTTCTTTTTTTTTTTGCTATTCTCCTTGCACTTAACCTTTTTCTTTGGGTATTTAGAAACCAAAGGATGAATTTTTTAACACAATGTAAACTTTCAGTGGCAAAATTTCGATTTAGAGTAATATGGGTCAGATTACTCACGTTGCACTATTTCTGCCGTTAGTTGACAATTAACCTTTTTTTTTTTAAGGTGTTATGGATTTAAAAGAGTTCCTTGCAGTGACGACAAACAAGATTATGAAAAGTCTTCATAACATGGCAAAAAAACTTCCTCGGGTGAAAAGCCGAAACAGTCAGCAAACATGGTTGGATCATCGAAAGATCAAAGGACTCAATGACAGGTAAATAAAAAGAGGTTAAGGGAGTGAATGACAGCCTTTTGTTGACTTTTCCATCTATTTTCCGCACAATTTTGGAAGTTACAAGTTGATCACCTCCTGGTTTTTAAGAGGTAACAGGATGGTCGCGCGACTTGGTGTCAATGGAACTTATGGGAAATTTTTATTTGGAGTATCTTGAATAATTTGCGGTCCACTTAAAAGGTTACTAAAATAGGAGTAGCCAGATTCTGGTAGCCAATATCTAAATTAAAAAAATGTCTAACAAACTTGCTGAAAACTTCAAAACATCTTTTAAAAAAACTTTTTTGCATTAAAAAAATTAATCATTGGCTTTCAGAGTGGCGGCTCTAACAAAGCTTCCAAGGGCAGTTATAGAGGAGAGTGAAGAACTTCAGGTAAGCATTCCGTTTTTTTTTTTTTTTATTGAAAGAATCCATTGATCTATGTTTCCGCTGTGTTTAAGTTAGTAGAGGGATGAGGTGGCGGTGATAATAACCTTTCGTGACCCTTCCCGAATGATAAGTGGCTCGATGCTGTTATTCATTCTTTCTTTCTTTTTCTTTTTTCACTCTTAGGTTGTCCATTACCATCCCGAGGGCCACTATCACTGTCATCACGATTCCCAAGATTTTGAACCGAACGTTCCTTGTTGTGCTTTCCGTGATAGAAGTCACTGTCGTCTTTGCCGGTAAAAAAAAATAGATTACGTGCAGTTTTCATTGGTGCTGCTGCGCAAGCATTTTGCTGGCTTTTCACGAGGTTTACAGAGTCGAGTTAGCCTGCCAGCAATATTAGTACTTCTCCACGAGCGTTTATACGCCCTGGAGCGACTTGAGCGAGGCGAACCCGCTAAAGGTGTGCAAGGGGTCTAGAACCAAGCCCCAGAAAACCTCTCCCCGACTCGTCTCAAATCCACGCGCGGGCGGAGAAACGAACTTCCTGTAGCGCTAATTATTTGCGTCTGCTCGTAAGCTAGAGTCGAACCAGCCCGCCTTGTTTACAGGCGCGAAAACTTACCCACAGGCTAAGAAGTCATATTTAACTAGTGGGTAATCTTCCCCACAAATAATATTCGGTCGGGTCTGGAGAAGAGCTGATGGTGAACTCATGGTGAGAACGTGTATGCAAACTTAATTGTGAGAAATACGGAGAGGGATTTAGATTTTAGTTAGATTCAGTTTCGTTTTAAATTCCATTGGTTTGGTAGGTGGCAGAAATTTCGTCGTACATGTGAAGGGCATACATGTGTTAAGATCCCCTTGTTTGGTCATGTCATGTTAAGCTCTCGTTGGGAAACGAGAAAGATCACATTGCGTGACGCGAGGTAACAAACCTTGGTAGAAGGAGTCTAATCTCTAGAGGATAATATAACTGACTACAGGATATGTTTGAAGTAAATTTTGAAGAGCCTCGATCATTTTCTTACAGGTATATTACAGTGTTGTACTTTTTAAATGATGTGGAAGAAGGAGGCGAGACTGCCTTTCCAGTTGCGGATAATGCAACATTTAGCACAGAGGTAAAAAATAAACAGCAAACAAACGATAACAAAGTTTTTTTTCCTAAACGAATGTGCCATAAGGTGTTAAATTTTACTGTGAAATTTCCCCCCCTGTATTCCAAATTTTAACCCTCAGTACACACAAGCATAAATTACCTCATATGTCAAGTTTGAAAATGTGGGATCTGATCAGTATTTTAGCTGATAAAATAATATTTGATCTTTCTTTGATCGCTTTCCAACTTGATATTCGTCCACGTCAAACACCAAAGAAGTGAAATTATCGCTGTCCACATTTAACCGTTTGTAGACGTTGGTGAAAATACTGGAATTAACTGGAAACGAGATGTTCCTTTTTCAATCTTTCGTTATTTTGGATTTAAGTTTTAGAGGAAAAGTGAACAAAACGAGTGTTCATTTTTCACTGGCGTTTTCCGTTGCCTTAATCTTTCACTCACAAGATCTGAAAGTCAATTCTCTCTCTGTCTTCCTACGTTATTTGTTTTATTTAAGCTCAAAGACTTTGGTTCCCAGTGAAAGAATGTTCACTAATTGGTGCCTTCCTCTCTTCTCATTGTCCATGTGCTTTCAATTCTTGTGATATTGTAAGGAGAAATTCCATTTTGAGCACTCCTGGCAGTGATAGGGTGAAACGTTACGCTTCAACTCAGCATTACGTCGTTCAAGCGAGGAGATAAAATGCATCCATCTCATTTAGGTGTTTTATTTCCTTTGAATCCAGGCGTGGGCGGAGATCACCAAATTTCGCTGCGACCTGAGCAAGCATTGTCACAAAGCCAACTTATTCGTAAAACCTCGTAAAGGAACAGCCATCCTGTGGTACAATCACTTGCGGGATGAAAAGACTGGATGGCACGGGAGACTGGACGAAATGACTTATCATGGAGGGTGTGATATCATCAAAGGAGAAAAATGGATTGCAAACAATTGGATAAATATCCTTGGAGACTCGCGAGAGACTATGGTTTCGTACAAAAATCCTAAGAAAAAAATTAAATGAGAAGCTTTGAATTGTTATTGTTTTAAAATAACACTAAAAAAGATTGTGACCTTGTTCTCAGCGTCTTCTCTCTACTCGTCCTCCAAAATCAAAGAGAGACTGGGGCGGGAAAAAAGGGACTCTGAGAATGTAACTGAACTGGTGTTTAACAATGCACTGACGCCTTTTCTCTCGAATTCATATTTTTTAGCCTTCCTAAAATAATTCTAGCCTCCCCCCCTTTTGCGGTGATTTTCGGGAAGTAATTCAGGGGGTCGTATTTCTCTCAATACACTCGTCAAATCTAATTTTACTACCTTATAAATATTAAGCACCGTACCAGGACTGTTTAAGGTAAGAAAAACTTTTTTTGATGAGTTTTCTCTGTAGAATTCAGCGGTTTTCGACGTTACCCTGGGGTAATTGCCTTAGAATTAATTAAGGTAATTAGAAAAATAATGAAATATTGAAACAGGTAGAAAATTGTTTTTAACAAATAAAATTTTAGTTTATCTTTGGTGTTGCGTAATTTTTGTAGTTGTCTTTTTGTTTGTTTTATTGGATCAATATCAGTATCTAGGCAACTGCCCACCTAGCCTCCCCTAGCTCAATAACAATCAATTGACAACAAGTTGAGGTTAATGTTGGGTTAGGGGAGGGGTAGGTGGGCAGTTGCCCAGATACTGATATTGATCCGTTTTATTTGTCTTTGGTACCTTCATGCTTTGTTCACACTGAGGCCAGAGAACACGTGACCATGGCCACGCCTTTTATTCTGTCTGTTCCATCCACAGTGAATCGCGAACAACATGTTAACACCCAATATCCGATAAGCTATTCTCCCGGCCCTTCCAATTGCTGTGCGTTGTTTTCTTGGAAATTAGTTTAGACAACACATCCCTCTAGTCAGCATTATTTGTCGGACGAGACTATAGATATCGGCCACATAGGTATCCCAGCGCCGCGTGAACGTTGGTCCGCAAATCACACGTAAAATGGGCTTCACCTTTTCAGTCTCAGGGGTTCGAATGACCAAAAGGAAATTTCTCCTTCCTGGTTGATTACATTTCCAAGCGTTCAAGTAATGAGAAGAAAGAAAAGTAGCAACTGTGCTACACAGAGCTGAGAATTGATTTTAAGATCTTTAAACTGATTCAGACAACATGATTAGAACTGGCAGAGGATGAGTGCAATAGTATCCCCCGACCCTGGGACCCTGGGAACCTGATCCTCTTACCCCCTCTTTTTCCTCTTAAAAATTGCAATAAGTAAATACAAGCCTCGGTTTATGAAGGTTTGTTTTCCTAAAAGGAGGGACGAAATTTTCTTGTACCTCTACATTTCGCAAAGCAAGCCTCGGCTTAGCTTCTCCCCACCTAACTACCAACAAACCCTCCTCCATCATTTCATGCAAATTTTAAATCTAAATTGCTGATAATTTTTCTCAAGCACGTGATGATGCCAATTACTATTCAATTCCTCTTAACCTTCGCTGCCCCTTGTTCCATGTTCATGTATGTCTCTCCGAAAAAAGCAACGGAAACTGCTCTATATGTTAAATTGACACGCTTACTGGGACAATTGGTAGTGTTAGCAAGAGTTACCAAGGACTCAACCTATCCAAGAGCGACTCGACTTAAGCTGAAGATGAAAGCAAACTCGAACGTCGCACGTGGTTAATTAAGGTTCCTCCGAGCTTGTCGACTTCTGAAAGACTGCCTCGGTAAGTACAGTTGTTTTGTACACCCCGCTTGAAGAGTTATCGATGTACCTTGTTTTGCGGGATTATGCTTTCTTACATTTCTCATACTGAGTAAATTTGAACTTAAAACTCTGGAAAATTTGCTGAAATAACAGTGCATGTTGTTTATTTTAGAAATAAATCAACGTTTTTGTTCAGAGAAGGCAAGGTAATTTGGCACTATCAACTGAGTTGATAACATAAATTGGCCACCGTAAAGAATTTCTAGGCTGACGTTTCGAGTGTTGGCCCTTCGTCATTCGCTTTGACGAAGAGCTATCGCGAGAAAAGTCAGCTTTAAAACTTTTAATGGTAGCTCATTTACGTTATCAATTCAGTTGATGATACCAAATTACCTCGTTATACCCCCACCGACGCAGCCCCAAAGTTTCTTAAGAAACTTACCCTCTTTATTCATATGTTTAGAGAAGATCTAGAGTTGACTTTAAATATGTGCTCGAGACAAAAAGAATCGTATGTCTGCCTGTTCAAGTAGGAGAGGTGAATTGTCACTCATGCTTGGGCTCAGGACAATGGCTCGCACGCTCAAAGCGCCTCAATTTTGGAATGCAACTTCAAATAGCAATTTTTCAAACTGAAGTGAATAAATAAATCTGGTTTTAGTAAGAGTTTAGTAGAGTTTCTAAACCTAACGTTTAGAGTTTTAACCCTTCTTCAGCGCGAATCTGCAATGTGATACCCCACCGGCGCAGCACCACAGTTTCGGCTTTACAATCTTACCCCTTCATTCATTTGATGTAAATAAAAGTTGAACAATTTGAAAGTTCTACACCCGTACTTCATTATGCAAAAAGCACTAGGGGGAAAGAAAATCCTGGCGCAAATAATAGGTTGTCTCTAAGACAACATCTTTCTTTAAAATAGTAATTTATAATTAAGGGGTTAAACGTAAATATTTCCAAAATATACAATAACAGGTTCTTAGGGTAAATTGTGCCTTGATATTATTTAAGGTTCATGTTGAAGTTCGGGACAAGAGCGTGTGGCCAGGGTTCAAGGGACAGGCGCTGGCGAAGCAGGTTGATGAGCTTATTTTTGACAAAGTAGGAGAGGTATTACAATTTTTTTAAATGTGTTTACATAGAAGTTAAATGCAGATTTTTTTTACCGTGATTATGAATTGCAAAAGTTTTTTTCTGAGCCGTGTTAAAACGCGTGCCATTTTGGAATGTCTTGGAAAAGATTGGTCCCAAAGGTAATCTATTGTTTTCGCAATTTATCAATCAATAGTGTGGGTACCGAATCATGACGTCACATATCTTGGCGCATCTCGTTTCGGTAGAATTTCCAAACAGTGCTATTTTTCAAGGCGAGAACAGAGCTTTGGTAGTGATTTAATTTCCTTGTATTTCGTAATTAATTAATTTTCCTCTCCTTTTGATGTATGTTATAAGTTGTTTATAAGATTATTTGAATTATACGCTCATTTTGATTGGCTTTTTTATTAACTAAAATAAAGCGTGAAGTGTAATGAATGTTTTATTTGTTTTGCTCTCTACAGTGTTACATGTACAATGCACTAAAGATAACAAAGACGTATAGTGTTAAGGACAATTGATAGTACATCATACATCTTTTCTTGCAAATTGATGGCAGTTTTCCTTTCATCGAACAAATCGCGGGAGGACTCAAATATAAATAAAAACTGCCGTGAACTAAAAAACGAGAGATATCACATAAATTGGCTGACACATAAAAGGAAGAAGTTTGAAAGAATGTTTCGAAATAAATTCTGTGAAAATTGCTTGGCTATGAAATAAATCATAAATTCCTATTAGGGCGTTTCCTTGTTTGCCTTTATCCATGACAACGTTATTGCAAATTTCTGTATGCATTTCGTGAATTGTCATTTAATTGTGTCTTAAATTTCTGAAATATTTTGCTTTGCTCGGCAAAGTTCTCGAGAATTTTAGCGTGAATTTATCCCATTAATATAGAGCATTTTTTCGATAACATGGAGGGCAAAATTACTAAATCCTGAAAGGATGAGACACAGGACATTTTTCCTTAATTTTGGTTAGTATCCCAAGCAAATTTACTTGAAATTGAAAACATTGAAAAAAGTTCAAGTTTATTTAATTTCATCGACGACGAATATTTTTTTAGCAGGGCTGATTTTATTGCTTTAGCATCGTGGCACAAAAATACATTTTTTTGTTTAGCTGATTCGTGCGTCTTATGCCCCATTCACACCAAAGCTTAAACATGTTTAAAAGTTGTTTTGTTAAACACAGTTTAATTTTTTTTTTCTTCATAGAAACTATTTAACCGAATATTTTTGACTTTAATGTAGCACATTGGAAATACAAGTTAGCTAGTACTTGAATCCAATGGAAAATCAAGTTTTTCAGTTCTCTGTTTATAATTTTCATTCAATGAAAACCAGTTTAACAAAACATGTTTTGCTGGTGTGAATAGGGTATAATTCATTGACGTTATAACTCAGCGCTGAAATGGCTTCCTACGAAACTACTTGACAGCGTGCGTTTTTGACCTCTTAATAAAAGAAAATTTTGCCCTTTATATCTAGCATACCTTGCTACCTTTATACATAGTATAAATCTTGCAACTTCTGAAAACAAGCATGACGTCTGTCCTTGATTTTTCTCAGCCCAATGCAATTACCTGGACAAATTTTGGTCCCAATTCAATCGCTTATAGAGAGGTTTATTGCTTGTGATGAAAGGTCAAAGTTATAAAACTAGAAGGGCTGGCGTTGTTTATCCACTCCTCCAGAAAAATGCTGCCAGATTTCAATTTAAGGGTACACTCGCTTCCAGCTCACGTTAAATGCGATGAAGTCAAAATATGGGCTTTTTAAACTGTAGGAAACAATTTACAGTCTTGACTGTGTTGTTTCTCTATTCATTAAAGACAAAAAAAAAAGATGAACTAATGAATTATCTCATGGTAGCAAACTTATTTGTTTGTCTGGATAACTTTATTTGTAATTCTTTTGGAATACAATTCTAAGATTTCAATTTTTACAAACATTCACACTACTTTAACTTAATGATAATCATTTTCATGTTTCATATTTTTTTTATTTGTAGGACGTGAAGTGGTACATGCTGAAGAATAATCCACCGAGAAGCCACCAAGTTTTTAGTTTAACTATCAATCAATGCATTGTAATTAATAAAGAATGACTAAGCTTGTTTCTTTCTAACGATATCATGATGAAAAAGCAAAAGCAAGTTTTCGGTTGGAGACACTGTGCGCTTTTGAAAGGAGTTTGTAATTTGCATAAACAAAACTAAGTCCATCAGCGGGAAAAAAGGGATGTGCTTATTAGTTTCCGTTTTAGTTTCCGTTTTGGAGAGAGTTAAAAAAAGCTAAGTCTTTTGGTGGGATTTTTCTACTTTTTTTGTGTATGGATGGTTGCCCAAAGGAAAAAAATGTCTGCGCTCTTGAATCAAGTCTAGTGTTGATTGAAATATATACTAAGTCTTTTGGCGGGAAAAATTTTGCATGTGCTATAGATTTTCTCCCATCAAAAGTCGAGTATATGTTTTTTTCAATGCCAGACGCTGTTCAAATCCGCAGAATTTTTTTCCTCTCGGCAACCCTCCATACGCAAATTTTTTTAAAAGAGATAGCCTATATTTTGACTAGTTACCAGGCTCCTTTTAAAAGCGCACAATTTTTTTTAATACTTTGTTGGTAAATAAAAGAAGACTGATTTGTTCATCATAATTTGTTTTATTTCATTTTGAATAAATAATTTAAATGCTGATTACAAGAGTTTGTTTACTGAGTTAAATTAAGTAAAAATACAATAAAAGTATTTAAGAAAATTATTACTAGTCAAAGATTCAGTATAAACTGCGATAATGGGAAAAACAAAGACAAATTTCTAAGTGATACTTCAGATCGACTGACCAAAATAAATGATTTTGCAAGTCAGTCAACTGTAATATTGACAAAATTGGTTGAAAAATATAACTAAGCCAAAAAGTCAGTTTGACTGACCAACGTAACGAAGTCTAATTGTATTGTTTACAGAATTTTACAGGAAAAGTATGTTGAAGTCGAATTGACATGCTGAAAAAATTGCTTAAATCAATTTACATGTAAAAGTTGCATAAAATTCTTAAAGATGTTTCTTAAAGTACATTTGGGTGAAGGAGAATTTTCAGTCTAGAAATTTGGCATATCTTAATGGTAAACATTTCATTGCAGTTTCATGAAAGTATGGTGCTAGCTGCTGAATTTTTTGGTTCCCAATATCAAAATATTAATTGCTTGCCTGATAATTCCTTGAAGTTAGTAATAGAGATTTTGTTTTTCCGTTCTATCAATGGTGCAGTTGTTTTAAAAAAATGGCACCAAACAACTGTAAAGATTTTTGTGAAAAAATTGCTCGTAGCTTTTAATACTAACATATAGAATCTCACCTTGGCTTAGAGGTTTTCGCTTGTGATCGGTTAGAAAAAAATTTCGTTTTATCCTACTCGCAATTTTCTGTTCTAGAAAAATTTGGATGAATCTAAATTTTGGCAAAGAAACTATGGTATGGATATAATCTATTATGTACCTAGAGATGACTGTGCAAAACGCAAATCCTGCTTGATCCACAGACTTCTTCATGTCAGAGCTGTCAATGTCCATCTGAGTCCACTATGCACAATGCTTGCGATTCCATGGAAATCCGACGTAGTATAATGCGACACTAAAAATGAACAAGAAACTACCAATGAGAAACTCAAGAATGTCGTAATCACGTTAACCCCTTAACTCCCAAGATCTGATTGTTAATTCTCCCGTCTAGCTACTACACATTTCCTTGTAAATTGGTTACGAGAATTTGGTGTTTAATCAAAGTAATAGTGATGAGTTTGAGTATTCTCATTACCTGTTTGCTGAATAATGTATGGTATTGTAGAGAGAAGTTACATGTTTATCACTCATGGGAGTTAAAGGGTTAGCTGATAAATTAATACCCTTGGATAGCCTGAGCAAGAGAATGAAGCGAGTTTCTCCTTTGAATTTTACGAGCTAGCAAAAATTACTTTCTCTTGGGTCATACTCGCTAAAGCCGCCATCAAATTTTCACAGAATCTTATTTTTTACTTGATAGAATAGTTTGAATCTAACTACAAAAAGACAGGAGTGAAAACTCTCTTGCATGAATATGTGAGAAAATCGTGCTATTTGTGAATTCATTTGCAATTAAATTGTAAATTCCACAATGTTGTTCTTAGCTGACAGATAACTCCTTTTCAATTTAGAGGGGAGAAAAACAGATAAAGTGTGCACTAAATATTGACAAATTGAAGAAGCTGAAATTTTTTTTAAACAATGTACTATGGGCCAGTCTCAAACGTAAATAGCAAAAAAATTAAAACAAAACCTTGCCGAAAATGGCTGGGCAGCCGTCCCGTGGGGCGAGTTTGATTTGCATTTCCAATGAAAACAATATGGCGGCCGTACTAAATGTGACCCCGTGAAGGTTATTCAAGGTCAGCCCAACGGGCATGAAGTGTAGACAGGTAATCAGCGCCAATTTCATTTCCTTGAATTTTACCGACACGACTAAGAATGACCGTGACAACGACAAGAAATAATAATAATGATAAGGTGGTATCTAAATAATGAGATATGAGGCTCTGCGGATCTCTTACCAAAGACAGACTCACGCGATCTGTTTCGATTCTGCACAGAGTGTAGATCGAAATCTAATCTTCTTTATATCTGTATTTATTTGTTCCTGAAGATGATTTCTTAAGTAATTTTTTCTTTTGAGATCAACAAAATGATAACTCAGCACGTTTTTGTTCCAAATTTCTTTTTCTTTCTGGTTTCGTTAAATTTCATCAATTTACTTTCGGGGTTTTCTTTAAGAATGTTATAATAACCCAATAAATATGATATCAAAATAAACAATGATTTCAAAAAAACCGATTACTTGGGTCCACTAATTTAAAAAAAAAAAAGGAAAAAAGAACTCACCATTTTATTGGTCCATTTGGTGACACAGTTTGAGGGGCTATAGGTCAGCGGACACCATTCACTTTCACTGAACTGCAAAAGAAAAAAGTAAATTTTTAGACAAATTGAGACATGGGAAATTATGATCTAGATCAAAATTGGTAAAGAAAATTTTGTACACAAAAAAAAACTCTCTGAAGCTCACCTTTGCAACTGACACATGTCAAAGATATCTCAATCATGCAGCCATGTTTTTTGTCAAAGATCCCTGGAGAACTAAGACCTGAATAGAGATGATGATATGAAATCAGTTTACAAACAAGTATAATTTTTAACCATAACTAGATAAGAAAAACTGTACATTTTGAAAAATGGAGGATACCGTTGTGAATATTTTTCTTAAAACAATTCTAATTTCAATTGATATAGGACCATTTGGTTCGTCAAGGTGTATTTTGCAAACATCGTGTATTGTAATTGTATCAAGACTTGATATTTCCAAAATGGATCGTTAAATTTTGCATGAAATTTGACGTAAAATAATTCTTTTCCGACTGAAATGGTGAAAAAAACTGCCACTCAGAGAGATTCAGAAGTAAGCGTACCTTTAATGAAGAAATTGTAAAGGGCACCAAAGAGCTGCCACAAATATCTCACTCGTGAAACAGGGACAACAAATAAGGCTTGATATTGAAGCGCTAACCATCGAAGCAGTAGTTTCTGTGCTTTTATCAACCTGAAAAATACCAGTGAAGGTCTTTCAGCTCAAAGGTTTCGTAGAGTGTATTTGTAGTTAGCGTCTTTCCTAACACGTGTTGCATTCCTTGGCCTTCGTATCGTTCAATTGAGTCCAGTTAGAGTCTTGCAGTCGTATGGTGCGTCTGTCGTTCTTCATGGACGTAACCGCCTTTCTCTTAGTTGGGAAAATGACTAAGAATGTTGCATTCCTCTGGAAAACTTCAACCGAGAGGAAGCAATGGCGGACGGCAAGCTGAAGTGCTATGAATAATTACCTTTGGATTAAGCACGTGGTAATGTAAATTTCTCACAGTTTTGCGTTTAGTCTCGCATCCTGATACACCCAATGGTATCGTTATCGTAAAGATTTTTTTTCTCAATCCTTCTTTCTACTACTCCAAAGACGTGCCTCACGTAAATTGGCTTATACCGCTGAGCTCCCTTGCGTTTCAATTCATTTTACTTGACGAGAAGACCAGAAAATTGTCGTGCATTTTCGCCACCTAAATTTTAAGTTTCGTGTATTTTTGAATTAGAAAAATTGTTTCTCATGAAGGTGGGAGAGAAGGGGGGAGGTCAAAAGCAAACCTTAACCCCTTTGCTACTACCCCCTCTACAACACAAATGGAAGATCTCTTTAAAAACTTCAAAGCATTTTAATTAAGCTAATAACAACGCGTAGCGATTTAATCCAGCTAAAAAGAGTAATTACTATAAATAAACTAATTTACTTGACTTTTTTTCTGACATATGGGATTCAGCTAATAACTTTTCTAAAAATTTAACTATTATACTGTCACGTACAAAATATAGTTCAAAGTTGGCATTCAGAGATGTAGGAAATTTTATATATACGGTTAGTGATCTCCGTGAGAACGAAATAACGAGTAATTGACCTCTTTATTTTTCAGTTGTGTTGAAGTTGTTACCAGAATAAAATAATTGTTTTAATTTGTGTGCCAAAATGCCCAGAAGATCTGACAACGGCCACCAAAATCAGACGCAAAATAACACAGTGAGTTAAAGAAAACTGTATGGTTAAATCAAAGCTTGTACTTGCAAATGATTAGTTGAGTAGAGGACGAAAATCTGTAGCCAATCATAAGACGTGAAGGTAGCACGAACTTTACATGTATCATAAATACAATTACTCTAACTATTCAAAATACTTGTTTTTAGTTTCTGAATTGTTTCAACAAGTAAAGTAAAGTCAATTGAAATTTACATCATGCTAATCATTTCTGTTCTATTTTTCCTTTCGGGCTTCTTTTTCCGTAAGGTTTTGTCCACGGGATTTATCTTCCCCGTAAGTTTCCTCCTCCCCACGATTATCTTTCTCCCCAGGGTTTTTTTCTTCAATGCGATTTTGTTCAGCACCTCGGTTTGAAGTCTCTTCCGCCGCTTGCAAACTGTCGTTACCGTATGTTTCTTCTTTCCCAGGGTTTTCTTCTGTCCCAGGGGTTTCCTCTTCCCCACGGGTTTGCTCCTCCCACGGATATCGTTCCAGTCTCTCTTGAAAATCTTTCTCCGCCAATCTACTAACCTCCCAGACTTTTATATCAGTTTCACGATCGTTCCCAGCATTAATCCAATTATTTGCTGCCCATTTTGTTCCCTTCAGGACGTCACATCCACCATGATAACTCATCACATCCAGGGGGCCCAGCCAGCCTGTTTCTTCGTTGATAAGATGATTGTACCAAAACAAGGCGGTGCCACGCTTTGGTTTGTAGTACAAGTTGGCATCATAACAATGGTCACTTAGGTCACACTTGTTCACTCCACCATCCATCAGCGACTAAAATGAATAAAATTAAGAGAGATTCAAAATATGAAAGGAATTGAACCCAAGACTGGGTTAATGACAGGGAACATAGAGGACGAAGGACGGAAGGAAACAGAGGGGAACCAAAGAAAAGAGGGAGAAAAGAACGAAGACACTAAGGCACGAAGGAACGAAGGAACGAAGGAACGAAGGAACGAAGGAACGAAGGAACGAAGGAACGAAGGAACGAAGGAACGAAGGAACGAAGGAACGAAGGAACGAAGGAACGAAGGAACGAAGGAACGAAGGAACGAAGGAACGAAGGAACGAAGGAACGAAGGAACGAAGGAACGAAGGAACGAAGGAACGAAGGAACGAAGGAACGAAGGAACGAAGGAACGAAGGAACGAAGGAACGAAGGAACGAAGGAACGAAGGAACGAAGGAACGAAGGAACGAAGGAACGAAGGAACGAAGGAACGAAGGAACGAAGGAACGAAGGAACGAAGGAACGAAGGAACGAAGGAACGAAGGAACGAAGGAACGAAGGAACGAAGGAACGAAGGAACGAAGGAACGAAGGAACGAAGGAACGAAGGAACGAAGGAACGAAGGAACGAAGGAACGAAGGAACGAAGGAACGAAGGAACGAAGGAACGAAGGAACGAAGGAACGAAGGAACGAAGGAACGAAGGAACGAAGGAACGAAGGAACGAAGGAACGAAGGAACGAAGGAACGAAGGAACGAAGGAACGAAGGAACGAAGGAACGAAGGAACGAAGGAACGAAGGAACGAAGGAACGAAGGAACGAAGGAACGAAGGAACGAAGGAACGAAGGAACGAAGGAACGAAGGAACGAAGGAACGAAGGAACGAAGGAACGAAGGAACGAAGGAACGATGGAACGATGGAACGATGGAACGATGGAACGATGGAACGATGGAACGAAGGAGCGAAGGAGCGAAGGAACGAAGGAACGAAGACATGAAGGCACGAAGGAACGAAAGAACGAAGAAACGAAGGAACGAAGGAATGAAGACACGAAAGGAACGAAGGAACAAAAGAATGGAGGAACGAAGGAACGAAGGAACGAAGGAACGAAGGAACGAAGGCACGAAGGCACGAAGGCACGAAGGCACGAAGGCACGAAGGCACGAAGGCACGAAGGCACGAAGGCACGAAGGCACGAAGGCACGAAGGCACGAAGGAACGAAAGAACGAAAGAATGAAGGAACGATGAAACGAAGGAACGATGGAACGAGGAAATGAAGGAACTGGAAAATAGCATGGAACTGGAGGAACCAAAGAAGGAAGAGACTTACGAACGAAGAATGGTTAGTGTTTGTGCGTGAGAAATTTCTCGTAACTTGAAGCAATAAGAAGCTGTTTAGCATGAGATGACTTACAGATGTTAAAACGACTCTCGCATTCTGTCAAACAAATGAAACTCTGATTCAGATGAGTTTGCAGTGAATCGAGAATTGATTAAAAAGGCTTGTAAAAAGAATTGTGAAAATTAACTGTTAACTCTGAGAAATCTACTTTTACAATTAACTCAGGTCAATAACCCCATAGCAATTTTCAGTTTAGTGTGATTCCTTTGTTCTGATTGGCCTTTGCCGTTACTTTCCTTTGTTTTCACGACACTTAATCGAAAAGCGCTCTTTGTAATCGTCAACCATTAAGTTGATGTCAACGTTTATTGTGCCCCTCGAAGGAGAAGTGGCGTTTACCTCTCTGAACTTTCCAATTTTTGTAACATTTTTTAACAACATCGATGCTTTTTTTTTTAACTAATATAGATCTCTGCACACATTTGTCATGGCATCTGCGGCTATACTAAATCAAAAGAGAATAAAACAATGTAGTTTATGCTCCCGGGTATAAATATGTTTTGGGCCTGACTAAGGGTCATTTTAGCCCGGGTCGCTAAGCGAGGGCTTACGTGACTCTGAAAAGGGCACAAAACAAATCTATGCCCAAGGATATCAACTCTATTAATTTCATTATCACTATAAAGGGCATTGTGAAAATAGAGAGTGAAAAAAAACAAACAAACAAACAAACAAACAAAACAAAAACGAAACAAAACAGCCAAGCGAGCGTACGAGCAATGATAATAATAGTGATAACAATATAGTTTATGTATTCGATAATTATGGCAAAGAATTCAACATACTTCATTTACTGGTACAGTTTTGTTGTCGGCAATAGGAAATGCAGTCTCACCACCCAGTGTAGGTTCATTTAGATAATAAAAGAACGTCAAATACCTAACAAAAAAGACAGAGAAAAACATTGCAGCTGTTGGTAACAAACGTGTTGTTTCTGTTTCATTGCCATCCATTCCCTTTAATTTTTTTATCCGTCCCGTTCCCGTTTTGTTTCCATCCCTTCCCATTTCCTGCCCTTCCCCCTTCCCAATTTCTATCCATCCTCATCCCATTTTTATCCATCTTCTCTCATTTTCTATATATCCAACCCTTTCCATTTTCTATTCATCCCTTCCCATTTTCTATCCATTCCTTCCCATTTTATATCCATCTCTTCCCATTTTCTACTCACCCCTTCCTGATTTCTACCCATCCCCTTCTTATTTTATATCCAGCCTTTTCCGTTTTTCTATCCATTCCCTATCATTTCCTATCCATCTCTTCCCATTTCCTATCCATTCCCTTATCATTTTCTATCCAACCTTTTCCATTTTCCACCCATCCCCTCTCATTTCCCACCCATTCCCTTCCCATTTCCTACCTACCCACCCCCTTCCCATTTTCTATCCCTTCCAATCCCATTTCAAATTTTGTTCTCTATTTCACCTCATAACACATACGTTCAATCATCGGACGTTGTCGAATAACGGTTTCGTTTACCTTTGCCACATAACGCACTAACCTTGCAAACATTTCAGGGCCGACTAAAGCATTTAAGGTTTTAAAGTTCGACGATGACAACGCGATGACAAAATCATAACGTGCTCTTGATTAAACTTCAATTGAAATTGTGGACAATAAACTTCAGGGACACATTTTGCTTGTTCAAATTTCATTTAATCTGTACCCCTGCTTTTTAGGCCCACCTGCACGGAATACAATCCATATCTTCTAATTCACCCTCATCAAGAGTTTCAACTTGATGACAGCAAGGCAAAAGTTTTTCCAATTCGTCGTCTGAATCATAATGGCAGTGATAATGTTGCTTCTCACGATACCTAATGACCTAAAGCATTAAAAACGCGTTATAATGATAACGATGACTGTAACGGTAACGGTAATAGTACGGCATCAATAGATGTCAATCTTATCATGTATGAAATAATGGCAATGTCGATATGAAAGGCTTTAACAATGGAAATAATGTTGTCATCTTATAATAAGATCAAAATCCAAAGTTCTAATGCGCTCTGAGATATAAAAAGATGTAAAGAAAGCCCCGCCTAACCAATGGGCCTGAAAAATTTTAAACTTACGAATTAGTATTGGGGGTCTGAGTTAAATAAAAATTCAACCATTCCGTTTCTTTTCCCGATATTTTCATAATTTAAATTTCAAATCCAGTTACCATCTCGACCCTGAGAGGAAACACGGCAAAACAAAAGGCAACTTTTCTGTGCCGGTTACAAACGAGACTTTCGAGAAACAGATCTCAGTTGAGTAGACCTAACGGGAAGTAAAAGGAAGGGGGGAGCACAGTTGATAGGGAAGGGGGTACACTGTTTAGAAAGAAAGGGGGGACAAAGTTAACAAGGAAGAAAGAACACAGTTAATAAGGAAAGGGGGAACACAGTTAAGAGGGAAGGGAGGACACAGTTGATTGGGAAGGGAGGACACGGTTAACCGGGAAGAGGGGCACTGTTAATAGGAAAAAGGGGGCACAGTTAATAGAGAGAAACACCTAAGACGTGGTGTTTTCGCTTGTAACTGCATAGTGTGTTTATTACGTTAGAAACACAAACCTGCATGTCTTCACTGCTCCAGATCATATCTCTAGGAAGACGTGTCACTAAGTGTATTCTGTAGAAAAAATAAGTAAAGCAGGGAATAAGGAAGTGACAGCCATAACCTCAGTGGAGCGAAACTACAAACGCCAAAGTTATTACGTGAAAGACAATACAAAGGATGTTCGAATTCGCGTTGGCATGCCAAACGTAAATATCTCACTAGAACAACCCATAACTACGATTTTCAAATTTTCAAAACATTCCACGACTTATAAGTATATTCACCCTGCACTTATAGAATTTCCACGTTAAGGGACGGCTATTCCCCCCCCCCCCCCCCCTTCAATGTGTCTTCATAAATGGTTCCATCGAAATTTTAGTTTTATTTGAATTCTAGTAATGCTCGTTTTCTGAAGTGAAGAAGAAGCATTCTCTCTGGGTGGAAAAGCATGGGAAATTTATAATAATGAATGGTGTAAAATACAAAACAGTGCACTCTACTCTGCATCCCTTTCAGTTTTTTTTTAAGTAACCTCTTGGTATATACAATTTTTCAAGTAAACAGATGCCACAATTTTTCGGCTTCCCAGGTTTTCATAACATGCTCACTTAAATGCTCTTAGTTTAGTAGTTTACGAGTTTCTAACAACTGTGTGTGTTTATTTCTTCTAGATGAGATTTATGTCATTGTAATTCACAGAGCTAATTTTGAAACGATTCAGCCACTAAAAGTCATACGTTGAAGTAAAACTATTAGTAAGATATTTGTAAAGAACACTACACACTTATTTCAGGAGGGGGGGGAGTCCAACACAGATGTATAGATTATTGATTTTTCACATCAGAGAGGGTTCCAATACACCCTTGGAACTCACCGCCCTTAACCACGCCCTAAGATCGTAAGACGTACCTCTCTCGTAGACTATCAAATAGTGGTTTAAAATCGATGTGCTCGTAGGGATCAAGAAAAGCAGTGCTGCTATCTCGAGTTCGCTTATTTGGCTTTGTTTGATGAATTTTCTCCAAGTAATGCGTTATGTCTTTCATCTTGCTGTCTGTTGCTAATTTTATGAATTCGTTGTATGTTATTACACCTGGCAGAAGGTTATTGGTAAAAAAAATAAAAAGAAAAAAATTAGTCACCACATAAAAGTATCTACGACTACAGCTGGGCATAATAAATAATCATATTTAATTGGTGTTTATTAGAGCGACAAAAAAGACACGTTCTCCCTTATCACTTTAACTCTCATAAGTGACAAAAATAAAATTTCTCCTTACAATATTAACACGATATTAAGCAGATAAGTGATGAGAATAAAGAAACATATCGATAAGTGGATTATTAATGGATACAATACCAAATTCTCCGAACTAACATCATAAGAATCATATGGCAGACAGTAGGGAGAATTATGAATGAAATCTTGGGATTGATAGGGTAAAGCGTCCCATTATTTAATGCTGAATTTTTTCCTTTACATGTGATGTGTAGGTGTAATTATCAGTCGATGAAGTTTTCACACCACTTCGTTTAGCCCCACAGCCACGTGACTTGCAAATACCTGCACAAAATTATGATCTGCTCAAGCAGTAATACCATCAAAGAGTTTTTCTTTCCTTTTTTTTATTCCTACAAATTATATTTTGCTAATGCATTGCAGATTCACTAAGGAGCGAGCGTGCAAACTGACAGATTTATTCTTTAGGCTGTCTGGCACTGATTTCCGAAAATAATTCTTACAAGACATTCAGTTGATAAGACAACTATTGAATTCCATTGTCGCAAAATATCAGAATTTCTCGTTGCCTCTCAAGTTACCTATTCACCATAGCCTTTGGCCTTGGCAATTAATCAAACTTTTCTTTTTTGATAATTTATAAAATTTCACTCCGCCTTGTCCAATAATTACTAACTTACTCACCATCATTGTTTGGGTCCATGGTTAGGTCTTTCATGCTGCAAATGTATCGAAAAACGAAAAGTAAATATTTTAAGACTATTCCATAAAAACCTAGGTTATTGCTTAGAGAGTTCGAAGTCTCCCTCACTCAGTATGTTATATTTTTACGCTAGGTAACCTTCTAGGGTTTTTGAATAACAATCATTTGAGGTTTTTAAGCCAGGAGAGTAATTTTCATTTAGAATATCTCAGAAACTTGTGAAACGGTCAAAATTGCATGAAGTATCAAGCGATGTGAGTTGGAAACAACATACATTTTCTTTGTAAATTTTTCGTCGACAAGAACTCTCCCCAGCTCCATGAGAGCCTGAGAAATCTGTGGAAAAATAAAAATAAATAGGGTTAAAACAGTTACTCAGCAATTGATATACTTACTTCTCTTATACCTCTCATGAATATTTATATAGCGAGGGAGGTTCTCCAACAATTGTGACTACATTGGTTTTTTTTCCCAGGAAAGATAAGCTCTAACAAGGAATTAACAACAGTTTAGCGAATATCTATCCGAACATTTAGCTCAAATACATTCCTTAGAGATAGGGAGCTGATGAACGAATGTGTGGGCCCACTGCCATGACAACGAATAGGAATAAGTTTTTTTTACGATAACTCAGTCTAAGGGTTTAAGCTTGATGAATAACAGTTTCACAAAATGCTTTTTTCTCCCTCAAATATTATCATTTTATGATTATTAAATATTCAATTCAATTTTGAGAGGGCATGCAGAAAGAGAAGAACTTATTGTGTCAGTTGGCTAAAAGGTCATACTAGAACGAAGGTCTCATACGAACAAGTTACTGCCCACCTACCCATCCCCTAACCCAACATTAACCCTAACTTGTTATCAGTTGACTGTTGCTGAGTTAGGGGAGGAGTAGGTGGGCAGTTGTCCAGATACTGATATTTATCCCAAGTTAATATCACAAGACGTCACGAGAAATTTGCTGTAATAAGCAAATAGAACTTCACCAAAGTACCTTGTAAATGACTAAAGAGGGTAATTTCCTGAAGAAACTGTCCGCTGCGTCGGTGGGGGGGTTTTAAAAAATAATTTGGTTTCATCAAATGAGTTGATAACGTAAACTGGCCGCCGTAAAGGGTTTCCAAAGCTTCAGAAACTCTTTACGGTGGCCAATTTACATAATCAACTCAGTTAATAAAACCAAACTATCTTGTAAACTCCCTTACGCGTACAGTTGGAAAAAGGAAGTAAGTTTGTCACAATAGGTTTTAGTCTTCTATTTGCCTGGTCGAAGGTGGGGCGCGACGTCTTCAGACAAGTCGCAGAAGACATTAAAGCAAAGCTAAATCAATCCCAGATTACTTTCGACATCAATTGAAACTTTCTCTGTAGTGGACGAGTATTTTGTAAGCATACATCTATCACTTACCTCTGCTACGTCTATACTTCCATCAGCGTTTAAATCGAGATTCTGAAAAGTTTCTTCAGGATTCTCTGGCACATTTCTTTCCGCGGTTCTGTTTGGACTTAGTTCCTCGCCTTCGGGTACTTTTTCTCCAAGAGTTTTAGATCGCTCTAGACCTTGTGTTTTCGCCATGAATATAATATCATCACATTCCTCTTCGCTAAGGAAATCTTCGATTTCTGAGAGAAAAATGGAAATAGATTTGCACTCGCAAGTAAAATTTGGAATGGAAATGATCTTTTACAACGTAAGGTGTGTTTAAGGCAAATGTGGCTACTAAGGCAGACTCATAATGGACGTGGTCCATCTGTCTTATCTTGATTTAACTTTGTTATAAAAAGGCCACCCTAAGAAAGCTTGTTGAACAACCTTTAGCAAAGGATTGTGGGACAGAGGCTAGACGCGGGGAGTAGCCAAACTGACTAGCACCTGATCAACTTAAATCAACGGCGTTCTCTGACCTTATGTGCATAGACGTACGATGAGGACTAACTAAATGAAATAACAGAGACAATACGATCGGCCTGATTGGTCAAAAAACCCGGCTATCGCTTTTTGCACCAGTAAACCAGTAAAAAATTAAATTTTATTCCATAAAAGCAATAGACCACACTTTCTATCGGTTTATCTGCTTAATAACCCACTTTGGATGTTGGATGAACACAAGAAAAGTTTATAAATCCTTTATCTCGTGTTCTCCCAACATCCCACGTGGGTTAAAACGCCGGTAAACCGACCTCCTAAAGGAACTATACCTGCACAGACGTCGAATAGGTCTATGTTAAAGAACAAGGTCTGATAATCTTACCGAAAAGGGCGGGTCGTAAACTGAGTGTCCTCATTGTATGTACTTTCCCAGGGACCAAATTTAGTTCACGCACATAACCAACCTATAAGGAAATAAAGGAAATGTTTAGAACGTGACTCTCATACCAAGTGAGAAATTCGGCATACGCAGAGACGATGTGCTTTGCAATACTAAGAAATAAGTACCTGTTTCGTTTGATTTTGCTGACTTCCTGATCCAAAACGTTGATATAAACTGAACAAACTTAGCCGTTTACTGCTTAAGAATTATTGTAGGTATCTCGAGGGACTCAAAAGGGTTAACGTGTTAATGTTAGCCGTAAAATGGCCAAAACAGTTACCCTTTAGGCGTGAAAATTGAGATTTCAGTCGCAAAAAGTTAACCGTGAACATTTTTCCCCTTATTCGATCAAAATCTTCTACAGTTTCATATTCATTATATTTCTATATATATAGTAATATTGTCACTGAAATAATATGCTATATATATAGAGAATAATGCATGGGCGCGCGTAGATATGGTATTTCTCTTCGAATGCCGGTTTACCTCGACAGCTCACGAGTGAGCTTATATAAACACAATAGCCTTTAACTGACTAGAAAAGTCGACTTTTTTTAATCATTTGAATGACAATCCCCAAATAAAAATCGTAAAGTGTGTTGGCGCACTCAAGATGAAAACATGTGTTGAATCACTACAAAGACAAACAATGGGCCTACTTTTCAATATACAAAATTCTCAGTTATTGAATTGGTACACGGCCAAAATCGGCCTGTGGCAAATCTTTTAGTTGTCGACTTTCGTTGTCAGCCGCGAGAAATGCCATTACCAAAGCCATTGATAACGTAACTTTCGGTTTTTCTTTTCGTATTTTGGTTTTCTTTCCCTTTTACGAAAGTTTGAACATCACTGTCTGCAAGCGATACGGATTTTTCAGTGTTTTTAGCAGCCATAATCCGAAAACATCTGACAGGAGACCTTGGATTGAGAATGGTAAAGGCTTTGCCGTTCATTCATCAACCTGACCAAGTGGCGTGAAAGGCGAATGACGTGTCAACAGCTGATTGGTGATATCAAACATGCGTGAAAAAATATTGTGTTTTGTCACGCGTTTTGTTGCGGCTTTTCTCAGGGCTGGAAATCCAAGTATAGCACCGAAGTTTATAAGATAAATATACATAAACACCTAATTCGATGGTTTAACACATAATACGCGCGGATATTTTGCAAGTTGTATGGTATTTTCCAAGCCCCGAAAGAGCGGGGAAAAATACGTGCAATGACCAAAATGTCCGCCCACGTTGTAAGTTAAATTAGGGATTTATTATTTCACTATTATTTCACTTTTTAAAAATTTAATTTTAGTTTGCTTGTTTTTTCATCGCATAAGGAGTACGCGGACTGACGAAAACAACATGAACGAAATCATTAAAGTGTTCTTTCCGACTTACAAAAAAAATATGCCGCGCATAAACGTTCGTTTCTTTAAAAGTAAAGCCTAAAAAGCGAAAAAAAAATCTTTGGGTCGTATCAGTACGGCCATTTTGTTTCTCCGTATTTTTATCCCTGTTCTACAGTGTAATACCGTGGCATATTTTGTGCGTTCTTGTGACTTCATTTGGTAAAATGACATAAAAGTGAAATAATAAATAACGTTTGTTTGTAAATTTGTTCATTATTCATCCCACAATAAGTGCGGAGTAATCTACGGGTCGTAAATGTGTTTTAGAACAATCAATCAATTATATACGTTTTTTAAAAAATTAAAATCAATTTTTTTATTTACCGTAATAGAAAGAACTTAACCATTAGCCGTAAAGTTTTAACTGTAAAAGCTATCACTCTTGAGACCTTTGAAATAACCTTCGTTACTTACCATCAACAAATACCAAATGCAACTTAATATCAAATAGGAGTGTGGAGGTGAGTGATCTATTTATTTTGACAGTTATCAAAAAGAGAAATCGAACAATTTACTTATTTTCCTTGCTCTTAAACTCAACATAAGGAAAAGCTGTTCTCTTACAGAATTCCTTTGTTTAGAATATGAACTGAGTGATATAAAACACACGACTCTAATATTCAGACGAGAAGCATCATCTCGTTAAACGTCTGCTTTTTACCACTTGTGCGCTAAAACCCAAAAACAACGTTTGAAAAACTCATCTTTTTTTCTAGAGAGTCTTTTTTTAAGGTTACAGGAAGAGCGAGTACAAAAATATTATTTTTGCCGTTTTTCAGTTTCTTTTTTTTTAATTACGCCAAGGAACACTCACCAACCTCGCGGCTTTGGCAGCCGGAGATCTTTTAAATTGTGCGCCGCCCTGCTGTCGCCGGTGATAAACACGAATTTTCCAGTTAAACACCATTGGCGAACTGTTAATACTAAAAAGTATTGCACGTAATTTTTAAAACAGAATACATGTATATTTAAATTTCTGTCGTTTCCTGAAGTTTGTTTTCAAAAACAAAAAAGCACTGAGTTAAAAGTTCACCATATCATAATCATATTTTTCATAAACTAAGTTTTTGTTGAAGTTATTGTGTTTTGAATGTCAGGTCAACTTTCTATAACAAAAGACTTCGTAATACAATTCGTAAACGAACCTCCATGACGCGCATTGGAAAATATGGGAAATTCGTTCACCCGATATTTACACAGCTGGTGTACTTAGGCGAGTAAAACCTATATCTCAATTCGAAATGTTAATTCAGCTTAATGCAGCAGACATTTCTCAAGATTCATTACAAAAAGGAAAACACACGAATTGCGTGAAACTGAAAAAGGAAGTTTATATATTTTTTCGTTAAAAAGATGCTTCTTTGATAAATTTTCCTCACTTTTTACCAATACGTAAGACAACAGAATCATTAACGCCAACAAAAAGAACTCATTGGACACCTTAAGCCTGATGATAAGTTGAATATGCGAATCCCAAATTACCTGTTTCACATTTGCATGATATGTTGTAAGAATATAATTTATCTTTTTCTAAGAGACCGACTCAGTTAATGATATATTATTATGACACATTAAAGGCAAACTAAAAAAATTACTGTATTGTCGCCCACTTTATTTCGAACAAGAAAAGCTGTATATCTTGTTATTTTTCGAACAGGCTTTCATAAAAAAAAAATGCCATATAACTTCATTCGCCCAAATATATCAATTCATAAAAAACTGAAAAAAAAATGGACTGTATTACACTTCACTGTATTGTCTAACACGGCTTTATAACGCACATTCGAATCGAAGATCAAGGAAATCTTCGCTTATTTCCTAAGTGTATGACTTTAAAACAATGCCTTGTGATGAAAAAACATACATTTTAGGATACCATTCTCAAACTATCAATAACTGTTTCTCTTCCTTTTGAAGCATCTCTTTTCAAAATAAATGGAACCTACTTACAGTTGATATACATTTCGTTACTTTTCTTTTTAGGCACACAGTTTACTATTGCTAGCGTCAAAAATATAAATCGATCATTACACCGGGGCCTTCGTTACTGAGGATTTCTGTTTACTGAGGTTCTTTTCCGTTCAATTTATTATTATTCGGCGATAGAAAATCGCTCGTCACATTTAAGTCTTCGTGATATCGAACTGAACTGTAGTTTACTCGTCATACATGTGCGTACGTAGATCTGGTTAACGCGAAAAAAAATTAGTATTACATGAGTATTGTTCTACCGTTTACCTCCACTGGGTCAATTCGCGGCAACCTGTATAGACTCTGCTCGTTATCTGTAACTCGTCCGCCTGTAGCTGTCTCTGACATGTTCAGTTGCGTCTCTGCGACAATGTTCCTGTTAAACCAACATCTCAAAGCTACTGATAAGATCACAACTGCGATCGAGACATATGACAAACGTTGGTAAACTGGCTTTAGCGAAACTTTCAACATTTTTGACAATAAAACGCCGCGTGAAACTTTTGGTTTTAACAAGACTAGATTGAATGTATGAAAGATATGATACTTCAGTTTTGGCTATGGATCTTTTCACAGGCGACAAATTTAAATGTCTTTTTAAGTATTTAAGATCAAATCGATCAGGTGTAAACAGTCTTTGATGTCACAAAACATTAAAAATTGGCTTCAGATTATTAAAAAATGTAAATGACGCGTCATGCATTTTGGTTGTTTAAGTCGCAAAAACAGGTGTCCAATGATCTTCTTTGGAATTGTGACCGCTGGCTAAGGTTTAGTCTCACAAGAATCCGTCCAAGTCTGTAAACCTGTTGAACTTACTAAGATTTGTATCGCATTTTTAGATCTGTGTGGAGAGGGTAAACATATTTAGGGGGTTTTTCAGTGATCCATCATGGCTTTTAATTGCTACCAAAAGCTACGCTTCAAAACTTTGCGCTAAATTTTAATTTGTGTACAAGCGCTGTTATCGTTGCTTAATGCTGCGTAGTCATTGGTTAGCTTGAGAGTACGCTTTCATAAAGCGTCTCTCCTTTGTGGGCGGCACTTAATTTTTGGGCTAAAACTGACTATTGGTGACATTGTTTCCACTCGGTAATTGAGCCTTGCTAAAATTTCAGACTTAACTTGACATTTCCGTTCCGGAAACATGACGAAAACTTGATAGAATCGCCAAGACTCGGTATAGCACGTTTCCGCAAAACGTAAATGTAGTGGAAACATGAATGTTTCCGTCACATTTAAGAAATGCGGAAACGTGAAATTTCGTCCTGTGTAGTCTAGTCACACAAAGGCTTAAACGCGTTTTAAAGCTTTTTTGTTAACCACGGTTCAAATTTTTTTTTATTCGTGGAGGCTGATTAAACCGATGTTTCACGACTTCAAACTTTTTAACACTTTGAAAATGAAAACTAGAGACCACTTTAAACACATAGAAATTCAGTATTTCGCTTCTCTGTTTATGATTTTTATTCAGTTAAACCTACTAGTAGTTTTACTAAGCATGTTTTGCTGGAGTGAATGGGGTATAAGTCAAACTGAATTGGGTTTCAATTCGTCTTACCTTGAATTCAAAGACACCTCAGGCTTAAGTGAGCCTGTAAAATGTCGAGCCAGCGGAATGCCGTTTTGTGCTGAATCAAATCCGTTTAGATCCTCTTCATCTCTACATGAAGTATTGACATCCGACTTTGAGGTCTGTTTTCACACAATCAAACAGTATAAAAAAGTTAAACAAACTTTCTTATAATTAATAGCTTTCCGGCGCTCTCCTAATAAAAATTATACATAATGTCTGCCATTCAATTCATATGATGTACGAAAATTTGATATTGGATCAACTAATTATCACCTTATAAATATTTTACCTTCTTCTCATCACTTATCTACTCAATATTGTATTAATATTGTAAGGAGAAATTTTGTCCTTGTCACTGCTGCGACTTAAGGTTTAGAATACACCGATCAAATCCCTTGATATCAAACTGCTATGGCAATTAATAACAAAGTAATTTAGTATTATCAACTGAGTTGATAAATGGTCAAATTTTGTTGGTGGCTAATTTACGTTATCAACTCGGTTGATAATGCTAAATTACCCTGTTATACTCTCCCACCGACGTTGCACCACAGTTTCTTTAGAGCTTTAATCAATAACAGACCCGTTTAGAATGTCTACATTTACAAATGAACCTTACACTTTGTTCGGCCATGTGTAGTTTACACCGAAAAAGAAATGTCATATCAAATCAAAACGAAGACATTTGTGTAGCTGAGGCACAAAATAAATTCCCTTATGCTACAAAAACTTCTGAAATTAGCAGCATATTCAGAACAACTTTTTTTTGCAAAATTTTAGGTAATGTCCTTAATTAACGGAAGCTACAAAAATTTGAAATTTTTCAAGCTAAAAATTTCGCTGCAGAGTTAAATCATGCGCATTATTAAAAAAGCTGATTGAACAAACTACTGGAACCATAAGAGTTACTCTTCCTAATGGTAGATTTAAATTTTGACTTTCACCTTGGAAAACAGATCTTTTTCATCCATAAATTGATAAAAATCACTTCGAATACGGTATTATTAAATTAAATGCAAGACCCAGTATATCATTTATATCTTCATCAGCAATGGTTCAAAAAGGTAATAAAATTCATATTTCCAAGTTTGAAATCCAATAAAATACCAATAGCACTGTACAAAACGAAACATTTTTTTACGCAATCGCACAACCCCTTCGGGAATCAATTGTTTTAAAATGATTCACGGAACTCACAACCACAATTTAAACCCTTAGTGCGAATTCAGTTCTTTTAAACTCAAAGCAGCAAAATTGGAACAAAATTCTTGAAACATGCAACAACAACACCATTAAATATTTGATGACAAATTTTTAGCTGAAATTTTTACACAAAAGCCACAGACTGTTTTGATCTGTTATACACTCGACTGCAAAAACGTTGACACTATAAAGCGTGAGCAGTGAAGGACGAGACCCATCAGCTTTATGGGTCCACATGTACATGATAACCCCAATTAGTTGCACGTAGTAAATGATAGAAGCTACCCACGCTTTTCTGACAGAAAAAAATTGTCTTCAACAAAGATTTTCATAAATAATTAAAACAGTAAAGCATTGATAATAAAACTATGCCTACATTTTCCATGAAGCCGTTTGGTCTCATCCTTCACGAATCATACTTTTTAGGTATCAAAGTGTTTGCAATGGAGTGTATGCTTCGCCACATCCTCCTTAGATACACCCAGAAGCTTCCCTCGTGTAGATAAATTTCCCCTCTGTCTAAAACCTTGTGTAACTGTTTGAATTCTGACATGGATACTCAAGTGAGAGAAAATATACCATGATTACATTGCATATATTATTTATGTTGCATTTGACATCAATCAGGGCCGCTAATAATCATGTACAACATTACTGCAAAATAAAGCGATCTGAGTTCATAGTGTTGTTGGAGTAGTAAGTTGTCGCAACAGCGAGCGCACTAATAAAAAGCTACTATACTACACTGGTCTATTCGATCACCCAGTGTTAGCCCACAAGATTTCTTGAGGCACAGACGACTGAAAGAAAAGTTGTTATACTCTGCAACCTCGCGCTAAAAAACACCTGTTCGTAACAACATGATTTTTTTTTTCACAGACTGTCACTTTTCCAATTCATTTAACGAAACGAAACTTCGGCCGTTTCATATTTTCAAAGCCAAGTTAACCCAACCATTTCCTTAATATGCTAAGGTTTTAATTTCTCGAACCGTCTGTCGTTAAATACTCATTATCCATGTTATATTGAGAAAGATCATCACCATAATCTGCATCGTTTTCAATAAGACGTAACTTAATTGCACTACATTTACACAAAGTAGAACAGACCAAGATTTTCACGTTCTTGAATAACTGATCATCCATTTAGAAATAAGATCGATGAAGGAAAAGTGCTAAAATATTATTGTTTTTTAAATATACAGCTGGTGCTACAGCGACTTTTTAAGGAATCCCTACCTTCAAATGCTTAATTTTCCAGTTTGTTTCAAAAATTTCTCGAGGCGAACATGATTTGTAAGTGGGCAGCTCAGGAGACAGGTTTTCATGAACGGATATTCCACGATTAACGATAAATCCAAGTGTTAGAAATATCTTAAAAATTTCTAGCATTTTGTGCGAAAAACACAACTTGATTAAGGTTTTGGGAGTTTGTTCAAAAACAAAGTACAGTACCGACTAAATCTGAAGAGTTCTCCAGTAAGGAAATAATGACAAAGAGGACAAAAAGCCGCAAGTCATCAAATATCACGGGCGTAAGTTTTATGATCAGATAATATTATGTCTCTCTTTTTTGTAAATTCATTGTTCCCTTGTCATCTCATAGGATGTTTCGCTAATTTATGCCATTACTGTCGAGGTAGAGGATTTAAACTAACTCGTCAAGCAAATTGAAAGAAACTGCTATGTCTTATCCTTCAGTTTTAATGATAGACTCATCTGAGACAGTCTAAAAAAACTTCGGTTTTTTAAAGACACCTTTAAAGACAGAAAAAAATAAAGACAGTCTAAAAAAATTCTGTTTTTTAAGGACACCTTTAAAGACAGAAAAATGTAAAAATGAATCAGTGAGGAAAATAATTGCTGCAAACAATAACTGTTGATTGATGTCCTTTGGATAAAGTTACAAGCCCCCAAATAATTATTAAATCTCCTTTTCGTTTTCTTTGTATTCATTGTATTATTGCCAAAAATTTTTAATTTGAGATGATCGTTTATCAGTAGTTGATAATTAAAATTTTGTCCAATGACAAAAGACTTTGCGTGTTGTTTACCGAAAGATTTCTTATTTAATTTGATCATGACAAAGTTATCGTATCAAAAAGAACAATAAAACAACTTAAAAATTGTCTTGTGTTTCTTTTTCTTCTCTAATAATTATAAAATTGTAAACAGATGTTAGGTTCTTTGAAAAGCTTAAAGGGAAAAGATTTCAAAGTAACCACATAGTTATGTGACCTTTTAAAAATTAGTTTTATTATATTTAACAATTATCGGTAATCAACGAAGAGGGGGTAAACATTCTCTATTTTCATCGACGCGGAGGGGATAATCGTATAAGTAAATCTCACTCAGACACCAAGGAATAAGCTTATTTCTGTTGATACACCGAAGAATGGTCGACATCGGAATCTTAGCTTTTGACGCACGATTTTGTCTAGGTCTTCAGCTGCTCAGAAGCGAATGGCACTTTCTAATCACTTCCATTAAGCGGCGCTGCATTTGCCGGTAACCCTCTATTTAGCAGTTAGTCATCCAAGTCCCTTAGTTAACGTAATCTTCACCTCTAGTAACGGTCGTGGTTACCCTTAACTGAGTCCCAAAAGCCTTCATGCGTTGTCCTCCACCTGTATTGAACGGTCAGTTGAAGCGGCACCTCTCAAATAAAACTGAGAAAAACATTTCAAGTAAAATAAGTCAGTTTTTCATCTCCCGGAATCAATTTTACAAGTATCTTTGAACGTTTTTACGTACATTTAGTTGTCAATTTTGGCATGATAAGGCGATTTTATCAATTTTTAAAACTAGCTCTATTCTGCGTACCCTGTATTAAGCGATCAACCTTTTGTTAAGTACGTAGTCGCCTCGACATTTCCGGTGGATAACCGCTCATACAGGTTTGACTGTAATGTGTAGGTCACAAAATGAAATGGAATTAGTTCATTTTCTTTATCGACCCATTCCAAAATCAATGAACGTATTACAAGCATCGTCTAATTATTTCTCACTGATCATTCGTGAAATTTGTTATGTAAGCGTTGGCAGATACAAAAATATGCAACAGACATTGTCAGACGTTTTTTCGTTTCTCGTCACCAGTCTTTCTCAGTTTTCGTATTCAGCAGTTATAAAGTAGAAAAATAAAATGTGCTTTCATAAAGAATTTCCCAACCGGACGTTAAAAGCAGGCGGTTTAGGAAACCGAAAAACTTGAACTTCCGCGATCTTAAAAAAAACTGGCTGGACTTTTCATTCATTATTCATTATTTCTTCCCCTCCTTGTGGAGAATAGTGAATAGAGAATAGCCTCGAAGTTTAACTGAATTTTGCATTACCAGCAAGACAACATAATCCTCCTCTCTAGTTTTGCATTACACACGAAAATGACATTTCAAACGCCACGTTGCTCAAATTTCTAATTTAATTCACTCGATACCGCATGTCTCAATTAGTGGAGAGACGTTTGTCGGAATACATTTCAAATCTCATCAACTACCTTTCATGCTAAGCAAACTAAACGATATTACACACTATTGCAAGCTCTTAAAATCGTGACGATTAGAGTGACAGATCTATAGTATAAAAATAAAATATTAAAACGACCTGCACTTGAATACCATATCAATACACACCTACAGATGGATTAAAAAAAATCTGTCGGACATCTTCCTGTTTTGAATAAAAAAAACTCTCGAATTAAACTTCCCTTCCATGCTGGTTCGCGGGATTTACTTTTCTAGAACGCTGCGTTTTGTTTAATTGGGCTTGAAATAACCACGGCATTGGTTTTATCTCGAATGAGTGACAATTTTAAATATTAATTGAGGTAATTTTCTATTTTTTGGCAGTCATAGAAGGTGTGAGACTAAAAATAATCAACCAATTCAGCTGGAAGAACAATACAAGCGTTACATAAAGAAAAGAAAATATTTTATACGATTCAACAAAAAGCGTGATATTTGTTCAGTTGGACCAGATATCGAACTACATGTCGAAAGATGAATATCTTTTTTTGCATAATGATTTTCCGTGGTCCGTTTAATATGAAGCACTTATTTCGAACGAGTAGACTTCTCGTTTTTATCTTTCTGCTAGTTGGTTTTTCGTCTAAAACACCGATCTTAGCGAACGAGAAAAATTTTCACCCAGATGTATGTTCGCCACAGACCCCAGACTGCTATTTTGAACGTTTTTCAAAGCTAAAGTTACCACGAGTGGAACCGATACAGGCAAGTGAGATCTCAGTTTTGTACAAAAAATTCTTGTATTTAAAACCACTAGACTATAGCTACCACAAAACAAACCCATAATCTCATTTGATTTCAAAGCAAATATACACGTTCAGTTGCGGATTGGCCTGCGTGCATTTGAACAGACGTGATATTAAACCAACCTATTCAAAATTTTCAAGAAAATTTACATAAAGTGATCTGAAAAGTTCCAATATGAAGTGGACGGAAGGAACCTTTTTAATATCCAAAACGGAAATTCATTTTGCTCCTATCAGACTCAGGTTCTGTCAGGCTTAATCCTATCGCTATTTTTTGTGTATTTTCCTTTCCTTTCCCACCTTTTTATCTGATTTCTTTATGGGACTTAACCAGCCGTATCGGTAAAAAAAAATCCCTCAATAAGATAAATGCCGCTGTCGAGGAGGGAGCGAGATCAGCCGAAAAAGAAGAACATTTATTAAGAATTTAGGGTTGAAAATAAATATTTTATCATCGTTTCTTGCGATGGAAGTTCAATGTAATAGAAAACTTTTGTCAGACATGAATTACTTGCAATAAATTGCCAATACATACGATCATTTAAGCAGTTCAAAGTCAATATCACTCAAGCTAAATCGATTACTAATGGTTTAACCGCGGTTTTTAAGTCTTGCTATCAAAGGAATACAGGTAACTGCTTGTAAAGCTCGATCTACACTGCGCTAAATTCGTGAAATTTTATGGCTGGATAAATCACTTTTAGAAACGTTCATAATCTTGCGTCGAAGTTGTACCAAGAAGAGCTAAATTGACTGCAAAATGTTTGAGCAGATCTTGAGGAGACATGAAAATTCCGTTTGGGGCACGGTCCATTGAGTCACGTGGGCGACAGACGAGCTATTTTATCTTAAAAACACCTGTTTTTATTGCAATTAGAACTCAACAATTCACAGACATTTCGCTTTTAAAGATTTCCCTTCACGTGAAAAAAGGATGTGTTAAGGACCTAAAGTAACTTTTCTAGGCCACTTTTCATGTTTTTTTAATTATTTCTGTTGTTGAAAGTGTATTTTATTCGTTTATGTCGTTATTTTCTATTCTCTCAACGGCTGAATAAGATATGGTGGGAAGATTATCTTTGTCTTAAATGATAATTCATGAAAATTAGAAGGAGAAACGAATCGAGCACTTTATAATGAAGAAATGTGAAACGGTTTCCGTGTTTACATAGCCTGATGTAAACACGCGGGAGGTTGGGAGAACACGAGATAAGCGTAGGAAACCACGACGCGAAGCGGAATGGTTTCCAGCTTATCGAGTGTTCTCCCAACCTCCCAAGTGTTTACATCAGGCTATGTAAACACGGAAACCATTTTACATTTCTTTTATAAAATAACTATTGAAAGAGGAACGAAAACCGTGTTTACATACGCTCATGTAAAATGGTTTTATGGCCAATCAGAGCGCGCGTACTATTTGAATTATTTTATAATAGCTGGTTAAGTACTTAAGATGGACATGGTCATTCTGGACGATCCGCGATTTAATTCTCCCAACTAAATACCCTACATTTCTTCGTTACCTAAGCTGAGAATTTGATATTTGGTTAAGAGAGTGTAAATCAACTGAAATGGATATTACAAGAAGAATTCACTCAAACAAAGTTTATGAATCAAAATTTCCAAAATACCTCTAGCTCTTCTTCCTATTGACTCCTGTCACAGAGATGGACTCCTACCCCTGCATCTGCTCCCCACTATCCCCTCCCGCCAAAATACTTGCCAAGAAAAAACATGAAGAGGGCTTGGGAAGAAATATTTATACTTTTGTCCGTTGTAGGTCGGACATGTTAGAAAACTAAATTTGATTGATGGTGATGAACATAAGATGACAACAGTCGCTATACACCCTCCCATATTTGGTAAGTAGGTAGGAGTATTTGAAGAAACTTTACAAGATTGATCATTTAGCTCCAGCTGATCCCAAGTCTCGTTTACGACACCTACCGTAAGCATACACGAGGCCCGATTTGAGCTTTAATAAATAGGACAATGTACGCATCATGCTTGTAATTTCACGATGTAACTGGACAGTCTACGCGTCATGCCTGTGCAATTGGACAGTGCGCATAAAGTGCGCGCGCCATTGTTGCGCATTTCGTTGAGTTAACTGTTGTTTTCTCTGATGAAAACGTTCAAAGGATACCTAGTTTATCTCTCAAATTTTGTCCTAGATTTGTTCAATTGGTAACAGGACCTTGTGCCAACCATTTCTGTATATAATCATACTAGTGAGTAACAAATCAAATTCCAACTACGCGGTTGTTCGATTTTGTTACTATCTCGTATGATTAGAGACCGAATTGGACCGCACTCTGATTTATTATCTATATTAATCAGTGCGAGCAGTTCAGGCGATCCACAAAGTCCATAGCTATGGTTCAAATTTAAACTAAAACTCGTAGAAAATATTTTCAAGAACTCAGTACAAAGATTCAATCAGGCTACCCACCGTACCTTTAAATAGACCACTGACTATAAACTCTCCGCACAAGAAAAAGTAATCAGGATAGGCTCATATAATACACTTTTCTCACTTAACAACTTTCAGAAATTCCCAATTTTTTGTCAAACGAAGAGTGTGATCATATAATTGAGTTGGCAAAGAAGGAAGGCCTACAGACATCACAAACACTCAAGGAAGGAGTCAAGCAGGACATGATGGCGCTGGGAAAAAATACCAAAAAACATTTTGACTTTTGGGATCCAAACAAAGATGGGCAAATCGACACAGACGAGGTACATTTAGAATCGAAGACAAGTGTTCTACATCCTGTAGATTTAGATGAATGCGACATGTTATGAATATTTTTCACGCGCAAATCGTTAAAAATCTCTAATTAGTTGGAAAGCTTCTCCAGCACAATGTTTACCGGTTTTCTCTTACCCCTCTTCCCCCCCCCCCCTCTTTCCTCTTCCAATGTTATATAATAATTGCTACGAATGTGACGTGAAACGACTGCACTTTTCCTGCAAATGATTTAATTCGGCTACTTTGTTTTATTTCAAAACAGATGATTAAAGGTCTGGAAACTAATTTGGACTTCACCCCAGATAAGGAGACTCTGCTCACGATGTAAGGAAATGGAACAAGGACTGGTTTGGTAAACAAACAAAAAAAAACATTAACACAGTCAAATAGTTTGAATATTAATTTGAGTATTGTTACAATTCACAACGACCAATCAGAAAAAACTATAAGGTATAACGCGCGAATGAGAATTCGTTGCAAATACACGTGAAAGGCAAATTGCAGAAAATCCAAAATAACACATGTGACAAGTTCAGGATTAGGTTCGATATCGCTTGGGAATGGTTGAATTCAAAGCTTGTGGTTTTCTTTTTCCATTTTGAAAAGCAGCCAAAAACTAACTGTTAGTTTTTCGGGGAATGATTCCCCGATTCCTTTCGTGTCTCTATTGAAGGTACGAATCTTTGGGATTGGACAAAGATCATGACGGTGAGTAGTTTTAAAATTATGAGTTCGTCACCGAATATTTGGGCCATCTTAATTAACGACACAAGGTTAGCCGGAAATGACAATTAATTTAAGCCTTGACCAGATTATCAAAACCATTCTAAAACCTCTCGTCTTTTTAATCGATCATCATATCGACACTGTATATTAACATGAAACCACTAAGAGAAGTGAAACAAATCAGAGGTCATACAAATGATTTACTGAGCACACCAGAGCCAACGTAATCACAACAGCCAATCAAAACGAAGGAAATGTGATAAGAAGCCAATTAAAACTCAAAATAAATACATGAGAACGACCTTACGCAAGCGCGAGAAAACGTGAGAGACCGAGTAGTGAGTAATCAACTCATTGGTTGAGGGAATGGAGTCTACACCAATCACCGAGCGTGGTGAAGCAAAATTACTGATTCCCGGATGACATTTGAAAGACGCTTTTACATAGCAATATCTAACAACATTGTATGGGACAGCATCCTTTTCAAGATATAGATGACCGCGTTGAGCAATATATGCTAACGAAAGTCTTGAATTTCAGTGAACCTTTGCAATTTCAGGAAAGATAGACTTCGTAGAATTCAAGCAGAGAGACATTCCTGAGATGGCCAAGTATATAGGAAAAGTGAAGGATGAAAAGCCTCATACAAAGAGTCGACACAGCCGTCAAGCCTGGATTCAGAATTATTCGAGAAATTCTGATAAAATCATGGCTTCTTTACAAGACAGGTGAGCCCATCAAATACCGCATGCTTCATGCCATTCACTCCCGGGAGTGACCAATATCTAACTTCTCTATGAGCTAGAAGTATAAGCCATGCATGACAGAAGGAAATATTGATATTGTAATATTGTACTTGTAAGTTCTGAAGTGGAGTGGAACATTTGGACTGCATACTGAGAGTCTTCCTTAGGCGATAAGGTCGACTAGGTAGTCCGTAGAATTAATTAATACGTAAAATTCCCAAAGTTCAGCTAAAGTGAACTCGTTAGGTGTATGATAAATGACAATTACGGAATCCCCTCCACTCGTTCTTTGTCTTTTATTTCGCCTGCTCGCCCCAGAAAGGTCTGTGTTAACTGTTTAAACAGTATGTATTTCATTTCTTCCATACTTTAACTGATCTCATTGTCCGTAGAGTACAACGGCTTACAAATCTTCCCTTGGAACTGATTCTAGCCAGCGAGTATATGCAAGTAAGTTAAATCGATTCGTTAACCTTATCAAACAGCTTTTATGTTATTCATTGGTAATTCATTAAAGGAGTTGCACTATGTTTTTGTATCTCAGAAGATTTACCCGAAGTGCTTTAGGATGATCCTGTGCAATTCGTAATAATCTTTTCCATTCTTCTGGTCTCTTTATGACTTTGGTATTTTTCTACTCTGGAAAATGATCACTGATCCTAAAACCTCCTTCTGTTGACCCCTTTACACCATAAGATCAGTGGTGATATTCTCCTTCCCTTCTCTTTACATTTCCTACGATACTGGTAAGGAGAATTTGTTTTAATGATTTGAAGCATCTTTAGCAAGTGTTCATTTACTTCATTCTCATAACCTTTTAGTTTGATGCAGAGGTAATTCTGTGGGGAGGAGGTGGATGCTTGTCACTAAGAAATTCTTCCTGATGCTAGAAATGGATCATAATATCGTGAGATTTGTGCTTTCACAGGTGGTATCTTATGGTCCAATGGGTCACTATAATTGTCACCTGGATTCAGACTTGATCAGGCCCAATAAACCATGTTGTCATTATGTGGGAAGTGAGCTTGGTCATTGTAGAGTTTGCAGGTAAGGTTAATTATCAAGGTGGTTATTCGAAGACACTTTCGGTGTGGGCGAAGCCTCTCTCACGAGCCCCTTTTGCTAGCTCAAGGGGGTTGAGTCTAAACGCTGACGCCCCACATATGGTTTTTCCTCCTGTGCCAGACCGTGAAGACGTTCTTGGGAAAAAAAAGACCCTGTACTGATTGGGCTCCAAGTTTCAACACGAGGGACACACGGCAAAACCAAACAACCGTCCCCAACTCTCCCCTCCGAAAAACCCCCCGAGTGACAGAGGATATGCTATATATTACGTGACTGTGGAAATCATACGTTGCGCATATGCAGAGAAAATAAAAGTCCTACTCCTTCTCGAAAATTGTGTTGAATGTTTCGATATGCTGATGAAGAAACATATTTTGAAAACAGTTTTATTTTACTCAGATATGCAACGATACTGTATTTCTTGGACAACGTCGAGGATGGAGGAGAGACTGCATTCCCTGTTGCTGACAACATAACGTTCGACAAAGAGGTAGGATAACAGTTCTGTTTTGTCCAAGAAAGATGGGGCCGGCCACGAGTTAAAAATCACATCTGCGATAACAACAAGTATAAAAAAACCCTATTGGTCCTCACGACTATGTCCCAGCCCTTTGAGCCATTATAACAACGTGTTTTCCTTCCCGGACAGATCGCTTAGTAAAAGTTACCTTTTGTCAAAAAACACATGTCTACGTGGAATAAAGAATTCAAGGTATTTTAAGCTGCGAGCTCACAACGAGCAAAATAAACTTAAGAAAATGACTCAGAATACCGTGAGACGACCCCTTTGTTTGTTTTCTTATTTTTTTCACTAACTGCGTGGTTGCATTATAGGAATGGATGCGCGACGCGAGCAACGTGTGTAATTTAGCCAAGAACTGCCAAAAGGCGAATGTTGTAGTTAAGCCAGAGAAAGGGAAAGCTGTGCTATGGTACAATCATCATGTTGACAACTCCACTGGTTGGCTTGGTCAACTTGATCGATACACTTTTCACGGCGGATGCGACGTAAAGCGCGGCACGAAATGGATTGCAAACAGCTGGATTAGCGTTGGAGAGGACAGAAAGAAAGATATCTTGAACTGGATCGAACTTGCTGAATATGAAGAGGAGAAATCTGACGTTAAACCTTCAACAGATTCGGGGACAGATTCAATCCACGAAGAATTGTGACTATGTTGTTAGAGTGGGACTGAACCGAGGACTACTCGCCTTTGCAGGGCCACCAATCAGTTGAACTCTACTGAATAAAATCAAACCGCAAGGTCTTAATTTATACAAAGCTTCAAAGCAAAGATCTCCTCGACAGATGAGGTTGTAAATCGCACATAAATTATTTGTTTTGCTAAATTAGTGTAGAACAAGTTTCGATGGTTAACAAAATAAAATGCTCATTGAATACTTCATAGGGGTTTCCTTTTTTTTTGTATCGTAGTTAGCTTTTACAGAATTCACTGTCGGATTTCTATCAACGTCCATGCTTGCTTTAAGTAATATTGTTAAATCTGATAGGTTGGCATCGCAAACATATTTTCTGCAAGAAAATTTTTTCTCCTCTTCATTTCTTGGGACTTAATGGAGCTACCGGTGGGAAAAAAAATCACTACATTGGACTTCGTCTGACAAAGTTCACATGTTGCATGTTGCAAAGCATTATACATCAAAGTGACGTCAGATATACCAATGTGACTTTCATCGATGTTGAAGCCGAATTCATCAACTATGCCTTCGTTATCCGCGAGAAGACTGGGATCCAGGAGGGCGTCACTGAGTCTATGGGTTACGTCACCATTCATAGAAGGGCCCGAGTTTAAGTTTGACCAATCCGAGAACGGAGAAGGACTTCACGTAGTCTGGAGAGGTACTTCTCATTTTTGAATCAGCAGATGATCTACTACGGCTGTAGAGTAACAGGTCTTTGCCAACGAAAAATTCTTTCCGAAAGAATCTCTGAGACATGCGGTAGGGAAAAAAGGATTAAATCAAAAAGCGGGATAGAACTGCCAATATTTCGATCTCATCTAGTGAGTCATGAACCTTACTTGGCAATCGCAGTTTTTCTTCAAAATGTTTGACTGAAGACTAGAGAACAGCCTTCTAAGGAGACTGGCTAGACGCAATGAATGCGTCGAAAAATGCACCTTCAAATGTCACTGTCTTCTTGCTGCTGTGTGCCTCCAGTGAGCAATACACCAAGTGACGACTGATAAAATTTTTGAGTCTTGACTCATATGAGTAACTTTCGTAAGAATCTCATTCAAAATACACGAAAGAGAAGTCAAAGAATTTGCTGTCTCTATTTGCCGTTCCCTCGTCAGTTTGCACCGAGTGATTCACGTGTTTCACAAATCTCACTGTCTCCTTGTCTCTGTAAACCAAGGCCAAAGAATTCTCTTGAGGATGGACTGTTAGAAGCTATGATCAACAGTAAAGGAAGAATTAGGCAGGAAGTTCAAAGAAACAAGTGCTTTTGGCTAGGTTTTTACGAGTCCATTAGCTCGTTCGTTTGATTCTTTTTTATTTGCTCATAATTATAAACTTAAGCTCTGATGAAGGGCTATCGCTCGAAACGTCAGCTTAAGAAACTCTTTACGGTGGCCAATTTCCATTATCAACTCCGTTTCATAAAACTAAACCGTCATCTTAAAATACAGAAGGTTCGGTAAGAGTTCAGGTGTTGTCGTGGTAACTATTTGTGCAAAAAACTGTCAACCATTTAAAGGAAAATCGTTACAAAAAGTTGCAGTATCCATCCATCCATCCAAAAATTCGCATCAAATATAGCGAAACAGTTTTGATCCACCTTCAACTTAAATGACCACAAAGCCAATCTTCGCCCATGCAACTTTAATAACTAAGAAAATTTCGCTTTGACGAAGGGCTAACGCTCGAAACGTCAGCTTTGAAACTCTTAATGGTGGCCAATTTACTTTATCAACTCAGTTAATTACTAAGAAAATAGTAATCTATAGAACAGTAAATTGTAGTGCTAGTCAGTGGTTGGAAAAGGAGTAATGTTTTCCACGAGCAGAATCGCCGGGGTAACGAAAAATGCTCACCTCCTCATCTTCGCCGCTCGTTAAATACGTGGTGTACCCACCATAATCGGTTTTCCACCCTGGCCATGAATGAAAAGAATATTTTAGTACCGCTATTCGGTTTGCAGTCTGTTACTTGGGGATCTCCCAAAGGCATTCAGTTTCCGAAGAGGTCGAAAAGGTAATGTGCAATGCCTTTGTAATGTACCTCAGAACAAAAAACAGGAAGAAATTGAGTGAGTACGTGTGACGTATTTTTAAAATTTAACAGTGTTTTAGTACCACGTTCGAGCGAACGGCCAAAACTGAGCTTTTGTTGTAAGTAAAGTTAAAATATTTCAATTTGTTGTGAATAGGAGCTATTTTTAACTTTGCGTTCGAATATCTTTGTGGGTTAAAAGAGACCCAAGCGAAATCAGATATAAAAGTTCTATCAAAATTTTGTTTTCCGTTTGAACATCACCTTTTCCACCAACGTATAACATGACGTCCAAAGCAAATTCTTCGCCTTCAGGATCAGTGTCGTGAACTAAAGTATAACAACCGTGAGTCCAGCGTCTGATGCTACCATGGCAACAAGGGCCTCGCTTTGAAGATTCGCCTCTGTTATTACTGGTCTCCTACAGAAGTAAATTAAAGAAATAATTTGTAACACAGCGGCATGTAAGAGACTTAAGTGCCATGCTATGCGAAGTATGTTAACATACGTGGGCTGGATTAGCAATACAAGTGCTAGATCAGCTGAGAATCAAATAATGTTTTATTGTTGTAAAGCTGCATGGATTAATTACAGTTGTATGATCGATCAATATTATTTCTTTGTTTTTTTACTTTCAATTATATCGACTGCATGTCTGTTTTTTTTCCATGTCTGTTTTTTTTTGCTAGTGCAATAAAATAAATGTTAACTTCCTTACTGCACTGTTTTCCTCCTCTTCACTGTCGTCATCATCATCATCCTCATCATCACTGAGTGGTACATCAGCCATTTCCAGTCCAGTCATTGTTCTAAGTAATTTGAACATTGGCTTAGATTGAAGTAGCTTGTTGAGCAGTTGTACAATAGATGGAGCTGACTCTGTGTTAGCTTGCTCAAAATGTCTGCAAAAAAAGACCCGTTTAATCCAGGATCGTACCTAAATATGTATAAAAAAAAAATAATAATAATAACAAATGAAAACAATGACAACAACACACAAATGTACCATTCTCATTGAAAGTAGCTTTTAACTGAAAAACATATTAAGGGCAGAGCTCGAGCGGAGCCCCATACTTAAGAAAATAGGGCAATGCGCCATAGAGAGGAAACTCGCATGGACTTAACCACATATGCAAAACTGTAGATATATATCCCATGCTCAAACAGCTGCTTAATGCGTAACGTGGCTTGCACTGAGCAATGCATGTAGATGATTAGAAGTTGTTTTTAATGAAATTTTATGTTAACTTAAGCACTGTTTTCTCAAAGTGAAACTAAAATAGTTATCTTCTGTTATCATGGCGAGTTAGCTATGAGTGTTAGCTCGTAAATTCAGTAGCAATTCCAATATAGTGAAGGTCAGTAAAAATTTAACAATAAAAGCTCCTTTGTCACAGCACTTCAAGCAATGGTGCACGACAGAACTGCTTCATCCTTTCCATTGAAAAGGTCCTAAGTACACTATGGTTTTATTCAATGTATCAGTGCTACAGTCTATAGTGGACCATATCGTTGTCTCTTCAGTTACATACTTGCAAAAGTTTAGTTTCATAAATAAAAGCGCATACTCTATACCTCTTATTTGCTGGTCCTTGATACTTCCATTTTATCTTATCATCACGCAATGCTTTCAGAACTTCCTCATATTTATTCTCCTATAAAGAATTACAAATACAGGGACTGAATGTAGGTCTCATTTGACCTATACGCCCCCCCGCCCTCAAGAAAAAAGGAAAAAGACACGATTTTGTGAAATTCCTACGTGGGCCTACGTGTGACAGGTTGCATAAAGCCGCACAGCCCAACATATGGCCCCACAATATGTTATGCGCAATAAGAAAGGATAAAATAGAAGGAGTGATGGTTTTCTGATTTGTGCATATTTTCTGAATTAGGTCAGGCTGGCTACTAAGCTTAACCCATAGTTCACAAAATTGGACCAAATATTTTACCCTCTGGCACAGTCAATAACGAAAAAGTTACAAATGTAGATATGAGGTAGAGATTTACCAAAAGAAATTCTTGTAACTGTATTTCAGATTCATCTTTAAACCTTGCTCTTATATCTTTGACCACACCTGTGTCAAGGTACATAGGATTAACCCAATCAACGAGTGCCTCATCCTTGAAACAGAACAAAAGAAAGAGATTAATGCTGAAATATCACCTCTCAAAGACTACTCACATTTTAAGCACAAAACTGAAGATTTTAACTACACTATTATTTTCAATTTTAGGGAGACAGATCATGTACCATAAGCAGAGCTGAGGTTGTCAAGGTTTTACTCAAAAATGAAAGATTCCTTATGCCATGCTAATAACACCTTGTGAGCTTTTTAACCGAAAAGTGCAACCTAATGCTGCACAAAGGAAAAACATATATCACACTTTTTTCTGTTTTACCATTCGTTATCTTGCACACTTTTTCCAGGTCCTGAAATTAGTTTGAAAATTTCCATTAGATCCCTCAAAAAGATTGCTGACTATGTATGAGCCCCAAAACTTACATTTTTAGATTGCACATTTCATTATTATTCCTAGGGTTGTCTCTCATTTACCTCTAAAGTGCAGGGTTTGAGTGATTTTGGGTGTGGCTCCTGATATGGTGTGGGCCTGTCAATGATATTCCCATGGAACCATCCACTAATTGACAGCCTGGTTTTACTGAGAGACAACACCTCTGAAACCTAAAAGAAGAAAAAGTCAAGGTTCATGGTAATTTTTTTAACAAAAATAAAAAAATTCCCTCAAAGCAGATGTTCTTTTTTGTCATGTCTCTGGCATGGTACAAAGAAAAAATTCTGAGTCCTTTGGATTCCACACTCTGATGCCTAGAGTCTGAACATTAGAAAATTTTGAGAAAAAAAATTGATGATTTTTAGACTGTACTATTACTGCATTATAAACTAAAGTAATTAACTAATACCTAAGGTTGACAACCAACTTAAAATTAAAATAAATAATAATAAACTTTTATAATTGTAAAGTAAATCAACTGCCACTGTAATTACTCACTTACAAGAACTCCCAAGGAAGACTGTGTTTATAAATATGAAGTTGTATAAGATGAGGTTTTATCATTATCACATGAAGTTGTTAGGAACTGTTTACTGCTAACACAGACCTGATGGAATGAAATAGGTGTAACTTCAAAAAACACCAGTGAGTTCCGCTGTGGAACCAGAGATTTTGTGATCTGATCTGGCTGACCATGTTCTGCAAAAAAATTTGACATCATAAATAAATTTGTCATTAGACTGCAATGAATAATAGCTATAAAATAGGCAATTGTGACAAATTTGTAGATATAAATCAACTTCTTTATACAAGTGAACATTGAATGTATTCTTATCAACAATTAGTTATCAGTTCTTAAATTTGTATAAATAATTTCTTGTTACACTGAGGTTGGTGCCTTAAGTAATGGGGGGACTGACTAAAAGGAACAAGGAATCATTTATGAGCACTATTTCCCAATTCCTCAAAGCATTCCCTTATTTTGTCTTCAAAATGCCCTTTTTAACAACATTTCATTCATTCAAATAAAGCGCAACACTTTTTAATAATTTAATGTATTTTGTAATTGAATATATTGATCACACACTTACTATCAATGCAAAAGAGATCCAGTTTTCCTGTGGAAAAAGTAAATGGAATACAATAATCAGTACTACGGTAAACAATATTTGTAAACATGTTTAAATGTCACAAAGAAATTGTGAAAGCAATAAAAAGCATGCCAGATTTTAGTCACCCAAGTTCTTCTCAATCCTAAATTCATTTGAAACATATTCTACCTGGTTTTAAAGGTTGAATACACATACTTTGGAAAAAAATGAACAAGAAATGCAGTTGTCTAGGTGATGGTGAAGATTTCTCCTACATGCTCGGCTTTTTATTTTATTACTTTAAAGTAAAAAAAGTAAAAAGGTAATTTCTATGCTACAGCCATTATGTAATCCATCCAACTGGAGCTTATCACAGTTTCCCTGGCACGAAACAACTAAGAGTATCACTACTCCCCCCTAGACAGGATGCTAATCCAGCACAAGGTTACCCCCTCAGCATTTTGCCAGGCTTCTACTCATGGGTGGAAAAAGGCACTCTAAGAGTAAAGTGTTTGCCCACACCTCTTGACAAATGGGTTCAGGGCCCAATTGTTTAAAGGTAGATTAACACAAACCCAGGATTAAATTTTAATCCAGGTTACTTTATTTCAATCTATATTCAAGGGCCTTTTTCAGATAATTTTCCCCACTCTTTTTAGAGGATCCAATCATCACTTTGTAAACAAAATCAATTAATAAACTGAATTTTTCTATTCAAGCTTTTAGATCTGAAATCAAATTTCATGCTTACCCTGGGTTACCTTAACCCAGCTATGAACAACCCAGCCCAACCAAGCCCACTTATCATTACGCCACCACTTCTCACATACTTTGCAATATACTTTTCCCATAACCCTTTAATTCCCAAGATCTCATTGGTAACTCTCCTTACTATCTGCCATATAGTTTTAGCGATGTTAGTTTGGAGAATTTGGGATTGGATGAACTTATAATTCCCTTATCGATATTTTTTTCTTTATTCTCCTGACTTGTCTGCTTGATATTGTATTGATATTGTAAGGAGAAATTCTCTCTTGGTCACTCATGAGAGTTCAAGGGTTGAATGATTATATGCTCATCAGTCACTATGTAACTAAAAAATTAGTCGTACAATCATTATAATAGCTACCCAATACTGTTTAAGGTTTTACTCTACTAGCTGTAATTTTCAAGAGAAAACAAATTAACGCACTTATTTTAAAAGAAAAATAGAATCATACCACCATCATCAGCCTCCCAGTCAGGAGGAACTAGGTAAAATATGTAAGCAATTCGTCTCCCTTCAAGTTCATCATCATGGCACAGAAGAACATCTACATGTAGGCAGCAAACAAAAGACATAATTAACATCTCAAGACATCTAATATTTATACATAAAATTTGACCACTAAAAGTAGACTAAATGTTCCTATAAGGGTTCAGTAAGAGATGATCCTTGACTATCTCTGTGGAGAAACTGGCTGCTCTTGCTACATGTAACTTTTGAGGAACAGGATTTTCTGCTTAGAGACAACTCCCTTCCCTCAGTGTTCTTTGTCGTTAAAAAAATAATTTTTGAAAATGAATAAACAGAGGATTTGAAATCATCCATTGAAGCTTTGTGAAATTCTTTTTTTTCAAAAGAGAAAAAGAATGAAACTTCTAGGGTTATCTTCAAATAAAAGCTATTTCTCTTTTGATGTAATTGTTCTGAAGCTTCTCCATCTTCTATATTCCAGTTTTTTATGTCGAACCATTTCAAATAAAGAATAATACATGGGCAATTATAGAAACTTATGGTATTTCGTAACATAGCTGTCAAGGTGTGGCATACTTGTGAAAATGTCATTTACTAGTCAAATAGTTGTGATAATGTAATTACGTATGCTAACGCTGAGACAATATTTAAGGTGAGGCATGTAACAAATAGGGATATCATGTGTGAAGGTTATATGTCATAGGTTGTCTTGTAATTTTGTGGATATTAAATTTGCTTGTTTGGATACCAAACGTTTCTCTTCACAAACAAGACATTGACCATGAGAACATTGACCATATCTACAAGCAACCATGTATTATCTTGCTTATTCCATAAACACCAAAAAATTTTTATTGATAAGAAAAGTCAACTTTATTAATCAATAAACAAACAAGCTTGGACTGAGAAGGGTCAAGCCTTTGCAATTCTTTCAACATCCTAATGTGAAAGGCAAATGACATGTCAGTTGCTGATTGGTGATATCAAACACACATAAATAAATTATTGCAATTTTACATGTGTGCAGTTAAAAGTTTTTTCAAGGATAGAAAACCTTGTAAAACTCTCCAGTTTATTACGTACAATCTTTTCATAGCCATATTAAACTATTTTATCACAGATTTTTACCAGTATGCTCATATTTAGCACAGGACATATCCACTTGGTCAGTCAGATCAACAAACCCTGTGATCTCATGAAGCCATCTTCTAAAGTCATTGTATAGGGTATTCCTGAATAGAGAAAAAAAAGACAAAAGTCTCACAAGTATAAATCCTAAGACAATGAAAAGTTTCCAAATACATATTGGATACTAAGACTGTGAGCACCATATACATTTTGCCAAATACTGTATGAAAAAATAGTAGTTGGAAGTAAAAAGGTTATAAATCCTCCACTTATCAGTACCTTAAAGAAGATATGCTCAACTTTGAAGACTTCTTAAGGTCATCACTCTGAAATTGAAATTAAATTGAAAAATTCTCAAAAGGCCATGGAAAAACAAGTTAAACGATAATTAAAATATTTGAATTTAAGATACAGCAAACATTTACCTGGTGAAATTTATATAAATCATTTGATTTTTCAAAAAATTTTAACTTGAGAAGATCTTGCTCTAAACTCTTTAGAAATTCCTCATCTGATATAAAATTAGGAATAAAGCAGCACTTGAATGGTTTGGTATGAATCACACATCCATTCTCTGGAGAAAAAGGAATAAAAAATAAAAATATGTTAATCTATTTCCTTAACCCTTTGACTGCCAAGATCTGATTGTTAATTCTCCCCTTTAGCTGGTACACACTTCCTTGTAAATTGGTTATGAGAATTTGGTGTTCAATCAAGGTAATATCTTGTACCTGATGACTTTAAGTATTCTCATTACCTGTTTGGCAAATAATGTATGGATATTATAGGGAGAGGTTATATATTAAGATCAGTTGCAAGATCCAGGGGTACAAATGCGTAACATTAGGGAAAAACTAGCAACTTCATAAAATTACCAAAAAATCATCAAAACATAGATTATTCATAAACTTTTATTGTAAGAACTACTTTTTGAGAAAATATTTGATGTTATCTGTTAAATTATCCTCATTACTTAATACCCAGAATGCATAGCAGGCGTGGTCATATATTCTATTTACACATTTGCAGGCTTAAATTCACGATTCTGTTTAGAAATAACACAGTTTTATTTACATAACTAAAAAGAAGACATAATTTCCTCATGCTGGTTGGGTAAAAGCTGGAATAATACATTTCTACGCCTATTTAATTTCTTGAGTTCTCCACAGATAGTCCTGACAGTGTTTGCATACACAATAGCTTGTTTATTGTCAAGCTTGTAGGTCATGTCTATAATATTGTCCCTTAGGAAAAAGTTACCCTTGAAGACAAAGGAACCTTTCTGATAAGCAGCACTATAGTCATCAACTTCATCTTCACCCAAAATTATGGCACCACTGCTTGTAACTTTGAAGAGGTAGTAATCATATATGGCGTCATCAGCTGCTGCAATGGCGACAGTACTTCCTTCTTCAACAAGATCAGTGAGTGCATTGACTGTTTTACTGACATTGACTGAGTCTTGATTCTGCCTTGTGACTGCAACATCTCCTTCTCTTGACATCTCAACCTCTCTCCACTTATCAACATACTCCTCATTTTCACAGTCCATGTCAGTTAAACAACCAATGCACATACAGCTTCTTAGCCTTGTCTTCACCTTACATTGCTGAGAAGTTGTTTTTACAGAGTGGATTTTTCTAATCCCTTTTAGCTCTTTAAAAGTGCGGCCAATTCTGTTTCTGTCAACAGCTCCTTCTCCATTTAGTGGAATGTAGAAGTATACTCTCTTGTTTAAGGTGGTTTTGCTGTTGGTTGAAGATGGCAAAGAGAACTTGTCCTTCAGATACTCATAGAGCTCCTTTGCAGACTTGATGGATGCTTCTCTTCGAATCACAGCAAGAGTAGCACGTTGTTTGACATTAGCACCTGCTGCATCTTGCTCTCCTTTTGCATGAGAGGTTTCAAAGAAATGCCGGTCCACCTGACACCCAAAGTCAGACAAAGAACATGACAAATCACCAAAAGTGTGCTTAGATTTGTATTGTCCAGCACACCCATCAGTGAATTCATGAACTTTGTCTACTTTCACTTTGACCTCATTCCTAAGGTACGTCAGTATTAGGCCTTGGGTGTGGTGTACAAAATGGTAGTCTTGAGTGTTGTCTTCTGAAAGGGCAAAGATGTGCTCTTTGATGAGGACAGGGTCTTGTTCTGTACTTGCTTTGCCATCAATGTCAATATCAGCATGGCGATAGACAATTGACACATGAATGCTGACTTTCACAGGATCGAAATACTCTGATTGAATTTCATCTTGTGATCTGCAAGTGTAATTCTCAGAAAAATCATGCACACAGATGATATGGTTGAGAGGCAGGTTTGTCATTAAATGATCAAACTGTTCTTTTTGCCATTTGGCCATAAATGAATGGTAGGGATAATCTTTCAGGAGTTGCTGGAAATAGTCAAACATCTCTTTGACAGGAGTTTCTTTTTGGACCAAGTGGATTTTCCTTTTTTCCTCGCCATTGTTATCTTTGTACGTTATGTATTCATATCGTTTCCACTTGACTTCAGTTTCAGACATTTCTTCAGCTGCTGTCTTGAAGTTCTTCACCCCACACTTGTCACAGCTCCTTGTCAGGCAGTCTAGAGAGGAATAGCTGGAGTCTTCTGGCTTTTCACACAATGTGGATTCCACAGCTTCAGTGAGAAAATTAAAGGCTTGAACTTCATTATTTTGTATGGATTTTCGATATTTCATGCAAGAATCAAATACAATTTTGCATTCTACATGCTTCCTACACAAGCAAGATTGTCTATCTCTCTCTCTAGCTCCAGTAACAAAGAAAGGCTTCAACTGCTCAAATCTTCGTTGTTTCACTTTTATGTCGGGATGTAGCTCCTGGAATTCTTTGAAACACTCTGTTTGAGTCTTTTCAAGGATATGCTTTGCGTGCTCCACATACTCCTTTTTGCCAATTCGTTGCCGCATCTTGTCTCTTTTGGATCCAGTGGGTCGACTTGCTTGTAGGGTCCAAAAATCGTAGATAACACGCTTATCTTCTTCTTTAATCGCGTCACACCTGACATTTCTTTTTGTGCTCAACCAGCAGGCCTCATCACCCTTCAAAACTCTTTCTCTATGTTTGATAGCTTTGGACACCTGGCTTCTGTTTACTCCCATCATCTTGGCAATCCGTGTTTGGTGCTTGTTTTTTTTGACAGAAGATCCAAAAGCCAAAGAGCGCGTACAGTTATAAGCTGCTCTTTCATCAGTCGACTTAGCTTTTTTGACTTTGGACAATCCTTCTGCCAAATCTTCTACCAAACACTCCATTGCTTCGATATTTTGTTGCTCCTCAACTGGTCTCACGAACTTCTTTTTTTCAAGAATCTTCCTTGTGCGAGGAGTACTTGCAAGGTTTTGAAGAATTTCAGCCTTTTTTGCGGGGGTTTGAGGTAAGGCAGGGGACACCTTGTCCTTTGCACGTTTTTTTGCCATCCTTGAACTAAAAGCTGGTGTGGTGATGTTGACTTCAGGTTTCGGTTGCGCAAATGATGACTCTTTTCTATTCTGACGAAGTTTTCGAACCCTTTCTCGAGTTTGCTGTCGCTTTTTCTCTTCCCTCTCTTTTTCTCTTTGCTTCAAAACCTTCTTCTTGGTAGCTGATGCAGCATTCCGCTCACGGTTGGCTCTTTTGTCATCAGCCTTTTGTGCAGATGTGCGTGTTTTCACTGCGGCGACTGTCGCGTTTTTTTTCTTGCTTCGAAGCAAGCGCATTCTTTCTCTTGCTTTTTGTGCAAGAACTTCTTTGTTTCTTTCATAGTATTCCCTTTGTTGTTTAAGCTTTTTTCTTCTTTTTCTTTTCTCCATTGATCAGCAGAATATTTTTTGTTTTCCATTGAATATTTCGCAAGCGAAGCGTGTAAATTCTCGACGGAAGAAGTCACGCTAGGGAAGTCACGTTCTCTAGTAATTTCCAGTCTCAAACGATCGTTTGTTCATGGGTGTATATCAATTAATTGTTGTATACCCCCTCTAGATGTAATGTACAAGGTTGTTGTAAGCGAGGAAGAAGCGAAGTTTAGATGCGAAGATTTCTAAAACTGCCACTATTTTGCGCGTGTAAACTGATACACCAATGCAAACAATACTGTTCCAAGATCGAATATGTTCGCGATTCAAAAAAGACATAAATTTAGATGTTAAATTGAGTTAGATTCGTGAACATTTGGTACCGATAGAAAGTTTAGAATTTGAGAATGACAGATCTGCTAGTTGAAGAGCAATTTCATTTTAAGCGCGGCTATCACAGACCTTTTTGGAGATGAGGATAAATAATTTTAAGGTAAATTTTCTATGCATTTTATGTGTTCGCGATTCAGACTTTTTGGATTTTTTACGCTGTCTTTGAATTAAATGGAATAAAAATTTGTATACAGAAAATAAATCATCTGAGAATTATTGTATGTATTTTTTTAAACTGATTTGAGCTTTTTTTGCGACAAAATCTTGGTGACTATGAAGTATAGTACAATATTGTATAAACAGCGTTACATGTTCGGTCGCCGAGAAAATTGTTTCGTAGCGCGAATATTACAATTCAGTGTTCCAATTTTAACTATTTTATTGAAAAGTCTATGTTTCTAGTGTATTTCTAAGTCAAAATTATTTTGAAATTTTAAATTTTTAAGTAAGAAATTTTTGAATATGTTTGATGCTTTGTCAGATTATGTTACGCGTTACATAAGAATTCGCCTCACTTTTCTGAATACTAAAATCCATAAAAAAATAAATTCTTCCTCTATTACCACGATTTTTGGTTTAATACAAAGAGGTTAACTATATCTAACAGGATATATAAGTTTTAAAGTGTTTTGTTTGAAATATATATTTTTTTGCTCAATATGGTTTTCGTAAACATGCTTTGCCACCCTGGATCGTGCTACTGATCTTAATCACTTCTGGGAGTTAAAAGGTTAAATGGTTGAAGACGTAATTGCGAATGGTTTATACCAATCATGATAGTAAACATTTTTGTTTAATGCTTCCTGTAATTTGCTACTGTTTTACACTTTACAGCTCAACATCAGTATACATTCTCTTTACTGTTCTCCATACATTTTCCAAGGAACTGACAAGGAGAATTTGTTTAACAATCAAGAGCTTCTTTGTTATTGATCATTTCCTTTATTCTTGTATCCTCAATGTGTGGTTCAGGGGTGAAACTGTGAGGGGAGATATAAGGTTCTAGTCACTCTTTGAGGTCAAAGAGTTAACTCTCAGAAACTACATGGAAATGTAACTTCTCCCTCCAGTTTTAACCCTTTAACCCGTAAGAGTGACTGGCATCTGATTTCTCCTTACCATATCACCCCTGAATCAAACATTAAGGTCAGGAGAATAAAGAAGCTGATCACCCACTAAAGAAGATCTTGATTGTTAGACAAATTCTCAACATCAGCATCTTAGGAAATTCTTAAAGAATAGTATGGAGAATACATATACTGATTTTAGGGTGTAAAGGGTTAATGAATCGCACTGTAAATACCTATCAACTGGAGAGTGTTATACTGATAAGAATCTAGATTCCCTTATCTGATTTTTTCTTTGAAATATATAACAGCTATAAGGAAGAATTACAAGTTGGAACTTTGGAACTGAAAAGGGGGATTCCCTGGTAAGTGTTAAGTTCGCTTGTGAATACAAATATTTAAAGAAACAAGTATTGTTCAAAGATTCTGTTTTTTTTTTACTTCGACCTCGTGGTCCAATTTTCTTGTTCCCCCCCCCCCCATGGTCACGTGACTAAAGTACTCTGGAGGCTGGGGTAGGGTAGCTGTCTACCCCTTACATAAGCGATCATATTTATGCGTGCAGTTTTTATTCCATGTCTGTTCATTTTTTGCTAGTTTATTATTTCTACTAGAAAAATGTTGTTTACAATGATTGACAAGTGAAGCCATCGGAATAATTTAGAAAACTATCAAGTGCTCTGCTGTGGTCGTTCATGAATGTTTAATTAGGTCATGTTAGGCTAGGTTACATGAAAACTTTCACTTTAAATGTGTTAGAACATTCAGGTTGTCGGTACTTACCATTAAAATCCTCTTCATTCCTATATGAAAAAAAATATGTGGAATTCAATTAGGAGCCATTTTACAGAGGAACGATTAAGCTTGCGTAAAAAATAAACATGTGTTCACGTACGTTACGTATCGCAATACTATAACCTACCTATATGCACCGATAAATTTTGCTTTAAATTCCTCTGAGAGGAAATAGTGACTCAAAAGTTCACCCTCGAAATCACTCTTTGGCTTCTTAAAGCTTTCTGAAGCCCCATTCGTGGAATGTTCCTTTCTCTTCTTGTAAGATTCCATCCTAAAGGCACATTTCGCATGTAGGAACAGTTTTCGTCAGGCGTTCTAGGAAATGTCAATACCTGGCTGCTAAGTCGACTGTGTAGCCTCGCCAAAAACGTCTGGGCGACAAAATTCAACATGGTGGTAAGTTTTGATTTGAATTGAGTTATCGGTAAGTCTTGATTTCCTACTGATCTCGCGTGGAAAACAACTCTAACAGTTTATTATTGTTTAAAGCTACCTCTGTCTCTTCTACGGACGGCACAAAACCACCCTATGGTAGGCATACCTTTCACAATGCTGTGGTATTACTTTGCACGTTACACTTTGTTCGAGTCTTTTTTGTTCGGCAGGCATTTGTAAATTATTAACTCATATTACTTCCGTGATATTTGAGAATTTAAGTGTAGCTTACAAAGAAACGTCGTAAAAAGTCGTGTGCAGTCATGTTCAAGTTTGTAGATGCCTAAGAAAATATTTGCAGAAGGGATTGTTACATGCACATTTGTAACAATCGTTTTCTTACATTTGGTGGATACTGATGTACTTCGAATAAGGCCAACTTTATCATAAGCACTGATAGCACTTGTGGATGCATTTTTTTTTCTCTTTACAGCTGGTGGAACTGAAAAATGGAGAGACGTACAATGGCCATCTTGTAAGCTGTGATAACTGGATGAACATAAATCTTAGAGAGGTCATTTGCACTTCCAGAGTAAGTTCATTTGTCATTGCTACAGTGCCACTGAAAAGTAAGTTGACAGTCTCGACTCGAAACGTGATTAAGTTGATCTTCTAAAATTTAGAGAATCGAAAATCAAGAATTAAGGCTCAAGAATCAAGAATCAAGATGCTCAAAGAACTTGTTGAGATTCTTGTTCCACAGTTTCTAGGAAATAATTTATCTTTTGTATTAATTATTCCATTACTAACATACATTTTCTGAAAGAACTATAAAGTTTTTTATGTGTTTAGCAGTGATTTTTATAATTTCTAAACTCTCTTTCAGGATGGTGACAGGTTTTGGAAGATACCTGAGTGTTATGTGAGAGGCAGCAACATTAAATATCTTAGGATTCCAGATGAGGTACAACTTGACTGAACACAATTTTTAATGACTGTTTCCCAACTGACCAGTGAAATGATTTTAATATAAACTGTACAACAAATCCTTTTACGCCTTTACATCAGAGTGGATATTCTCTATACTGTTCTCTATACATTTCCTATGATAATGACAAGGAGAATACGTTGAATGATTAAGAACTTCTTAAGCATGTGATTATTTCCTTATTCTCATGACGTGAATGTTTAATTTAGTGGCAATATTATATGAAGAAATAAGATAATGGTCACTTTAAAAGTGAAACTTAAATGAAACCAGGTTGCAAATTATCAGACCTGGTATCTCCTATGTGGGGCTAGTTTATGTTTTCATGTAACCCATGTATCCTTTTTTGTCAATACTTCAAAGGTTATTGACATGGTGAAAGATGAAATGGTGAAACAAGGGAAAAGCAGAGGTACAGGAAGACCAGGTAAAGTAACCTGGATTGTTGAAACAGAAAGGGTTGTTTTTTGCTACAGCATCTAAAGCACCTTCACATCAGCTAGGCCCCATACTGGTTGGTCTCTATTATCATGTAGACAGCTGTACCTATGAGAGTCTGCTCACATTGTTCTTAATATCTTTGGATGATCACTAGCTCACATTTCAATTTTCTCACATACATATATCAAGTGCTGGATTGGAAAATTTAATTTTTTGATCCAGGTCAATCTTTCTTTCCATAGATCTGTGAGCTTTTTCTCCTAACACTGGATAAATCTCTTTATTCTCCTTATCAGGAGCTTTTCATTTGCATATAACTGATCCACTTTTTGATGTGTTTTATCCTCAGGACGAGGTGGTCGTGGTGGGGGTGGAGGCCGTGGAGGTCACAGAGAAGGTGGCAGTGGAGGAGGAGGAAGAGGGGGATCATTTGGTGGGCGTGGTGGAGGAAGAGGGGCAGGGGGCCAAAAGAGAAATAGAGATGATAGCTCTGGAAAGTAGTGTGATGGCTTTGATGTACATGTAAATATATGTAGCTATCAATTTCATAAAATACTTGATACAGTAGGTACAAAAATAGTTTTTTTCTATCTTATGCTTCTATGTAAGCTGCATACATGGTTTTTATCAGGCATAAGGAATCTAAGTTAATGAAGCTGTGGTATTCCTGTGGACACTCTTTGAGCTACTTGTACATATGTTACTGTTTAAGGTAGAAAACATCATCTACATATACATATCTGTAGCAAACGCAAGTGTTATTTAAATAGGTTGCATCGGTGTACATGTGTCTGTCTCTTTATCTTATAGTTTCTTTGCTCATGAAGAAGAGCTGGAAGCAAGCTGAAATATTTTTGTAAATTGTCAACTTCAACAACTGTACCTTGAAACTATTAAGTGCATCAAATTAGGGGGCATTTTGTTTCCTTGTATTGTTTATTTTGTGTAGTAATTGAAATTGTGCCCAACAAACCAGAGCTTCAATGCATCTTAGTTAAGATTTTATATTGAGAACTATGGTAAGATTTCATTTTGCTTATAGTAACCTACTTTAACCCACTATTGCTTGTAGCAAACAGCACAATGTTCTTTTTTTGATTAAAAAATTATTACTTTCATTTGTTTGATGCAACATTTGCCTCTTGTCTCTCCTTTCCCCTCACAATAGTCCATAGCACATTATTGTTTTTGCTTAGTTGCCGAGCCTTTGAGAAGGAATGAGGCAAAGGTTGACCCTGTTATTTTACAAATGTTGCTGCTTTTCAAATGCAAATTACTTTTTTTTCATGCTAACTAGATACTGGTCTCTATCACTACAAGGTCACCTTCAGACTCACTCCAAATCCAAGGCTTGGCAACTAAGTACACAATTTTAAATTGGCCTATTCTCGTCTGGACAAGAAAGGATTCATTTAGTGAGAAGGTATTAAATGAAAAGTACAGCTCAAACAATACGTAACTGTGTAGGGTTTTAAGGCTATAGACTGATGCTTGAATGAAATGAACCTATGTTTTTTAACCAACAAAATTTTGAACTTTACATTCTCATTAAAAAAGAACCCCTCTTTCTCTCCCACTTGAGTGTTTTTTTCCTTTGTAGAATCATAATTTTTTGCGAAAAGAAAACCGAGAACTGTATTGGTATGCACCAATTTCAATTTGAACTCGTTTTGCATACTAAAAACAGTTATGAATACAAATATGCACCAATATAGCTATAGTTGCGTAGAGGAACGATAACGTGTAACAGTCCCTTTCATTCTAGGATTGATCAGCATATGATTTCTCCTAACAACCTTAACCCTTCATTTAGCATACAAGTAAAAAGAATTTAGAGAACCATCAGCAAGGTAACATTGTTTGAGTGTCGCACCAGTTTCTCACGTCCAGCCAGTAGAGACGTAAATATCATTGATCTGTTGAAAGAATTGGTTTTAGATCTTAGGGTTATGTTGATGTTTATGCGCAAATGTTATAAGTACACGAAGCTATTAAATATTTATACTGCAGTCGAACCTGGCAGTCACTCGCTGGGAAGGACGATGAAAATCGCCATTTCATGCCATAATTAACCTCGATATACTGAAACCTCACTCAAAAATACTTTTAACATTGATTTCGAGAGACCAAAATGTATTGAATTTTACCTGAAAGATAATTCTTAGTTTTATTTGAGTAATTCCGATTTAAGTGAACGATTAATACAAGTGGGGGACCATACGAAAAGGCCATTGAGACTCAGCAAAGGGTAACCGCTACCGCTATATAGACGTGACTGCTCATTAGAGGTAAAACCCAAAGTAATTTCGGGACTTAAAAACCGACCGCTTAATACAAAGTGACAGCTTAATACCGTGCCGTTTACTACAGTTTCGACTGTATTTAGAAAATTTTTAATGGTAATAAGACTGAGTGGGTTCCAATTCGTGCTCAAATCGGGCTGGTGAGAACCAATCATGTTCGAGAATTTCGTTATAGTTTTGATTATAATCCACTATAGGCACCCTTCCATGAATCGGCATCACATCGAGGCGATTACTAGAAAATTAAGATCTACAAAATAAAGAAAACAAACTTTGGTTAGAGTTTATTTGCTTTAAGGGAGCATTCATCTTGTCGAACTGAACCGTTTTGAAATATCACTCTCCTTTTCATGTTTAGAAAAATCTCCAGAAAACTAGATATAAATGAATGGTTTGTCATCGTGGAGTCTGGAGATATTTTAAACTCCAAAGATTGCTTTTGTGGCAGACAATTGCGAACGTTCTTGAATGAGAAACTTGCCATGTTTGTTCAAGTGAATTGAGGTTGCCGTGGTTACCATCGCTGTCAGAGAGAGCCGAAGGCGAATACATAAGTTGTGTTTGTTAACGACATGTATACAGGTGCCTTTGCGGGGTGATTGTCTTGCGCCCTGTGGATAACAATTAAATGCAATATTTTCATCACAATCATGATCAGAGTCGGTGGAAAAAAAAATTAAAACTAATCTTCTTTGTTCCGTTCTAAAGAAAAGTGTCTTTGCTAACATGCGGCCATAAAATATATGAAAACACTTTTGTTGTATAAAGAATTGAGGAATTTTAATTAGGAACCTTCGATCAGAAAGAGATTTCTGATGAGAGACATCGTGAAGTCTGCATTTTTTTTGAACGTCATATTCAGAATCAGAACATATATATATATATAAATATTTGGAAGGGTTACGACAACTAATTAGTTAGAAAAGGCCGACAATGATGCTTAGTAGATGTCATTTTTGGAAAGCCTTATGGATGATTTTGGAGCTAGTGGTTAAGGAGCGACAAATTTTATGTATGTACATATATTTATGAGGCTTACAAGAAAGACAATCCTCATCGGTGCGGAAATGGAAAAAAGAAATGATATTGAGATCAGTTTATGAGGCAAGATATTGGTTCTGTTTATCATTTTAGTTTCCTAAAGGTTTTTTAGCCTGGGGCAAATCGGGAAAGTAAAATCTTAA